CAACTTCGCACGTGAATTACCATTTTTAGTACACTAAATTTATTTTGACGACCAAGACATGAAACTGACTAATTTCACTTTTTGCTGAAGACGCTTTCCATTTGTCAAAACTGGCCGGTAGGACCATTGCCTGACCAGTCAGTTAGCAACCGAAGTCGGCTTTCTCCAAGAGTTTTTTTTCTGAAAAACCATCTCCTTCGTGTATAATGTTTAGGATAAAAGTGAAATTTTCGTTATGACGGAAATGGTCTGGCCGGCCAGTTCTGAAAAATGGAAAGCGCCCTAAAGCCCTTTTAGAATTCAACTCCAGAAAAGCTCACCAACACTTGACAAATTAAGCGCCACGAAAGAAGAGCGATGAATTTTGAAAGAGCACCAATTCACATATTTAAAAGACGTTGAATGAATGAATGAATGAATGTTTTTGCCACCTTCGTCGCCGTCATTGTTTAAGCTCCCTAATAACAACAAAAAAGGCCGCGCGTAACGAGGGTGGTCTGCCTGTGTTACTATTTCGTCACTTAAGATCCATTGAAAACTAGATTGTCGGTGTCCGAAGCAGAAGTGCAAGACTAATCCAATGCTAACAACCGTTCCCACGCTTTCTGATTGGTTATTTTCCCACTTCTTCGAAAGAAAAAAGCATTGAAGCCCTTGCTAGCAATTTCACCATACATATCTGGTACAGGAATTTTTCTTCAGATCTCACAGAGTTATTTGATTGCGCGCGCGTAAATTGATTGGCAAGGGTGGTTACTTTTGTTACTTTACAACAGAAACAAGAATAGAAAGAGACCCTCATGGACGACTAGGCTCATAAAACAACCCTTACCTCTAATGTGTTCAGGATAAACTGATGAGCTTGAAAGATTGGTCTCTTCCCTGTACCACGCCTCATATAACGGGAATGAATGGGACACATGTTAAGAACACAGAGCGCTGCAGCAAGGCCACATCCAGCAACCTTCAATGAGTTGGTGATCAACGTGTGGCTGTCCACTGACTCAACTTCATCTGCCGTGGTCTTAGTTTTGTCAGCAATGATCTTAATGGACACAATTTTATTGTGTTTCTCAGCTGTAAACAGAGAATACAGGCTACTAAACCACGTACATAGAACGAAAATAAGGTCATCACAGTGTTAGGAATGAGTCTAGTAAAATGGAGGTACCATCCAGCTGCTGGTTAAACTTGGCCTTGCCATGATCGCTCCAAAATCAGTTTATTAATTCATTTGATTTAGTGGAACTTGACAAAAATTTGTGCTGTGTCCCTTAGACAGCAATAAAACACATATTCACCTTTTTGAAGCTAACTTATATAATAGTTGAACAGTCTAAATACTTTGATTACTGAAAAGAATTCATTTATTTTCTCCCATGTGAACCCACAATTATCGTGTTTTGCAAACTAAAAACCCTTCCAACAAACCTTCTTCAAATAACGTGTCCACCAAACCACTTTTGATGTCACTCTTCGTTTCAGGTTGAAGTGATTTTTCAACCACTAAGCCTATCATCGTATCAAGCCTCGGGCTGATTTTACCTTGATACAGCTTGTGTAGCAAAGCATTCATCTTCTCGTCGTGAGCACATTCAACAACACGAACACCATCCTTCGAGATCAAATGACCTTGGGCAACGTTGTCTACTATAATTTCTCGAAAAAGCTTTGCGTTCTGTTCAGTAACAATAGTTATTTTCTTATTCAATACTTCAAGAGCTTTGATAAGAGCGATCATTGCCTGGATGCATTCTGATGTACTTGTCTCGAATGAAAAGCTCTCTTTTTCATTTAAAAAGCCGATAACAACAATTGGAGCATGGGACAGTCTCAGTGATATCTTCAGGAAATCCGTTGTGGACTGTGCATCTACCTTTCCATCGACACTGTTGCTGGCTGCAGAAATTTCAGCCAGCTTTTCTACTTTTGTTGCCACACTGACAGAACAGACAGAAGCAAGGTAGGGTTGATCTGTCAAAGTGACGAGCTTTGGTTGTTCATCACCATGTTCTGGTCTATGGATTTTGAAATATTCATCCACAGTAGTATCACAGACGAAAACTGAGCCAGGAAAATGGCAAAATGAAAGTGGGAGTTCTGTAAAAAAAAAAAGGACAAAAGATTTATATCAAAAGACAGAGGGTTACTGCAAATGTAGTCAGTCTAAAGATTCTGACGAGCAGTATTACAACTTGCATTAGTTTTTCCGTATTACAAACTTGAGAGAAAGCCGGATAAATGACCTCTCAGATAGAGGGATAACTGGAGAAAAAGGATGGCGCAGCCTTGAAGGGCATGCATCTCCCAACAATGTAGCCTGGCTGTCCGAATCCTAGAGCGACACCATCGGTCGAGCTTTGTATGAGATTATGTGTTGCTGGAAAGTCCTTCTTACCTCCAGTGCTGTCAAACGACTAAACCACTTCTTTTTCTTACTATTTTCTGGGATTTCATTCATCAGCAAAAGAAAATTGGGCAAGGATGTATGAAATTTATCTTAAAACATTGAGCTACGTGTTTGTTTAAAACGCTTTGCACCCGAGCAACATTATGCTGGCAAAATTGCGTGGACCACAGCAAGGATCAGTTTCAGTTTTCAAACACTTAGGCCTGAAGCCAAACGTCAAACTTTTCATGAGTTGAACCAAACTTAGTGAGTTAAGTTCACTGGAAAATTCAGTCGACGTCTGCCTCAGTTAAGCTCGTCTGAATGAGTTTAGATCGTCCGCCACGTTCTTAATCCATCTGCTTTAGACGGATAGAACGTCTAAACATCGTCTCTGGGACAAACGTCGATCTTTGCAAGCGACGAACTAAACTAGTAAATTAACAAATTATTATGTGAGATTGTACATTTAGCCTAGTTCGAAAGAAAATTTATTACATTTGCTCTTTGGTCTGATTTAGTGCATCAGCCAGGACCCAAAAATGAGCTTGCTGGTACCACTCAGGGGGACAAAGTCTTATATCCCTAATCATGGAGGTCTAGGTCTGTAGTTCATATTGCAGTGTGATAGCAAAGTTTAACTCACAGCTTTAAGGGGGGAGGGGCGCTTTAACTAACAACCTCTCCCATCCCCTTTAATGCTATTTTTGATTGGTTCGACGCGTCCTAAGTTCGACGTCTGACCCAACAGACGATCTTAAGTTAATTTATGTCGACCCAAAGTAGAGTTTGGTTAGTCTCATGAAAAGTTCGACGTTTAGCCAAGGCCTTAGACAATTTTAAGTAAACTCTCAAAACTTTTAGTAAATTTTAATTACCAATTCTGTATTAAAATACAGTATTGGTGTGACATCTCAACTTTTCAACATTTAAAGTAACAACCTAAAAACCAAAACAGCTTTGAGAGTTTGGCGGTGTATTAAAAACATACTTGCTGCTCGTAATGCTATGGACGCTGATCTACCACAGGCCCAAAACATGGGTATAAGATCTCCAATGCTGGAAGGTTCACCAAATTCTGTGTTGTAAAGATCATCTATTCCAATGACTGCTGGATCTCCAATGTGTATTGGTGCACCGTGCAATTCTTCAAAGGCAGCAGTAATGGTGAGAGTTTTTTCCACCAATTCTATGGGAACTGCACGCATGGAAACCATTAAGGGAGAGGCAAACCGTCCAACGGATATGCACTGAAGATTGGTCTGAAATACAGAGACACCGTCACCGTGCTTTTCGGTTATATTCTTTAAGGGAATTCCAGCTTGTACTAGTTTTCCTTCAAATCCAAAACTGCAGCCCACATAGAAAGACACAAAGTCGTCCCAAGAGTGTGCTGTGAGGTCCCCAGGCTCTTCTGTTATTACTCCATATTCATTCACTTGATATTTTGGGAGATCAGTCCTAAAAGCAGTCATGCCACGATCATAATTAAAATAAGGCAAGAGTTATATAGTCTAGTATTTACACCTGGTTGGACGCTTGAAAACGTACGCCTTGACGAACGGAGACATTTGACCCGTAAAAGGCCAAAGCTCCAATTTTGGTCTAAAAAGGTAATCCAATCCGACAAAGGAGGAAGAGGTTAAAAGAGAGAAAAAAGAAAGGGAAAAAAATCATTGTACTCTTAGTATTTATAATGGCTACTTTGGAGACGGTTTTTGAGTGAAAAAGATGGAGGACTCAGCCACAAAAAAGCCAGACATATATGAGCAATAACAGTGTAATTGTAAAGATACCGACTTTTAAAGATACAATGGTAAATCATTATTTTCTTTTCTCCAACTTCCCTCGAAATACCAACAATACACAAATACAACAACAAATTCAACCCACCTTTATTTTACCCAAAAGGTTCCAAAAATTATCTACAATATTAGTACATAAATAAAAGGGGTTCTGGCTTCCCAAACGGATGACCTCACAGATGTTTTAAAGGTAGGCGCGGGCGTAAATACATACACACACACTCAAAGGGCCAATAGGCCAGATCGTCTCAAATTCTACCACCTGCCTCTCATTCTTATTTGTACTTTTTTTAGTTTTACTGTTTCTTTCGCCAATTTCTACCTCAGGGAGCCTCTCCGTTAGGTTTTGTGTGAGTATTTGCCATCCAGCCCCCCCAAATTTAGACGTGATGGCCACATACTCTTGAATTTATTTTTGGTGTATTACCCCACGGATAATTCTGATATTGGAGTTATCCCTAAGGGTTTTATGTGGGTATGTGTCAATGGGGATTAATTAGGGTAACACATTGGCCGGTCTAAAGCTGCGATTCAGGAGTGACTTCCTTGCATTTATAATAATAATAATAATAATAATAATAATAATAATAATAATAATAATAATAATATCACAGACATGGTGAATTAGTCTTCCTTGTCGTCAGAATTCCGTCATATTAAAAATATCTAAGGCCACTCCTTCACTTAAGGAAGGAGATCATGAGATTGCAAGCAATAACCGCCCAGAATAGTTACTTCGTTTGTGAACGAGTGGTCCTGAATAATTGACTCAAGACTACGTGCATGAGCAACAAAAAGAAGCTGACCGAACATCAAAGTGGTAATGAAAAGCTGCATTCAGGTGAAACTCTCAATGTTATAATGACACAGACAGACAGGGCACTTGAGCCGATGGATGCTCACACTTGCTGTCTTCTTAGACTTGACAAACGCATTTGACAGTATCGACCATGATAGCTTTCTTCAGGCTTTCTTGCAAACCTTAAAGGCACTAGGTGTTGTTAAAAAACAACAACAACAACAACAACAACAAAGAAAACAATGAATAATAAATGCTTAATTGGGTAGGGGTGCCACACAACAGCGGTGAGCCAGTTACAGTGGTCCCAGCGCTTAAAAGATATGTAAGAAACAGTAAAGCTACATATGACAATAAAAAACAACAACGAAGACGAACAGACTCGTTACGTGAAACGTTACATGACAGATGGACAGATGGTTTTCCAGGGTCGTTGGTTCTCTGGGTCGTAGTTATGTTCTAAGGCATACACGTCGTACTTATACATGATGGATTTGAACTGACAGATCTGAAGGTTGCATGAAAGTTGAAGGTCATTTGCTAGCGTGTTCCAGATTCTGGTGGTTCTATTGAAAAAAGATCCCTGAAAAGTGACAGTATTACATTTCCTTGAAAAAAAGTGAGTGACGTTACGGTTGCTGTTAGAGCTGGTAGTGCGAGTAACTAAGACTTGCGGCAGAACAGAAGGACTAACTCTAACTGTGCCGGTTACAACTTTGAAAAAGAATGTCATGACTAAAAACTCGTGCCGACAGGAGACCGGTAATAAGTTAAGTGTCAGTTTTTGCTCACAAATGAACGGTGGATGATATACTTTGTAGCGCGCCTCTGGACACGCTCGCGCTTTCAAATCAGGTCTACTGACTGCGGAGTCCAGACTTGCGTGGCATAGCCAAGATGGGATCTTACTAGGGTAAGGTATGCCAAACGTCTAACCGTAATGCTTTTGACGAAGCTGGTGTTTTTCTGCACAAGTCCCAGGAGCCTGCTGGCCTTAGCGCATGGCATGTCTGTCGTTGATGCATACAGTGTGGTTAAGTAAATAAAATGATAACAGTCACCCGATCAACCCAGACAAGATCTAGCTGATGGTGTTGGAACGAATAAAAAATGTGGCTTTCCAATTTGGGAAAATTCAGAAGAGTATTGATGCTAAAAAAGTTTGTGTTTCTGAAAGGTTTTCGTTAATTAGAAGGAGAAAAAAAAGTGTTCAGTTGAGTCCACAAGAAACAACAGATCCAATTTTCCAATTCCATCAAATTGTGCAATTTTATGTGAAAGAGATCGTACATTTCTTGAAAGAGATTTAGAATTTCTGATCCCCCGGTCCATTGCTTAACAGAACAAAACAGTAATCTATTTTTAATTTCATAAGGATTCAGAATTTCTGATCCCCCATCACGGCAAGGGACAAAAACGGCTATCTGTTCATGGTTATAAAAGTATTAAGAATTTCTGATCCCTAGGATCAGGAAACAGTTACAGGATAAAGCCAGCTGTCTACTATTAATATCACAAGGATTCAGAATTTCTGATCCCCCATCACAGCAAGGGACAAAAATGGCTATCTGTTCATGGTTGTCAAAGTATTCAGAATTTCTGAGTGTGCACCCATTGTGCTTTCTTTTTGGGAGAGATTCAGAATTTCTGACCCCCCAGCCCATAGCTTAACTGAACAAAACGGTAATCTATTATTAATTCCACAAGGATTCAGAATTTCTGATCCACCTTTTTGGCAAGGGACAAAAACGGCTATCTGTTTATGGTTATAAAAGTATTCAGAATTTCTGATCCCCAGGATCAGGAAACAGCTACAAGAAACAGTTACAGGATAGAACCAGCTGTCTACTTTTAATACCACAAGGATTCAGAATTTCTGATCCCCCATCACAGCAAGGGACAAAAATGGCTATCTGTTCATGCTTGTCAAAGTATTCAGAATTTCTGATCCCCCAAGCAACTTAAAAGAGAAAAAGCGTTAAATCACATCATACATTACCTTTATTTAACATCAGATTTTCGGCAGTGTCGCTTTTGAAGCTAATATCTCCGAAATAGAGGAAAATAAATGATAAACAATAGTAATGATAATCCTAAAAGAAAAGAAGTAGAAAATAGAAGAAGACAAAAAGTAATATGAAATACAGAACTATAAGAAAAATAATTTAACTGGTTATTTCTTATATTATTATATTAGTTCAAACGAAATTTGTCGCACTTTGAATTTGTAGCGTTTTATTCTGTACAAGGTGCCAAGATATGTTAGCCACAGTTTTTAAGGCTTTTCATCTGTAAACGATGGCAAGATTTCTAGGTGGATTGTATCAAGCAAGGGCAACGGCACGATCTGTGGGAAACAAACAAATTTACTATCCAAATTAATCTAATTAATCTCGATCCCAGACATATGTAACTACATTGCATGAATGTTTTGTTTCTTACAGTAGTGTGTTCCTCGATGTCGTGGTAAGGTCGAAAGTACACTTGAACATGAGAACAGTTCCTTGCTTTGCATGCTTTTGACTTTCGTTTTGATTCGGTTCGTTCAACTAATTAATGATTCCTTGAAGCAATAAACTGGCATGGTCTTGGTGTGTTCAAGGTGTCTTTGGTTCAATTAGTTTTTCGTACCTAAGTTTGTCCAACATGAACAACGTTCACAACACGTTTTTCGTCACAACTGTAAATTAACTTTGTCCAGCATTTTCTTTCCCGGCTTAAAAGAACAATGTTAAGTTTTCCACTTGCTTTTAACACTTCAAATTGGTTGGAATATTCTAATCAACGCTTAAAATAACCGCTTTTTTGACCTAAACGGGTGCGTTCTGCATAATGTTTGCAAGATTAATATATAGATTTAGCCAGGGTTAAAAGCGAAGCTTCCATTAATAAATTTATAATTTAAATCAAACAATAAACTTATAATCCACAAATCAATTAAGTTAAGCCGCGGGGTGGCACATTCATTTGACTTTTGAGGCAAAAGCTATTTTAAAAGTTATTTTAGAGTGAAACATCTTACATCGAGTCGATAGCCTTATATGTACACCCAAAAAATAGCAAACATCTTCGACCACATTCAAGAGCCAGAATGGCTCTTGATCACAGTAGATTAGGCCTCGAAAACAAATTCTTGGAAAACAAATCAGGCCGAATTTTTTTGCGTTCGACAGGTTTACTTTACAAATTCTTGTCAACAAATCTGGGGGTTTGTAACCCAACCTTTTATACTCCTTATACATTACATCTGAGGTGAAACAGTACTATTTATCATACAGACCTCGGACAGAATGCGGTATTTCACAATTTTTCAAGAGAAATCGCACTTAGTCAATATTAAGGACGATCAACCGTGGGCTTTTAGCGAAACAGTTCAAAAAATTTCCAAAATCACCCATACGGCCAGCCGGTTCTCATTTCTAGAGTGCGAGCTGTCAGTGTGGTCGGGTGTTTGAATGAACTTTAACAGAGTTACGCTTCAGCATAATAATGAATTTATTATTAGTATCTTTTTTATTCCCGGGTTAATGGTTTCAGTTATAACGATGTGTAATCTTATAAAGCGTTTGATACGCGCGACATTTTTTAGTACTCCTGCAAGCGATGTTCATGAACTATTCGCGAAACGATGAAAACAAACGGCGCGTACAAGCGATTAAAATTGCAAGAGAGACTACTAACAGTCAATAAAAGAAACATAATTCGGTGAAACATTTACAGAGACAACAATTTTCATTCACGAAGACAGGTATTAAAGTGTCTCTAAAAATCCTTTACGTCATTTTTCGAAAAATATCTGTTCGGAAGACGATTTTTAAATCGAAAATCCTACGAAAGGCAGGCAAGCAAGAAATTTTACAACAAACTTCGTAGGATTTTCGAACATCTAAAAAATGGTATAATTGCCCATTTTTGACGGATTTTTACCCTAAAAAGGTCACCTAGAATTTTTGGGAGCCTTTTTTCTAGCTGAAATTTTCGAAAAGGTAAGTTTTGATGTTTTGATCCCTACAGATTTCGGATCACTAGACTTTATAATTTCAGCTAGGAAATCCGAACAGATGAAAAATTTTTACGGTATAAAAAATGCCTATATTTACCGTTTAAATACTAGCGTTTAACAATGCTATGTTAAGTGCTTTTGAACGATATTCTCGTTGGGTGCCCCTGTTTAAGCTTAAAGCTTAAGCTGAAGTTAATTATGTTTTACTTTAAGCCGGCCTCCCGGTGTTTGCTTTTTTCAAAGATGAACTCCTCGAAGCAAGAAAATCGCTCAATGTTTCTTTCTACAGCCAAATTTAAAACTAAATATTCTTCGGTACGTTTTCTTTTTATTTGCGGCGAGAAAATATATCTGAAGGCCTTTTAAAGTTCTGTAAGCTTATATCAAACCTGACACTAGCTCAGATCATTAACTCAAATCTTACAAACGTGCATAAACTTGCCGCATAAACTGTGCTCGAAATTAGATATATCAAAAACAAACATCAAATACAAAAATTACTCAGTCTAACCATTCGAGATTCAGTTCCTGAAAGCTATTAAGGAAGGCCACAGTTGCTTGAGACTTTTCAGGAGCACCTAACGTCAATTTTTGGAAAATATCTATTCGGAAGGCGATTTGAGATCTAGAATTTTCGCAACATTTGTTGTAAATGTCTTGCTTGCCTGCCTCTCCTAGGATTTTCAGATATCTAAAAATGGTATAATTGCACATTTTTAACGGATCCGTTTACCCTAAAAAGGTCACCTAGAATTTTCGGGAGCCTTTTTTCTGGCTGAACTTTTCGAAAAGATTGGTTTTGATCCCTATAATTTTCGGATCACTAGACTTTCAGCTAGGAAATCCGAACAGATGAAAAATTTTTAGAGGATAAAAATATGCCTATATCTACCGTTTAAATACTAAAATCTGTTCAACAATGCTATGTTTAAGTAGTTTTGAACTATATTCTCGTTGGGTGCCCCTGACTTTTAAACCCTCTTACGCATTAAGCAAGGTGAAAAACGAAAACGATGCCGTCCGAAATCGGATTACCGAATTTTGACAAGCGACGCATTTCTCAACCAGAAACCCAATAAACAAACCAGCCATGAATAACAGAAGACTCTTGATAGCAGCTGTATTTCATTTTGTACATCCAGTGGAAAAAGAGAGTTAAAAATATCACAAGTTGACACAAAACTCTGTCAGCTTCAGCTGTCAAAGTAAACAACTTTCAAGATGCTGAATAAATTTTCTGCATGAACTCACCTGTCAAATTTTGACCAATCAGAGCATAAAAATTGGACGTAGAGCGTGACCAACGCGTGGCCATGGTAAGAAAAGGTCTTCCCCGCCTGTATTTTTGAAAAAACTGGCTGAATTTTCGCGTTCGAGGTCAGTTTGAAATCAAAATCTTAATAGTGCTGGGCCATAGTGACATGAACACAACATATTTCATATGAATCATTGGAAAAAATAAACTTGAGCCTGCGATCGTTAGAAACTGGTAATTTGTCAGCGGATAACTTCAAAAAATACTCGACCTCGATGGGTCGACACTTGAGCCCGGGGTACGGTTATGTGATACTGGTCAGCGGATACCCTGTTTTGACAGCTGTCAATTGATCACAACATTGATGTGCAATTAGGTTTCTCCTGGGCTCCCAAACTACAAGCTAGAAAGTGTGAGAATAAACATTGGTTTCCCTGTGGTGCGGACGGACGGTCGTTCGTTCGGTGTACGGTCACGTGATTACCAAATTTTCTGGGATGGGTAGATTTCCTTATCTATGGGGCTGCGCACACGCGCAGAGCTTTGCACCGCGCGTGGAGCTCCCCTATAATGTTCGTTGATTCCCAGGATGTACAAAAGGTTCGCGGCCTCTGGAACGAGATTGATTCCCAGGCTTCCACGTGCCTTTTTATGCGCAATTTGATTTATTTTGTCACGTGCGACTTTTGAACCAATAGAAAAGTGTAAGATGGCCTTCTGTTGAATAGTTCAAATTCACGCAGACTTCACAAGCAACATCCCAACCGTATTTTCGTTATCTTCGGATAATAGAAAGACTGTCTTTATATTATCTATGTTATTTTCGAGACAAAGTGATCAAATGCGAAGATTGTGTTCACATAAAGCATGTTTCTAAGTCAGTAACTCAGCTGGATTCTTGCAGAAAGGTATGTTCTTGAAACTGGTTCGTTTGTTTTTCTAATTAATAACTTTTCGTAAAATTTAAGATGCATGCACAGATATGCCATCGATTGATTCCTTTTTGTTTACTGCAGAAATAACTGTACTCTTTGTTGCAAATCGTCAATGGAATACTCTGGAAATTGTATGTTCTGGCGCTTTAAGGTTGTGGCAGACCAATGTAAATAAGAAGGAAGAGCATAAGTTTCCGATAAAGTTCCCAGTTCATTTATATTGACTTGAGAGTTGAACTAACCTATAACATTTGAATTCAGCCTGTAGGTTTGTTTATTTCGCTTATCGATTCATAATATAGAGGATATTACATGGCCGCGCGGGGATACGAATTTTATCTTCGAGTGCTGAAAGTATGAAAGATACTTTCAGCACTCGAAGATAAAATTCATATCTCCAAGCGGCCATGTAATGTTCTGTTTATTTTATAGATACTGATGAAATTCCTACATAAAACACGACTTTTTGAAACTCTTGTAATTCTTGTAATTGGCTAATCATATTAGTAACCATGGCGACACCAATATTCTCACACGTGAAAGATAAAAATAGTATCTTCACTGCGCGCGATGAAGATATGATTTATTAGTAAAAGGAAAAATCCTGGTATTTCATCAGTATCTATATAATAAATAGTAATAAGTTATAGGGCCATTGCATTTAATGTCCACTGCCCCCCTATTGACCCCCTCCCTCTATTGATGAGGTTTTTTAACTTGACCCCCTCGGAAAATTATCTCTGGGGTTACCCCTTCAGAAATTAACATTAATTCTTAGATAACCTCAGAAATATATTTTTTTTGTTTTGTACCCTTCAGAAAATAAGGCAATTAATTTTATTTGTGCCCTTCAGGGAAGATTACTGTAGTTTTACAGTACTCTTCACTGTATTCACCATGCCTGTATTGATGATGTAGCTCTCTCTTTATCCCTTCTAAAATGTATTCTTGTTATTTGCACCCATCTTGGGCAACAACCCCCTTCAGAAAAACTTTTCTCCTAGTATTGATCCCTTCAGAAAATCTCACAAGCACCCCATTAAGAAAATCTCATCTATGGCGGGTGGAGGGATATAAAATGGAATGAACCACATAAGGTACATCGCTGCAATAAGATCAAAAATAAAAGGCAGCACAAGCCTGATGTCTGGACCTTCAGTTCAAAACGCTATTCGGGAACTTTGAAAGAAGCAGTCATTTCACTTTTTGTTTTCATGTGCATGATTGTATTATATGAAGATGTTTGTTTATTTTGTCTTTTCACTGAAATTGAGTGCTAAATTGCTTTTCTGTAACTTGGTATACCTTAATAAGTAGAAATTGTAAAGTGGCCACTATGTCATTTAATATCACAATATTTATTATTACAATAATTTTAAGAACTATTTGTAACAAAAAAAACCTAAAACCCAAATGTTACAACATGTACTGAAGGTGATGTGTATGTTGACTTAAGATATCACAAAAAGGAGAATATTTTCAGCTGATCTTGTCATTTCTGGATTATAAACAAACATTATCTAGAGATTCAACAAACAGGGTATGTTTTTTATATTTTTTTCCAATCATGACTAGATATAGGTTACTTAACACTATATATTTATGTGTTGTCTTAACATGCGGGCAGGGATGTCACTAAGATTTCAAGTGTCCAGGTAAATACAACAAGTAGGCAGGGAATCAAACAGCTAGGGATTTCTTTTGGTTCTGTTTTTTTTCTTCCATTTTCCTGTGCAACTAGCCGGGGGCCATGCTCATAACAGCTGGGGGAATCCATGGCCCCCAGCTCTTAAAAGCCCTGTCTAGCTTTTATACATCTGGTTATATATAATAACTTATTGCTCATACTGATCAGTTCCATGTTGTCTAAATAATGTGTATGTATGTATGCTAATTCTGTCAGAGAAAATGGAGTCTGCAGTGATGCTGAGGTCAGCTGTGCAGTTTAAGTATTTCTTACGGTTTTGGGCAGTTCTGAACTTTCTTGACCTCTTCAGTGCAGTGTTCATTAAATTTACAACTACTGTAATATTGAGGTCAGCTCGTGCTTATTATGTATATATGTGCATATTTAATTTAATATTTGAGTTAATTTTGATTTAACCTAGGTTGATTCTCAATTTCCTTTGTCTCCTAGCCCTACTAAAATAAATGAAATTGATAATCAACCAAAATTGAATCAAAATTACCCTGAAATCAAATTTGACCTGTAACACATACATCATTGCAGTACATGACTGTTTATTGTTTACAGTTACACGACTGCTGTGAAGAAGCTTGTTCTTCATCACTCTTTCAAGATAATCTGAGTGTATGGAATCTGTTAAAAAAAATTATGATATTGTAAATGATTTCAAATTAAATAGTGTTATTAAGAAAAAAATATTTTGATCAGACATCGTTCAGGCAGGCAGCAAGAACTAAAACCTGCAATGCTAAAATTTAATGTGGCTGTATTGGATGTAACACTAGCAATTGAATAAAGTTTATATTGTGGAACAATCAGTCCTTGCACTGCTCCAGAACCATGTGCTGACTCCAACCTCAAATTTTGAAACATTTCACTGCTTTGAGACCAGAGGGAAAAATATAAAGTTTCTCTCAGGTTGTTTGGGTTATCAGGAATTCTGATTCCACAACAGTATATTCTTAGGGGTTCAGAAATATTGAATACCCTCCTGTATTGTTTGGGGAATCAGAAATTCTGAATGCTCTTCTGTGTTCTTGGGGGATCAGAAATTCTGAATCCTCTCTTGTGTTATTTGGGGGATCAGAAATTCTGAATCTCCTGTGTTGTTTTGGGGATCAGAAATTCTGAATCTCCTGTGTTGTTTGGGGGATCAGAAACTCTGAATCCTCTCCTGTGTTGTTTGGGGGATCAGAAACTCTGAATCCTCTCCTGTGTTTTGGGGGGATCAGAAGTTCTGAATCCTCTCCTGTGCTGTTTTGGGGATCAGAAATTCTGAATCGTCTCCTGTGTTTTGGGGGGATCAGAAGTTCTGAATCCTCTCCTGTGTTGTTTGGGGGATCAGAAATTCTGAGTCCTCTCCTCTGTTTTGGGGGGATCAGAAGTTCTAAATCCTCTCCCGTGTTATTTGGGGGATCAGAAATTCTGAATCCTCTCCTGTGTTGTTTGGGGATCAGAAATTCTGAATCCTCTCCTGTGTTATTTTTGGGGGATCAGAAATTCTGAATCAGTCTCCTGTGTTGTTTGGGGGGATCAGAAATTCTGAATGCTCTCCTGTGTTTTTGTAGGGGATTAGAGTTAGTTATAGTGAATTTTCGTCTGAGTTCCTTGGGGATCAAAAAGTTGGAATCCTCACCCATTTTCTATGGCGCAAGTGGATTGAAGTGTACCAGCTCTTTCTTTGGTCTTCCCTCTCGTTCGTTGCTGTCATACCGGATTATTTCGCAAAGCTCTGCAATGCCTTCCTTTGTCGCTCCTTTCCCTCCGCGCTCGTTTCCTCGTCCACATCCTCCTTAAGGTTTACTCTTGCCGTGCGACTTTCGAAGCCATTCCGGTGCCTTTGGACCCAGCTTTCTCTGTGTGTAATGGCTTTGACGACCGGTATAAACAAGATATAAACGAGGATTGGTGGAGCCTCTCTATTGATTCTAAAAGGTAGCTGGGCCGCGGCGATACGTAGTCGTTCAGAGCGGGTGTTCTCACTCCACTAAAAAATTCAGGGTCCAAATCTAAGGTGGCCTTTCGGGGCCAACCATTACATAAGCCGAGGCCGAATAGCCGAAAGGGCCCAAAAAATTCTTGTAGATCAATATTAGGGCCATTTATAGGAGGAAAAATAAGACGCGTCTTACATAGGACGCGTCTTAAATAAGACGCTAACTGTACCATTTATACGAGCATGTCTTATCTAATAAGACGCGTCTTAGCTAAGCCGTGTCTTATTTTACACGAAATGTGCCGTTTATACAGAAAGTTCGCGTCTTATTTTTCGTCGTATAAATGGCCCTATTGTCACTTAAGTCTGTAAATTTTGTGCAAAATGAAATAGGCACTGCGAATGAGGTCTGAAAAAATCTTGCTTGAAAAAATAACCCATCCCCGACTCAAAAATCAAATAGTGGGCCCCCTACTGGTGGCCCTTCACGCCGAGTGCCATAATATATTAAATGCCTGCAGACTCTGCTACTTGTACCTAGTATGCAACATTCCTTTAACCAATTCAATCGTTTATTTTATAAAGAAAACTAAAGAAAATAAACTATAAAGGTTTTGTTACTTTTATTTCACCGAGGTAAGTCTTTGGGGTTCCACTTATTTTCACTAATTCTACACTGTAATTTGAGACTGTTTATCATACAAGCTAGCTATAAGAATATGAACCTCTCAGAACAAGAACTTTCGAAAATCCTTTAGTTGCTTAAATTTGAAATAAAGAATAGGAGATTGCTCGGAAGAATTTTGTGATTCCTTGCAAACAGGGAGACGTTTCCTGTGAGTTTTTAAAACCTGCTGAGTTAAAGGTTAAGAGTAAACTGCAAAAATCGTCTTTGAAATTAAGTGGCAAACATGAAATTCCGTAAAATGCTCTAGGTTTCACTTCCAGCCAATTTTTGAGGTGATTCTCAGTATTTGCTCTGAATTTTACCAAATTGGAACGCCACATTTTAGTTTGGAAGGCGTTAAATGTTAAATGCTGCAGAGGCTACGACCTGCTGACTTTCACGTTGCCCTACTTGAAAAAGAGGTTACTCTAATTTCTTCTGGGAGAGACCTTATGGGACTTCAAGTAGACCCAACTTGCTCCCTGTGAGTAGTTGTCTGACGTATACGGTAAGTATTCATACGTGTAAATGTGTCAAGGGAATAGGGCCTTAATATTTGAGTGATCGCCTTGTAACACTTTCTACTGTGCTTGACCGCAACACAAGAAAAAAAAATAGCACAGTTTACAAATCGGCCACTGGACCATTTCGTTTCGCACAGAGAATTAAATAATTTTTTTAAAGCTAACATCATTTGTTTGGTGGAAACAAAATATCGGAAGCACTTATGTAGAACGATCATCGCCAACCACATTCTTTCTTTTACAGGCTTAGGGTCAAAAGGGACACCATGCAGTGGCGGATCCAGGGGAGGGGGCCTTATTTTTTTTTTGACCAAAATGAGGCCCGAAGGGTCGAAAAGAATTTTTTTGGAGACCGCCTTCCCCCGCTTATCTGAAGGTCTGGATCTGCCACTGCCATGTTCCAAGATGCCAAAGTCCTTCCTTGCAAAACAGTATTATTGACGCTGATCATGATTGCAGATCACCCATCAAATATTTTGTAGAACATAATATACCCAGATGTCAGAAAGGCATTAAATCTGATATCTCACTTAAACAAACCTAAAACTTAATATTTTTTACAGAACAACAATTATTTGCGGTTGGATGGAATTGGTCACGCTGTATTGTACTGGCATACGCCACTTCCACCTTCTTTGCCCCCCAAAATTTTGCATAAGCAGTGTTTTCAATTTCTCTTGGGACGGCTGTAAGACCAAGGAGAAATGAAAAACAGAGGTTATGCAAAATTTGAGAGGGAGCGGGAGGGTGGGGCTGGTGGGGAATAAGGTGCATTATGGAAAATGTAAAGTGGCGTGTATTGAAAGATGTCCTGTTATACTTGGGGATAAGCGAGCGGGGGTGGGAAAAAATGTAATTGCAATCAGTTTACCCACGCAGCCGCTTAGGAGTTCTTACGAACTCTTGTTTAAACGTCTGTGCGTTCCAGATCGAATTGGAATTTGGAAATGACGCTCTCGGAGCAAAGGAGAAAACCAACAACAATCTTAACCCACATGGGTGGTGGGGAGGACCGTAAAGTGTTCAAATGGACCGCTTAAAAATGATTCTCATCTTTCCTTATTCCAAAAAGGAAACTTTCTTAATTAGAAGTTACAACCCATATTTTAAAAGGGTTGGGAGCTTTCATTGTACCTTACATCAGAGTCGGGAGCAAGAAATCCAGCTGATAATTCACCAGTTTTGCTTCTGTACAACAGCGGACATGGAGCATTGTTGAGCTCGCAAAAACGTTCAAAATCCTTCGCCAAAGAACTTGGAAGAATCGCTAAATTCGCCTGGAGATAACCCATACAAAATCCGGAACTTGTTTTCCCCTGCCACTCGGGATTTGTTCGAAATTCGTATCTTGCTTTGGAGGGTTTCCATAAACCGACATTATCACTTTGTTTGGACGCCATTCTCCTGTAAGAATTGGTTAAAATCGAGCATCGAATGTTATTGAAGCAAAACAATCACCAACACGATAGACTGTAATGAATACTTCGTCATGTGACGTTTCACTGAATTTTTTAGGTGAGGGCAGGGTGAGGTTCTGGACTCCCTCTAAGACGTTTTTAAGGGTTCGTCACGCGTTCCTCCCTGACCTCCCTAACAAACGTCTGCTGAACTACGAAGAGCCACTTCCGTTCTTCGGCTGTTTGCTTTTGTTTAAAGAAACCAATCAGCATTGACTAATTGTGACTAATTGTAGGTTGGTTTTGTCCATCCTATATTTTCTTTGTGAGACATCAACGTTACACTTGGACTCTTGCCCTCTCGGGGCACGTGATATGGCGTTTGAGTTCATGTCAGGGCTTTTAAAAAAACAGAGTGTGCTGGAATTTTACGGCAGAGCCTCTCTGTTCGTTGCGCCGTACCGACGAGCCCCTCAAAAGGCGAAACAGCTGTCTACGGCTACGACCCCGCTCTGTTTTTGGTTCTTTCGGTGTCGTGTTGATGTCTTGCAAAGTTAATTTTCACGTAGTACGATCAGGTTTCCAGAATTCAGCGTGTCTACTAATTGTGACGCGCAAAGCCAATCTCATGCTGTGAAGGAAGGGAACTCGACAGGTGTGGTTCACCTCTGGAGTAATTTTCGCGATAACCAGAATATCCCGTCATGTTCCATGTTGTCATTCATCTCATACGGGGAGGCTCCGACCCGATGTCCAACTCCTTACCCTTTAATCTACCATTTTTTACAAAAAAGGTACCCCTTTCCTATACCTATCGACATTAAAGGCCTAATCTCAAACGCGATTGACAAGTGATCTCTTCGTCTGCGAGGCGCGAGGCCTGCACATGTTTTCCACCGCTGAGTACAAACTCAAGCCGATATTTGCCCGTTACAACTCAAAAAGATACATCAACAATAAATCACATTTTATTTTTATATTTTTATTATGTTAAATAATGTAACCGTGTTTTCTATTCTCACCTATGCATCAGTCAATTCCACCTGCGCCCAGCGGCCCCCCCCTTTCCTCGCCCGGGCTACTGCGGGGCATTTGCCCGCCTTGTCAGTCCCGGGGGTGGGGCATTTGCAAATTTTGCACTGCCCGGGGGCCGGGCATTTGCCAATCCCGGGGCTATTCCCGAGCTTTTGACACGCAGAATAAAGTTTCAATGAATATGCCGTGATTTTATGAGAAGCGGAGGTGACTAATGTTGGCGCGAAGAAATTGTAAGTTTTTGTGGGATCAATGCGATGAAATCTATCGATAAACACTGATTCTTGCGAAAGGTCGACCATGAATTTACTGAATGGTCTCGAAATATATAGTACTAACTTAGGTATAAATGAGCGGGGAATGCGGACTCATTTAAGCCTTTCCAGTTGTACTTACATGTGCTCATATTTACAGCGAGTGTAATTACGCTCCGCTCGGCGGTGATCTCGAAGGTAAGCTTATGTATTGTCGAATTTGATATGTATTAAATTTAAAAACAAAAACATCTTCCGCACATTAGTATATTGATTTCTTGTCGCCAAAAAAACACAAGCGAAATGTTTTGTCATGATCCTGAGAACCGATGAATTCTAATGCGTTTTTCAATCATTTTGAGGGAAGATACAGAATCTCTGAATTTCGCACATCAACTTGGTGTTTATTTTCACACTCACCGCTTTTGTATCGGAAATCTTACTCGTTTGTACGATTTTTGCCTCATCTACTAATGGTTAAATACCATGTACTTTCCATGAAATATTTTGTAGATGTCACTTTGTTTATACCAAAGTAAAGGAGGATTTTTTATTTTTATGGCCACGTACATACCTCCGATCGTTGTCTTGTCATAACCCGCAAAGCGCCGCACAGCGCTTATCGCGGTCGAGCGTAGTTACACTCGTCGTAAATATCACCACACGTAATTATAACTTAAACGCTTAAATGAGCCAATCCCCCTACATGTATACCTAAATTTGCACGGGTGTCTACAAAACAAAGACCTAAGACCTAAGACCTAAGACCTAAGACCCAAAAACGAAGACTAGTTTTTTTTACAGGCCTATCAAACCAGAGCCAGTCAAGCCGGGTCAACGCTTTTCCTCAGACACCAACTGACCTGAAATGAATGGGGTCTTCGTTTTGTAGATTAAGCCGGGTCAAACTACAAAACGAAGACCCTCGCGTAAATACTTTGTTCGTTGTCAACTGAAGCGAAATGAATGGGGTCTTCGTTTTGTAGATTAAACCGGGTCAAACTACAAAACGAAGACCCTCGCTTAAATGCTTTGTTCGTTGTCAACTGACGCGAAATGAATGAGGTCTTCGTTTTGTAGATTAAACCGGGTCAAACTACGTACAAAACGAAGACCCTCGCTTAAATGCTTTGTTCGTTGTCAACTGACGCGAAATGAATGAGGTCTTCGTTTTGTAGATTAAACCGGGTCAAACTACAAAACGAAGACCCTCGCTTAAATGCTTTGTTCGTTGTCAACTGACGCGAAATGAATGAGGTCTTCGTTTTGTAGATTAAGCCGGGTCAAACTACAAAACGAAGACCCTCGCGTAAATGCTTTGTTCGTTGTCAACTGACGCGAAATGAATGAGGTCTTCGTTTTGTAGATTAAGCCGGGTCAAACTACAAAACGAAGACCCTCGCGTAAATGCTTTGTTCGTTGTCAACTGACGCGAAATGAATGGGGTCTTCGTTTTGTAGATTAAGCAGGGTCAAACTACAAAACGAAGACCCTCGCTTAAATGCTTTGTTCGCTGTCAACTGACGCGAAATCAAAGGGGTCTAACTTATGATATTAATGTACGTAAAAATATACTTTTACAAATATGCTTTTACGCTTAAACATTAACAGTTAATGTGAGAATATTTAACAAGAAATATGAAGGATAATGTAAAGATGTTTAGTTCTAAAAACTGAGTATGTGGAATCTGTCGTCGTCACGTTTTATACAGGAGACAGAGGAGACCTCTTAAATTTGACACAACGATATATCTGTCCGTAAAACCCGGCTTGTTGATAAAGAATGTTGATTTTAGCGATGGACAGAGGTTAAAAGTCGGCTAGTTAAGTCATGTGTTTAAAGTTTCTATATTGTATTAACAGTGATTAGATTAGATAGTATTGTTTTTACATATTTGTATGCTGTAATTGTTTTTCTAACTTTTGAGGGCAACATGTTTAGGGGCCGACCATTTAACTCTTGAGGTTTTGAAAAAAAAATTCCTGCAAAGGCTTGTCGGAAGAAAAAAATTGCATGCAGCACAAATGTAATAGAGAGCTTATGGGAAAAAAAGGGAAAAAGATATCCTGCCCACCATATTGCTAGGAACAACAACAACAACAACAAATTTTATTGAAAATTGGAAAATAACTAATTACATTACTTTCCCACCCGCAAATAGCTTATGAACTAATCGAGGCGGGGGGAGCTGAAGACATATTAAAAAACAAGATTTATATATCGATGGACTAAATAACAGTAGATAGAATTTAAACTAACGTAAAACAAGTTATGTACATAACGATTGCGAAGAGAGGCTAACCTAAAGTATTGAATAACTTAATAAGACGGGAGACTTCGACATAATCATCTTCTGACCGCAAAAAATTTAGTAATAATTCCTTTATCTTTTTACGAAAGGGCGAACGTTTAAGTATTTTAATCGAATACGGAATAGAGTTGCAAATTTGGGCACCGATTCTCGTGAAAAAGGCATACATTTTATCGGTACTAGAGAACTTAACATAAAACGAGTCGCTAGAGACAGATCTTGTTCTTTAGTTATGAATCTGACTTGTTTTAACGAACTGATTGAGAATACTAACTGGTGCTGTCTGTCTGTTGCATTCGCTTTGTTCCTGTTGTCGAATATCAATAGATTTTTTCAATACATACCATGAAATGAAAGCCGGGAAAGGAAACTGATCTCTATGTATATTTCATAGTTTTTCGAGTTATCTGTTTATCTTTCAATTTTTTTAAAATTTGTTCCAGTTCAAAGTTACGTTTTAAAAACCATATATTCGCAAAAAACTCCAGGTCATGCCCTATTTTTTTAAAAACAAGCATGTCTGCATTTCAATATAAATGTATTAAAAGGGATAGAAAGGGAGTCAGCTAATTATTTCATTTAATTCGTTCCCAAATTGATCTTTGTTAATGTTATTCAGATATGAATATGAAGATATTAACAGTTTGTAAATTGTACTGGGGATCGCAGAAATTCCCTCTGTTTGTACGTTTTCCTCTGATTTGCAAATAAAACACCATTTGATTTTCTTTACTTTAAAGAGGGCCTTCCTTTTGAAAATGAAGGCGGCCGATGGTTTTGCATCCATACCGTACCCGGAGGTGGGCAAGTTTACATTATCTTATTCTAGTTTTCAAGTTATTGTTTTCAAATTGCCGTTACGAAGTGAGGTCTATTGGGGATAAGCCGATGAAAAACTGTCGACATTGTACAAAAACCCATTTCGTGTCAGTTGACATCTAACAAAGCATTTAAGCGAGGATCTTCGTTTTGTAGTTCGAGCCGGCCTTATTTCACATGTCACACGAGGCGATCTGTTGCAGCAACCTGTCGCGGCGACGTGTCGCAGCGATTTGTCGCATCGTGTGTCTCGGCCTCTAAGCGAGGGTCTTCGTTTTGTAGTTTGACCCGGCTTAATCTACAAAACGAAGACCCCATTCATTTCCCGTCAGTTGACAACGAACAAAGCATTTAAGCGAGGGTCTTCGTTTTGTAGTTTGACCCGGTTTAATCTACAAAACGAAGACCTCATTCATTTCGCTTCAGTTGACAACGAACAAGGTATTTACGCGAGGGTCTTCGTTTAGTAGTTTGACCCGGCTTAATCTACAAAACGAAGACCCCATTCATTTCGCGTCAGTTGGTGTCTGAGGAAAAGCGTTGACCCGGCTTGACTGGCTCTGGTTTGATAGGCCTGTAAAAAAAACTAGTCTTCGTTTTGGGGTCTTCGTTTTTGGGTCTTAGGTCTTACGTCTTAGGTCTTAGGTCTTAGGTCTTAGGTCTTTGTTTTGTAGACACCCTTTGCACTATATATTTCGAGACCTTTTCTTCGAATTCTTCATGTCTGTGTAAATTCAGTGAACATAAATTTCACACTCAACCTCACGCAAGGAGTGTTTTCGGATCGCGAAGGGGGAGGTCCATAAATTGTCAGGGATGGAAGGGTGCGGGGGAGAGAATCAGAGTAAATTGTGTAGCTTGGGAGGGCGGGTTTCCACACTGGCTCTAATATTGGAATGTGAGACGTACTTAATCTCCTTTTGGTTATTTGAACCCATTGCTCTGTCATGAAAAAGGATTTTCTGGGATTTAAATGGGGTTGGTGTTGTTAAGGAAGGGTAGCAAATACTTCATAGGTCCCGTGTTCACCCCATTTGACCCTCCTACGTGTGTAATAAATAGTCAAAAGAAAATGGGTGTGATAGTGAATAACTGCTCGAAAGAGAGGTAAATATGCAGCTAACCCATGCCATCTTTAATAATAAGTGTAATAATGATTACTTGTGAAGTGTGTCATTAATAGTGCGGTGAAAATAACAAGTAAATGCTGGTAATTGACGAAAAATATTTATTGTTAGGTGAACTACAGCAATGAGAGTGTTTGCACTATTGTTGTAGTACATAATTCAGAGATGCCAACCTCTGGAGCTCTAAAAACTGGAGACTCTTTCTTTTGCAATCTCCAGTTGTTCTCTTCAGAGAACAAGTGAAGAACTAACAATTTGACTAACAATAGACGACTGTTTAACTGCGACAATAGACGGATCGAAACGCACCAATCACTGATTACGAGTCTTCATAGCCAATAACATCACATCTTAACTGACAGACGACCAATAACATCGCGACATAATTGACCAATCAGATCAATAACCAGAGTATAATACCATCAACTGACGTGATACAACTCACTTTGACTCTGAAGATGACTACCGCACAGGTCGTCGAAACGTCAGTCACTGTCAACAACAACAGTCCTATTCAGGACTACGTTCACCCGGACGATCAAACTCAACCTTTTTTTTTCATCACAATTTAATTATGATTGTAGTGGGGAAATAATCTTTGTCAGTGATGAAATACGTGCGAAAATGCCTCAGATGCCGAACTTTGAATCAAAGGAAATTCGAATTTTGGGACAAAATGAGATAAATTCCAAATCAAAGCACAGAAAAGCTCATACCTCAACTTTATCCGGGAGATTTGGTGACCCGTACGGGAAGAGATTGTTGTCGTATCTGGGAGAGTTGGCATGTATGATAATCACACTTGACAACGAATTGTTTTTAACAGTAAGGTGCAAACGTAATCACTTACACTGACATAGAAATTACATGTAGCAATGTCATTAAGGATGCAGTTGAGGAGAATTGTGATTATGATGATTATTGAATATGCGGTACCCTCATTAGCACTGAATTATTATTTAAAGCGTTCAAATTTATTTGTGTACATGCATGAGAAACAAATACCCATGCAAAAGTGAATTTGTATGAAATGTCCACATACAAGTCATGTTGAAGTTGATCAGTTTCACAATTCTCAACATGCATGAGCTTGTTGAGACATGGTTTTCGAAATTCCAAGACTGACAGTCAAATGTATACTTTCCCTGATCGAATGAATTGACAATTTGTCCAGATATTGATGGATTCCAAATTCCACTCAAAGCTTCGTGTACTGGACACAGATTCCGTAAAGCAAAACAGCTGAGCAAAAGACCTCTTTGTTTTCTGTTCAGGGAAAATCTGCTTGGTATTGTTTCAAGGCTGTTGTTCTTTTGTTCAGTTACGTCATCTGTGCCCGATACACAAATAAATGCCCAAACTCCCATCACAACCATCCTCGCCCCCATTTATTACATGAATTTATCGTGAATGTAAAGCACAGAATGGATTGATCTTATAGGAAACCCTATATCTGTTTGTCGTTTAATTTCTGGAAACAATATCCTACTGATGGAATATGATTAACTTCAGGGAATATGCAGAAATATGTCATCTCCCACTGACTTCTTTGAAAGCGTCCAATTTTCCTTGACTTGTACCGAAATTCCCTGACTTGAAAAATTGTCCCTTACTGGTAAAAGAATTAATTTTCCTGCCATTGTAACAGATGGCATACTAATATTGTGAGGAGATCCGAAATATAGATATCTTTTCGAATAAATAGGATCTAAAATAGGAGGCCAGCAATAACAAATGTTTGTTATGTTTGACTTAAAAGACACAGCTGTGTTTATGTATAAGGCTGCTAAACATAGATATATATTTTTACGTGGGATGGTTTTGGAGAAATAAATGTAATAAAAATTGTAAACGAAAGTTTTGTTCAGTACGTACTTTGTTTACAAATCAGTCTGTTTACAAATGTAATGTATCTGTCAAATCAAAGCTTCAACATCCACCTCCCGAGGGAATTTGATTATCAGAGTCTTCCAGGGGGTGGGGAATTTGATCCCCATGCGTTAGGGGTGGGGAATTTGAACTGCACCCTCGATTTCATGTGAGATTTCTGGCGTGGCGAGCTATCATCGGGGACGCGGAGTTAGTGGATTTCCGTGGAAAGATTGTGCCGTATTTGAAGGTATTTGAATTTTAACATTTTTAATGTTGGATTCAGGCTTTGAATATATGAATGTATTAAGTTGTGTTTACAATGAAATAAAATACGTATACCGGCGATTCAATACAACAATAAAAAGCTCAACGTAGGTCAATTACTTTGACCCACGTTTGACCTGATTTTGACCAGCCGTAAGTACGTTAATTAATAAGGTGAACGATAGTGCATGTCAGTGAAATGGTCATGATCAGAAGTAATCTCAATAGGTGGAATTTTTTCATAGAATGCTTTGTATGTTGCATGACACACGAAGAAGAGCTGAGCATTCAGTGACCTTGTAGCAGCGATTTAACTTTTGTTAATGGCTTCAATTTCATAGTAGCTGACAATACCAGAACAACTGTCAATAAGCAAACTTAAAAAACTTTTCTAGTATTCAGAAATTTATCTTCTATTCTGACCCCACTACCGGCAAACACTTAACGTTTTGTATTATTACTGAGTAATCGTAGCTATGTAGTAAGCTACGTGCAAACAGATGCAAAAACTCCGAACATTGCTAAGCCAATATTATTCGGACTTGTTGCGTTCGTGCAGTGGCGTGCAAACGCATACGACAACATCCAACGATGTTAGAACCTTCAGTGCATCTTGGAAAGGATACAACCCATAAGACTTTGTAAACACCAAGGAGACCATACGTTATGTCCGTAATGCGCGTGCGTGGCCCGAACCATGGAAGACCTGTGCAAACAGAGCAAACTTTGTTGCGCTACACTTGAGCGATCGCGGAGCAAAAGAAATGTTGGGAGTTGTTGGCTCAAAATCTTGACCAGTTTCAAATTTTGGGCAGCAACTCCTATCAGCACTCAACAACATGCAACAGGGTGTGCAAACGGACGCAACATGCAAAATCCAACAGTGTCTGGAGTTGTATGCCAACAATGTTGCGTCTGCTTGGACAGGGCTACGGCTATTCTACACACAGCTAACAAATTTTAAAAATAGTTTTTAATTTTCTCCAGTGACTTGGGAAATCTGACTTCTCAATTCACCCTGAAATAACAAAAAATATATATATAGTTTAAGAATGTTGGTGTCGACTACAAAGGGTCGAAAATCAAGCACACTCAGTGGATCATTCTGACATATAAAAAAATAATAAAAACAATAAAGGACCCTACGCTGAGCCCTGTGGAACTCAATACCACCGGCACGTTCCGAAAACATCTCTTTAGTGTTGAAAGAAATGAGAAAGATGTTTTAGGTTGACTTGAATATCCTTAGCTATTCCAGCTTAAAGCGTGGATCCGAAACGTTTGTTTTGTTTTACCGGAAACGGTTCTATTTTTCGCCAGGCGTCCCAATTACGAACTGACGTAATAAAGCGTGTTTTTGCAGAGACATAATTATTTGACCATCGGCTAAAACATGAAACTTGACTCTTGAACTATTTTTAAAAAAAAATCTGCACTCAAAACTGTATGATAGAGGAATCTGGAACTGTATTTCTGTTATACATAAGGTTCGATGCGCTCAGTTTCAATAGACCTTTCCACCTTCAAGCAATTTTACTACTTTCCCCAGTTTAAGACGTTCTTTCCAGTGGTGCCGGCGGCTTTTCTCCAAAAAGTCCACGTCAAAAATTGAAAAATCGTAGAAGGGTCTCCAGGGAGCTTTATTAAGCGACGACGACGGCAACGAGAACGGCAAAAAAAAAATCATTAGGATCACATTAGTAAAACAACAACTTCGCAGGTGCATTACGATTTTTAGTACACTAAATTATTTGACGACCAAGACGTGAAACTGCCTAATTTCACTTTTTGTTGAACTTGCGTGAACTCAAGTCAGCTATTTTCGAATTCTTTTTTTAAACTTAGGGCGCTTTCCATTTGTCAAAACTGGCCGGTTGGACCATTGCCTGACCAGTCACTTAGCAAACGAAATCGGCTTTTCCCAAGAGTTTTTTTCTGAAAAACCATTTCCTTCGTGTATAATGTTTAGGATAAAAGAGAAATTTTCGTTGTGAAGGGAATGTTCTGGCCGGCCAATTTTGACAAATGGAAAGTGGCCTAAAGCCCTTTAGAATTCAACTCCAGAAAACTTCACTAACATTTGACAAATTAAGCGCCATGGAAGAAGAGCGATGAATTTTGAAAGAGCGCGAATTCACATTTTTAAGAGACGTTTTTGCCACCTTCGTCGCCGTCATTGCTTAAGCTCCTTAATAACCGAAAAAGAAAAAAGGGCCGCGCGTAACGAGAGTGGTCTGTCTGTGTTACAATTTCGTCACTTATACGATCCATTCAAAACTAGATTGTAGGTGTCCGAAGCAGAAGCGCAAGAATAATCCAATGACAGCGACCGTTCCCATGCTTTGTGATTGGTTATTTTCCCACTTCTTCGAAAGAAAAAAGCATTGAAGCCCTTGCTAGCAATTTCACCATAAATGTTTGGTACAGGAATTTTTCTTGAGATCTCACTGAGTTATTTGATTGCGAGCGCGTAAATTGATTGGCAAGGGTGGTTACTTTTGTTACTTTACAATAGAAACAAGGGTAGAAAGAGACCCTCATGGACGACTAGGCTCATAAAACAACCCTCACCTCTAATGTGTTCAGGATAAACTGATGAGCTTGAAAGATTGGGCTCTTCCCTATACCACGCCTCATATAACGGGAATGAATTGGACACATGTTAAGAACACAGAGCGCTGCAGCAAGGCCACACCCAGCAACCTTCAATGAGCTGGTGATCAATGTGTGGCTGTCCACTGACTCAGCTTCATCTGCTGTGGTCTTAGTTTTGTCAGCAATGATCTTAATGGACACAATTCCATTGTGTTTTTCAGCTGTAAACAGAGAATACAGGCTTCTAAACCACGTACATAGAACGAAAATAAGGTCATCACAGTGTTAGGAATGGGTCTAGTAAAATGGAGGTACCATCCAGCTGCTGGTTAATGATCGCTACAAAATCAGTTTATTAAATCATTTGATTTAGTGGAACTTGACAAAAATTTGCGCCATGTCCCTTAGACAGCAATAAATGACATATTCACCTTTTAAAAGCTAACTTATATAATAGTCGAACATTCTAAATACTTTAATGACTGAAAAGAATTCATTTATTTTCCCCCATGTGAACCCAACATTACCGTGTTTTGCAAACGTATTGTTTTTTTTTAAAAAACCCTTCCAACAAACCTTCTTCAAATAACGTGTCCACCAAACCACTTTTGATGTCACTCTTCGTTTCAGGTTGAAGTGATTTTTTAGCCTCCAAGCCTATCATCGTATCAAGCCTCGGAATGATTTTACCTTGATACAGCTTGTGTAGCAAAGCATTCATCTTCTCGTCGTGAGCACATTCAACAACACGAACACCATCCTTCGAGATTAAATGACCCTGGGCAACGTTGTCTTCTATACTATCTTCAAAAAGCTTTGCATTGTGTTCAGTTACAATAGTTATCTTCTTATTCAGTGCTTCAAGAGCTTTGATAAGAGCGATCATTGCCTGGATGCATTCTGATGTACTTGTCTCCGATAAAAAGCTTTCTTTCTCATTTAAAAAGCCGATAACAACAATTGGAGCATGGGACAGTCTCAGTGATATCTTCAGGAAATCCGTTGTGGACTGTGCATCTACCTTTCCATCGACACTGTTGCTGGCTGAAGAAATTTCAGCCAGCTGTTCTACTTTTGTTGCTACACTGACAGAACAGACAGAAGCAAGGTAAGGTTGATCTGTCAGAGTGACGAGCCTTGGTTGTTCATCGCCATGTTCTGGTCTATGGATTTTGAAGTATTCATCCACAGTCGTATCGCAGATAAACACTGAACCAGGAAAATGGCAGAAGCAAAGTGGGAGTTCTGATTTTTAAAAGAAAAAAGGAGAAAGATTTTTATCAAAAGTTACAGGTGCGCTACCAATTTAGTTAGTCAGCAACAAACTTAAGAATGTCATGCAGGGCATGGTTACAAAAAAACTAACTGAAATACAATTTACATATTAGCATCTTGTGTCATTTTAGGGTATGAAAATACATGGTGCTAAAATACTTACCAACGCAGATGATTCATCATCATCATCATCATCATCATTATTATTATCACGATTATCATTATTATTCATACAGTGTAAACTATCTATACCCATATTTCTCTTAGTACACCAGAAAGGACGTAACTTCACTTAAATGCTCATATACGTGTCTTCGCAGCTCACAATATTTTCAACCTTTATCTCTTCAACCATTTTTGCTACCGGGTTCCTGATATAATAATTTGATGAGCCTTTTCGCAACTTCAGTTAGTCTTACCGTATTAAGAACTTGAGAGAAAGTATTAGAAGGATAACTGCCAGCGCATTGGTGGGAGTACTCGCCTCTGGCCAGTGTGGCCCGGGTTTGAATCCCGAAGGCGATGCCCTATAGGTGAATCTTTGTTTACACTTTTTGCCTCATTAACATATGCTTATCACTATCTGATGACGCTAATAAAATAAAAACTCTATTTATTGAAAGGGCATAATAGTTTCAGTTATCTCTGAATTTTTGACCCCAATACACCTGATGGTTTCGGAGAAATTCTGTTCTGAAAACTCGAAATTTTACAGATAATGCACTGGCCCAATAACTTTTTTGCCTCATAGCAATTTTGCAGTTTTTGATGGCTGATATTTCCTTCAATATTGCTTGCAAAGAGCTGAAAATTGCGCAAATTGCTCAACTTAATGAGCTCTTTCAACTTTTGCATTGAGTTCATATATAGGGCATGCACTGCTTCTATGAGTTAAGTCGTATGCTAATGAGGAAAAAAGTAAACAATGACCTCAGCAAAGATTCGCCCATTGGGGTCGAGCCTGTTGTTGATTCTCGCCAATGTTCAGCTTGAAAGGCTTTTTCTCCGGGTACTCCGCTTTACCCCCTCCTCTAAAATCAATATTTCCGAATTGCAATATCAATCCAGAATGATGAACTACGCTGGAGATGCACTACGACTGAAATAGTCATTAAGAGCTACTTGACAAATACCAACACCAACTTTGTAGTGTGTAAAGTTTGTTACATTAAAAACATACTTGCTGCTCTTAATGCTATGGACCCTGATCTGCCACAGGCCCAAAACATGGGTATAAGATCTCCAATGTCTGAAGGTTCACCAAACTCTGTGTTGTAAAGATCATCTATTCCAATGACTGCTGGATCTCCAATGTGTATTGGTGCTCCATGCAAGCCTTCAAAGGCAGCAGTGATGATAAGAGTTTTTTCCACCAGATCTTTGGGAATTGCACGCATGGAAACAATTAAAGGAGAGGCAAATGGTCCAACAGATATGCAGTGAAGGTTGGTCTCAAACATGGAGGCACCATCACCGTGTTTTTCGGTTATATTCTTCAGGGGAATTCCAGCTTGTACTAGCTTTCCCTCAAAACCAAAACTGCAGCCCACATAGAAAGAAACTAAGTCATTCCAAGTGTGTGCTGTGAGATCTCCAGGTGTTTCAGTAATTACTCCAAATTCATTCACACAGTCCTAAAACAAACACAGTTGTAATCAAAATAGGACAAGAGTTGAATTCATTCCCATGGAATTTTTAAACATGGATCTTGGCCAAAAACGCTCCATTTTTTGGCCCAGAAAGGCAATTAAACAAATTACTTTCAAGCCGACAAAGGAAAATGTTAAGAGGTTGTAGCAATTATCAAGGTTAAACGTGTACAAAAATTACCGCTTAAATAGAATTCGGTTAGATTTAAGGGGGTGGTATATTATCAAGTGTTTTCAAGGTATCCTGGGACTAATCAGTTTAAGGCTAATTATAAGATAACCGAGAATTCTTGAAACATCTGGAAGGAAATTGTTGATAACTGCATCGCGTAACCAGGTTACTCGCTTTTTTTGACTGAAATACCCACAAGCTAGAGAGCAAAAGTCGTTTCTTCGATATTTTCAGACAGAGGCTACTTATAGCATATAGTGTTCTTGTAAAACCGGAAAGAATGAGATTAGCTTTTCCCTGTTAAAAAGATTGTTTAGAGAAGGACTGGCAATTGTGAATGAACAACAACTACACTTTAAAATTGAAACACTTTCTCGATTCCGTTCCAAGCTGATTTCATAGACACTTTATAGGTTCATTCTATTGACAAAGAGAAAATAAAGCTGCACATGTTGTAAGCATTGGAATTGTTTATTACAATCTTCAAGCAATAAAGGGCGCCGTGGAGTAAATACTCTAACTTAAATCCGGTACACAAAAACACAATACTAAGAAATCGTGTCTGTTCAATTCGAAGTGCCTCTTTCATTCAGAAACAAAGCATTGAAATACTGGTTTTAGGGACAGTGAGGGACGGACTATTATTTTTCTGGTTGGGGGGAAGGGGGGATGAGAAATACGGAAAAAAAATTGTTTGTAGGGCCTGAAAAGACAAAATAAATTGTTTTGCAAACACGATACGCGTAAACAAAATGTTTGCACAGAAGTCAGATAAAATATTAAAAATTTAACAAAAAACTGAAAGTAGTAAATTGAAACAAGGACAAAAATGTATTGACTGGGTACTTCAACATGGTCATTTTATAACATTGAAACAAATAATAGATTAGAATATAGCTAATTCTTTTATGAGTAAACGGGAATTTATTGTGTCTATTGTGGCTATTAAATCTCAACATTATTTGTTAACATTTTGCCATACAAAACGTCCAAGAGTTTTCTCAAAACTGTATTAAACAAATCCTTCAAACTCGGCTATACTCATCGCCACTATTCACACTTTTCAGAAGCAAATCACATGAACAAACTCTAAAAATAGCTGAGAAAGCCCTACAAGTGTATGCGTGTAACATATTCTGTGGTCATCATCCAATAATTCTCTAAAATCTAAAAAAATGACAGAAAACGATTAAAGCAGTTATGCCTTGACATTCATTACATGTTTGTTGACATCTGCAACTTTTTTGTTGTACTGCAGAGAAATCACATGTGATTTGTTTTTTTAATTTTTAAAAAAATTTTCTATAATTTTGTCAACTCCCTGAAGACAGGCGTCTACGTTGGTTAGAGGAAACACGTAGGAGAATAGACAAGTTTTACAGTTCGCAGAATGCTGCTTACTAGTTTAGTCAAAAATATTTAAAAAACCTGCAACTCCCTTTGCCTATTCATTGTCCTATGCGGTTTATTTGCACCAGCAACTGTCAAAGAAGACGAATAAACAAAGCACAAACTATAAATTCAGGCGCGGATCGTCACCGGTTCCCACCGTTATAAAGAAATCGGTCAGAGTTTTCACAATAAATAAGTTTTAATATAAGAAAAACTCTCCAAGTTGAAATCGAGAGAAGAACTAATCCGCCGATTTGCAAGGCTTTCATTCCGAGGAGAACAGAATTGGCCAATATCCCGTCTGAATGACTCAGAAACCCAGGAACTAACTCCCTCCGCGCCTGAGCATATATGGAGAAAATAAGTGGCTATAGCACTATCGATTGTTTCTCGAAAAAATATGTTAATAAGCTTATAATAACCGATAACACTAAAGAAAAAAACACCGGAGAAAAAATGTTTTCAAGCAGGTGACTTTGGAAAAAAAAAATGATTGCAGAGATGCATGTTTGCAGAAGAAAATTCCTCATCCCCCCTCCAGCAAAATAATGGTCAGTCCCTTACATAGTATAGGTATGCACCTAGCTCTTTCTCTCCTGATATGCTCAACGTAGTATTGTTCAAAACCATGTATTTCTATTGCACGTACTCAATAAAAACCATTAAAAAGTATTAACTGCCTTATATGCTGGTAACTGAGTAGTTTCTGAAAATCGCAAAAAATAATTCCCATCAAGAAAAACCGGTCATTTCTAACTGCAAAAAAATTAGTTCCCGCAAAACAAAAAAAATCGTTAATCCCCAAAAATAAGCTCCTGCAAAACTTTCGTGCCTCACGGTAGCCAATAAGCTCTGTGACAATTAGCTAAAATTTGTCGGCAAACGCTCTCAGCTTTTTAGTTACTGAACGCAAATGCTACCGTTTTGTTTTGGAAGGAAAATGTATGACCAAACGGATGAAAGTTTGCGTAAGAGAATATCCCGCATTCGCGGCAACGGCTCTGGAAAATGTGCAAGTACTGAAACTTTGGACAAGAACAAGAAAACACTGTGATTTAAATTGTGTTCAGATGTTGGCATTCAAACAATTATGTTCAGTTGCGGACAAAGTCTGCTGAAATAGTTGGAGGAAATGACTGAAATGTTTATTTTTAATAGTTTTGGTGTTGAAAGTAAGTATTTGCATTGTTTTTGTCTTCAGTTGTACTCGAAATGGCGGTTTTCCGTGGCCTTTTTACCTTCAGCGCCTTAATTAAGTACTAGGTCTGCGCATTAAGTAAAGGATCGTAAAGGGTTAGTTGGCGCTATAAGAATGAACCTTTTTTTGAAATCTTGCAGTATATTTGTTTCAACAAACGGTTCGATTGTGTAATATTATTTCTGTGACACTCTAACAAGTGGATCAGCCGACCAGCTATATAATTAATAAGTACGAGGACTACGTCCTTGTCAAATTTGAAAATAATTGGGTAAAAAAAATTTATCTAACAGCGAAATTGGACTCTTCTTACGGCCTCATCCAATTTTGGCTGTCCTTGGAATTTCTTTCATCCAATTATTTCCAAATTGGACAGCATGTAGTCCGACTACATATACTAATTTATGTGCTCACGGTTTTCTGAGTTTGACAGTATTACAAATATAAAACTTCATTGCAATTCCGCCGAGTGTATTTTAAAAGTATTAAAACACTGACTCGGGGCCTTTTGTTCTTTTGTGAAAATGAAATAAAAGAACAATGGATCTTCCATCACTCCAACTCGCTCAATTTGCATGTATAGATAAACTTAAAAGAACAATTCGCCTTTTGTGCATTAACCAATATCGTTTTTGAAGTTCTTGATGCTGTTGCAATTTATATAAGCTTGAGTTAAACTTTATAAATTCCATTTTGTTTTGTACCTTATATCAGAGGCAGGAGCCAGGGGTCCAGCTGAGACCTCACCACGTTCACTTCTATAAAGTAAAGGACAAGCTACGCTATTGAACTCACAAAACTGCTCGAAATCATTTGCTAAAGCAGATGGTAAAATGACCACAGTCGTCTGAAGATATCCCATGCAAAATCCTGCGGTCGTTACTCCCTTTAAAGCAGGATTCGTTCGAAACTCGTGTCTTGCTATTGACGGTTTCCATAGACTGACCACATCACTTTGTTGGGAAGACATGCTTAAAGTGTGTAAGTGAGGGGAGGATCAGGGAGCTGAATAATTACAAGGGGCTGAGACTTGGGCGAAGTCATGGGCAGGGCGGGGCCTTCCCTTGCGCCGAGGCCCCCGCCGGCTGAGACAGACAATCTTCAATTGTAGCCTTTCAATCAGGGATAATCACAGGTTCTCAATGGCCACAACAACAACAACAACAATAATAATAATAACAATTATAATAATAATGATAATGATAAAAATAATTGTTCCTCCAGTCTGTACATTATGAACATCAACACACTGTACTGTAGCTTGAATTTCGTCCGATTACTTCGAGTCGTTATTACTCCCTCATTAACGACGTTCCTGAGAGGAGAAAAACGACTCGAAGTAATCGGATGAAATTCAGGTTAACTGTACTGTACTGATAACTTCAAATGCTCAATTAACTGATACTTTTATTAATAATCCAATTAATGTATAAATACCCATGACTAGAACCTCGGTGTTATTCTGCAACGAAAACCTGCAATGCATTTGTACCCGATCATAAACCATTAATTGATTCGTTTTGTTTTGTTTTGTCAATTTACGGCAAATTTGAGCCTGGGGGATTTAATTGGAGCAGTGCGTGACTCCGGCCCAAGACTAATCCTTCTTTTGTAAATAAATATTTAATAAAAAATAACTTTTTATTTACAAAACCATGGAAAAGTGAAAAGGTAAGGAGTTTGCCCCTTTCTAGTTCATTTCCTTTTATAAAATAACTAAGGATAGTACGCGCGTTCTGATTGGTTAAAAACCTATGGTTTACTTCTGCCGGTAAACTCATACTTTTACTTTAAATTATTTTATAAAAGCAATAGACCACACTTTCTATGGGTTTTCTATGGGTTTAAGAGCTCGTAAATTACTCACCTTCGGCTCGTGATTTACAAGCTTTTCTCGTGTTCTCCCAACATCTCGCGTGGGTTATCACGCCGTAAACCCATAGAAGGTGTGGGCTATTGCTTAACTAATAAAATAAATTAAGAACCTCCTATAATTATTTACAACTGTCGCAAGTTAGCCTGTTTCAGGCTTACAGATAGTAGAGTGCAGGAGAAAAATTCATGCTGTACAATTTAACTCGCTCCCCACCATCTGACCCGCGTGTTGCCTTGAACAGGCTACGCAAGAGTAATCTGAGAAGACCACAAAATCCCTACCCCCCACCCGCAGGGGATTTCGACTCTCCCCAGCTTTCTTCATTTTGAATTCAAGATGGCAACGTAAGTGGCATGCACTGGAAAACAGTGGACTCAGTTTATTAGATCGCTGCAATCAATCTTTTGAAGGCGCTCTACCTACTGATCAAAATGTTATATCCCTACTTTTTGAGTGTCAAGGCATTCGGAGGCATGTGACATCCGCGTGAATTGTCACGCTATGCTTTTTCGATTGAGGTGGCTCCCTTCTGTTGTGTGTTTACTCCACAGAAGGAATCGATTCGACATGGCAGCGTTGTACGCACAGCGGAGGAAATTTTCAACAGAGTTTTACTTCAGCGTGGTAGTTGTTCCATCCAGTAATGGCGATCAGCTGGAGAGATTCTGTGATTTAAACAAAGGGATAAGTCCTTTACTTTTCCGCAGTGCAACAGGGGATACAACGGCTGGGAACCTTGGAGATTCAGATGTCAGGTATGCATCACTGAACGCTAGCCGATCATAGAGTTTTATAAGGTAATCAGTGGCCTATCTTTAAGGTTTCACTGTTTTGCGTAACCTTTATAGGAAGTACCGTTGGCCGAATTGTTCGAAGTATTGTTAGCAGTAATCCTGGGCTGGATTAATTAACTGCCCACCTACCCCTCCCCTAACCCAACATTTTGCCCAAAATGAGATGCAAATATCAACGTTGAGTTAGGGAAGGGGTAGGTGGGCAATTTCTCAGAAATCTAAATTTGATTCCCCGGGCTTACTGCAAACAAGGCTGGGCATATAAAGTTGTCATTTTAACAATAATGGTGTATTTATAATAGAAGATGTCTTAGACATCCAGACGCATAATAAACGTATGACTTAAGTGCATCCTGTTTTGTATACTAGACGTCTTAAATGTCTGAGACGACTAATTCATCTGTTAAGTGCATCGATCAGATGCACTTAACTTCAGACGTTTTATTCATCTGAGGTTTAATGTGTCAGCCTTATTTCCCGTATTTACAATAGATGTCTAAATTGTCTAAGATGTCTTAAATGTCTCAGACGCCTTAGACGTCCTCTAGTATAAATACGGCAAATAATGAATTTGCATTAAGCCTTAAAGTACCACATAATGATCTCCATACATTTCCGCGAAATTATAGTATAGAGGATTTGATAAAAGATCAAATTATTTTCTCTTCGATGATCATTTTATTCATTCTAATAATAGCCTGCGTAGCAAGCATGTCCATGCAAGTTCGTTGAGAAAGTTGGGATGAGAGCAATAAAAAAGGAATGAAGGGGGGAGGGGAAGGGGGAGTGGAGAGAACGAAACGCTTGCCCGCAAACCCCATGATTTTTGAAAAACTGTGCTCGCCCATATAAACGCAGACTCTGACTGGTGCGGTGCTCTTAGTGTTTATGAAATAGAGATCAACACATTAATCAAACCAGCTAAAGTTGCCCTAGAGAAGCCCATTCGTCAACTCTTCAAAATTAAAAGATTCTTTGATTATTGCAAATTTTATAGTGGCATGTGTTGTGCAGAACTTTTCGACATGCGCAGGATAGCAGCGCTCTCTGCAAAAGCCATAGCAACGGACTGAATTGTCCAAGAGAAGTCAGAGATAAAGCCCCTTAACTTTCCAAATGTAACTTGACAATCAAAAAACAATAAATTCTGCAATCACTTGAAGTTTCAACCTTCTTGTATTGTTATTATAGTTTTCTGCAATTGCATGGAGCATGTTGTTTTAAAGGAAACAAAGTAAATTTTTGAAATCTGGTGATCTGGTATAATAATTATTCTGTTCGCTCTTCCGTCACGTTATACTGGCTGTTATGTTGACAAGCTGTCAATTTACAAATAAATCATACCATGAAATATCAAGGGGTTAGCGGGCACGCATTTCCTCTCCTCTTCCAACTTTTTTTTGCTTTTGTGGGTAACTCTCACGCAATAACTCGATTGGAAACACTTGCTATGCAGGGTACTCTTATGACCTTTTTACTCGTTTGGAGAAAATTGGTGTTGGCCACTCTTGGGCCCAAAAGGCTAATCAGCTTTCAGTAAATTACCTCAGATGTCAAAGGGCTTTCAGTTTTGCTTGTGTACTGTCAAGCCGTGAACCAAGACCAACAGAGATGATTATCTTACCATACTGATCAGATAATGGAAATTTGATCAAGCCACCTGTGATTTGGAAGACCGGGTAGTGTGGATTTGGAAAACTGCTTGTACTGCTAGAAAATTTCAAGCTATACCCCTGGGTGGGTAGTTGTAACTTCAAGCAAGCATAATTTACAGTAGTAGTACAAACTTACTTAATTTTTTTGTAAACTTTTGTAGACACAGTCAAACCCTGTTAATACGGACACTAAAGGGGCCATAGAATGTGTCTGTATTATCGCGGTGTCCGTTATTAAGCTAGTCATGTTATTAAAAACCTTTTATTAGAACAAATTATGCTAAAAAAATAAGAGGACAAACATTGCCAAGAAAAAATCTTCACCTTAAGAAGGCCATCATTTCAATCCATGGAAACACTCAAAAATCACTCATTTTTATATTGCTAAATCCAAGCTATTCTCTACTTTATTACATCCACTTTGAAATCACTGACTATCCGTGCAATCTGATTGGCTCTCAGCAGTGTGATTTATTCCTAAATCGCACCATTTTTTGCGCTAAGTCGCATCTGTTCCAAATCGCGTCATTCATGTTCTAAATCGCATCAGTTCTGTTTTAAATCGCACCATTTTTGTTCTATATATTGCATCATTTCTGTTTCGAATACAAAATGAGATGTAAAAGCCTTTTTGGGCGATCAATAAAATATTACTATTGACTAAATTCTGCGATTTCAAAATGGATGTAATAAAGTGGTAATTGAACTTCGTGTCGTGCAATTTTGGTCTGAAATCATACTTGTGATTTCAAATCAAACTCGCGCTGCGCGCTAGTTCGATTTTGAAATCGCGCACTTAGTTCAATTACCATTATTAATTTATTTGATGCCAAAATAAGGGTCCTCAACAAATCGTGTCATCCACTGTACTGTAGGGCTCATGGACATGCTGTCAAGTGAAGTTTTTTTTTCCTTCAAAACCTTTACAACACACAGATGATGATGAAATGTTCACATTAGCAAGGTTGACATTCTATAAGAATCTATTGATTGGACAAGAAACAAGTGTCCGTTGTCTGCATTAATAGGTGTCTGTATTAAATGGGTTAAATTTAGAGAAAATGTATGGGCTCTCCCAGGGGACCAGGAAAACTGTCCGTAAGAACAGGGTGTCCATATTAAGTGGGTGTCCTCAATGCGGGTGTACTTAAAAACAAAGCTGTTCAAGAATGGGCCAACTTTATATCTTTCAACAAACAGCAAGAAGTGTTTGCAGTCTTGTTTACTGGGTGTGGATAATCCTTGATACCCCTGTATTTCAACTGATGCCAGACGATTGCTTATTTCTGTGTGTTAAAGGAGCTGTCAGGGTGTCAGGGTGTTAAGTGAGCTGTCAGGGTGTTTGTATTAAGCACATCATCATCATGTTATTGGAGTCAAAAATACATATTTTATTCCAACAAAATACTAATTGAATAAAAGAGGGCATAAGCATTGTCAAACTAAAAATTTCAAGCCTTCACAAAGCCATCATTCTGCAGGACAAATTCACAGAAACACTCAAAAATCGCATCTGTATGTTACTCAATCAAAATCATTCTCTGAATGCTGTGATGCCAAAAAAGTCTGAAATTGACTTCTATAATTCTTTCTCTCCAGTGTACTACATAGCTTTGGGAACATCGACTTGCTGTCAACTGAAGGTTTTTTTACCTTCAAAAAGGAAAGGTTTTTTACAGCAAACAGTTGATGATGAATTGTCCGCAAACAAGTGTCTGATGTCCACATTAATTGGTGTCCACATTAAGCGGTTTGACTTAAAAGAAAAAGTAAGGGCTTTCCCCAGGGACAAATAAAACTGTCCGTGTAACGAGGTGTCCGTATTAAGCCAGTGTTTGAATGAACAGTAATAGTAGATAACTGTCATTTTATTTAGATTTAAACTCCACTCTTCTAATCTTTGTCTTTATGGCTTTGCAGAACAGTCTTGGGTTCCTACCAAGTCCTAAAGTGTGGTCAGGAAGTTAGCCATGTTAAAAGACTTGAACTGTTTCAAAGGGACAACATGGTGACGTTTTACATTGGCTCTATTAGTCATTGCATTGAGAAGTTGCTCATGAATGCTGGAATTCTCACTCAAGGCAGACAAAATGTAAAACAATCTACCCCTCTGTATAAAACAAACATTCCATGTGAAGATGCTGGACCATTTTCTTCACAAGTGGTAGTTGCTTTGCATCCAATACCTAGAGACCTTCTGGAAACGGCAATAGACTCAACTTCATGTTTATTAGGAGCTGTTAGTGTCTTGCCAATTCATATTGGTGACCCGTCTGTGATTGGCATCAATGACATTAATCAGCCAGACTTTGGAGATCCACCAGTGTTGGATGACAGTGTTCCAGTGTTCTGGTCCTCTTGTGTCACAGCTCATTTGGCCGTCAGATCTGCTGGTATTGTAGCTTTTTTTTGCTCGCTGTTTTTTTCTCGGTTTGTTTTCCTTCCCTCATTTTATGTCTTCAGCAAACCTCCACCATTCAACGAAATTCAGTGACCATAAATTGTCAAAGAAAAAGGGAGTATATATTCCAATCCTCTTTCTAACAGGTCAAAAGGAGACCTTTCTTATCCAAAAAATATAATTAATACTCAGTTCTAAGAAAGTGGCCCCTTTTCGCCATCAAATTCCCCGCGAGAGTGTGTATCATACCCAGACCTCGCTCTTTTCTGTTGCAGGTCTAAATAGGGACCTTAAGATCCGACGACAGCGGCGGCAACGAGGACGTCGAAAAACCATTAGGTTTAATATCTAAAACAACAATTTTGCACGTGCATGACGCTATTTTGTACATTTCTTTGCACGACTACGACTAATGTCACGTTTCAGAGAGGAAATACACAAGCGACGACGAAATTTCTCCTCTATTTCTGAAATTGGATATGGTTCTTAGGAGTTCAATTTTAGGAGGGTTCACCTACATTTAACAAAGTTGGTGACTTGGAGTAATCGCGATGAAGATTGAAAGAACGCGAATTCACTTTTTCAGCGACGTTTTTGCTGCCGTCGCCGTCCTCGGATCTTAAGGTCCCTAATGTAACCACTCTGAGAGGGGATTTAAGAAATAGGTAAAACTTTAACTAATACCTTAGAAAATGTCTAAAAATGAAAATTGAATGCTAATAACCCTATCCAAATGGGTGATGACTTTGTTACTGCCCCTATTTCTTGCCAATTACAGGTTTACCAATCGCCTTCAAAAACGACATGGACTGCATTTTTGTGTGTGATACACCCACAGAGGAATTCCTTCAGAAACACCCACCTATTGGTGCGAATACTAAGCTAAAAGTAGTGACTCTAAAGGAGGACCCCTTTGTCGCTTCTCTATTATCTGAAAACTCTGAATCAAGAATCAATGGCTTAGAGGCCGCCATTCAAGAAGACGTTGGAGGTCGGGGTATCGCAAATTTACATATTCCTAGAGAGCTGGTGAAAGCGGCACTTGCGTTATCTCATTCGTCTTCGGTAGCTGTTCATTTTGGTTTCCCTTGTGTTACTGGAGAGAACTTTTTGGACGAAACTGATGGTCCATCAGGTGCCATCGCAATCGGCAAAGCTCTCAAAGCTTTCGGCAAAAAAGTCACGTTTATTGCAAGCTCTTACCACATCCAATTAGTGCGGACACTAGTTTCGAAGTTTTTGGGGAGAGACGTTTCTGTTGTGGAATTCCAACCTCCGGGGAATGACGATCCAGTCGGAGTTCAAACAGCTGCCGTGGAGTTCCTTTTCCACGATGGTGTGAAACCAATCAATCCCAAGTTTGACGCATTGGTTGCCATAGAAGCAACGTCTAGGACCGCTGAAGGAGGTTACATGACAATGAAAGGCAGAGACTTATCGGATGTTTGTAGGAAGAGTCCAGTTGATGAATTATTCATTCAAGGTACTGTTCCTCTGAGGCCCCGTCCACACTAATCTGGATAATTTGAGAACACACTTTTTTTTCTTTGATTTAGTCAACCGTTCTCACTAAATCTAGTAAGTTAACCCTTAATGTTCCAATAGTGACCAACAGCAATTTTCTCCTAACGATATCCATACATTCTCATGAGATGAGGTTATGAGAATTGATAAAATGATCACCCAAGAGAAAATACTTTGATCTTTTATCAAATTCTCTCAACCCATCCATGAAGGAAATATATAGAGATCAGTTTGGAGAATTTGTATGTGGATATTGGGGCTTAAAGGGTTAAGACAGTAAACGCTGGGTATGTGGCATAGTGTGAACAGAACTTTTTAAGAACGCCAACGTCAAATGGGCATGAATCGCAATGTCAACGCGGGTTCAAGTAATAAGGATGTGCTCTTCCATTTAATATTATTGGGCCAAGGCACCAAAATTTATCCTGATTAGCTTGGAATGTGAAATTATTGAAAAAAATACGAAAGCGTTGGTGTCCACCGAAAAGCTTTGAACCTTCTTTGGGGGCGAAAACTTCGTTTTCAAATTTCTCTGGAATGGATACAAACAAACAATACATGGTTTGAGGTGGTTAAAACTGTTACTCTGGGGCCAGTTGTTTATAAGATGGATAGTACTATCCACTGGATAATGCAAAAGGCCATTTCCGAGTTCGAAAACTTTTCACTTTCAAAACAAGGCTAATTGTAAATCCTTCTGGTGAAAACGAGTTACATTTGCGTGAGAATAAAAATCATTTTCGTATCTATGGCTTTGCACTTAGCCTCGCTTTGAAACAGAGGCTTGAAACAACTCTGAAATGGCCTATAGTTTAGCCGTGGATTATGCTATCCAACTTTTAAACAACTGAGGCCTGGCTGAGAATAGGACAATCACATGACTTTTGGAGGGCATATAGTTTATTTGTGGCCCGATTAGCATCATTTGCGCCCGAGCGGCGCGAGGTTGCAAATGATGTTACGAGGCTGATGCTTCAACAAGTTCACGTTCATTACTTCCTATTGACACACCTCTGTTTAAAAGCAGAATCGAATCTACCGCTTTCAAGCTGCCATTCAAATTAGCAGTTTTGTTCATGTAGAATCTGCGCTAACCGCTTTCCCTTTCTTTTAGCGTATAATTCAGGGAAAATAGCCACAATAGGAATCGGCGATGGAGGAAATGAGATCGGCATGGGAAAGGTGCGCCAACGCGTTATTGAACACATTGAAAATGGCACCCAAATCGCAAGTAATGTTACAACTGACCACTTAATCACTGCGGGCGTGTCCAACTGGGGTGGCTCCGCTTTGGCGGCAGCGTTGTTTGTTTTAAGTCAGTGCCCAGTCCACTCGTGGTATGCCAGGAGAGGAGTGGGTAAGGAGAGGGAGGTCTCGCTGGAAGATGTTCTGAATTCCGTGGAAAAGGTACGTTGTTTCCTTACTCTTGACTTATTCACCACCACGTTTTCCCACTATCAGCACTATTAGCGTATACCAGGGTACAAGTTAGTGATATGCAGAGATCGCAAAAACTGATTCGAAAAACGCTGGCGGGGAGGGGGGGGGGAGTGGGTGGCTGGGCAGAGAGGACATTTCTTTCCATTTCGTCCCGTTATGCACCGCCATTTCCCCAGATCAAGCGCGTCTTATTTTTGCTTAACCTTGTTGCGCGATGTCCCACTATCTGAGTGGATAGGCACGGGTTACTGCAAACTATGTGAAGGTATATTGGGAAATTAATATTCAACTAACTGATAAGAATTCAAACAGCAATAATTGAGTGACTATTAACTTTACTGTACGTTTTGACTGTCCCAGATTTGTGTTAGTTCGATCCAGTGACGGTATTGGAATGTTCACATCTTTATCTCGTCATAACGAACGGTATAACGAACGATTTTCTTTATCCGAGTAATAGTAAAATATATTAAAAAAGAACCCCATAACTAGGATGAGTTTGATCGTCCGGGTGAACGTAGTCCTGAATAGGGCTATTGTTGTTGACAGTGACTGACGTTCCAACAACCTGTGCGGTAGTCATCTTCAGAGTCCAAGTGAGTTGTATCACGTCAGTTGAAGTTATTTGGTTATTGACCTGATTGGTCAATTAAGTCGCGATTTTATTTGCGATGGTATTTGTTCTGAATCGTAGTCAACAGACTCCTACGTTCAAACTTTTCACAAAAAGAACCCCGATATAATAAATCTTCGATATAGGCAACAATTTTTCCCAATCCCTTGGCCCTTCGTTTTGTCGAGGTTCCACTGTAGCTACACGTACACTTCGTTTTTCTCAGATCAACGCAGCCCGATTTTCAGATGAGATAGCGTTGCTTTTAACACAGTTCGATTGTTGCCGAAAATCTATTTGGAAATGAATCGTTATCTCGAAGGTCGCGTGACGATGAAACTGATGTTAACATTTATTCTCCCCTCCCCCTGCCATCTAAAAGGCGGACATGCAACTGACAGCGAGCGTCTTTTTTATCTTTAGGAGGAACAGTTTCTCTCATATATTTGCGAGATTGGAGTGTGTGATGGTATTTCCCCATGGAAGAAAATGTCCGTAGATAATCTACCCTTTGATCCAGATCACAAGAACAAGCTACAAAATTTGTTAACTATTGCATCATCATCGTTACCTAAATAACGATGCGCTTTTCTTCGTAGACATTGTAAATCGCTCGTTTTTCTCCTTATTTTCGGATGCATAGGGGCCATTTTTCAGTCCGAAAACAACACAGAACGCCAGTGGGGTAGGAAAAAGAATAAATTGCGCAAGTCTGTTAATGCGAAGATTCTGCGTCACCTGACTACCTCCCAGTCGTCTCTTGTCACAAATATTGTTATTTTTATGATCAACTGATAACCCAACTTCGTGTCGTCCAATCGGACTGTAATCATTCTCGTGATTAAACAAATCGGGCTGGCTCCACGTGGTCGTTCGATTTTGTTAGTCACTAGGCGTATGATTTCAGACCGACCTGGGCTCCACTCAGCCCTCTAACCTCTAGTAAACAGTCCATGCATTAGATCCAAGTGAATTACTGTACCTTTATTCACTCTGACTGATTAGGATCTTTTTTGATTCCACGTTAACCGAGCTTGATCGTAGAGGGTTTTTGCAGTGTTATTATAGCCTCCACGTTACAAGAGTTCTCATGTTGTCCCTACTATTTACATTTTTGTGAGTATTTGGTTTATTTAAGAAAACAGCCAGCCAACATTTCGGGACTGCACCACTGGTTTCTCCGCGAAATGACATCAGAGAAACGAATGTCGAGATTTCATACTGTTGACGCGTCAATACCCAGATCTCGTTAGTGCTTCAAATTGAATGAAGCAAATGCTCAACCAATCAAAAGCGCTACCCAGACCTGGGTAGTGACGCGTCAGCAGTATAGAGCATTTTCACTCACGTGGCCAGCGTCTATGCAAATTTATTGGGGCAAAAGAAAGCGTTTACATAAGAAAAGAGTTCAACTCCCAGAGGATGTTCTTGGCACACCAACATGGCCGCCGTATCATTGTTTTGGAACACCAATATGGCTGCCGTGACGTCATGTGAAAACGCTCTATAGAATTTCTACTTTCGTTTGTCTGACGTCATTTCGCGGGGAAACCAGTGGTGGCTGGCGTCGCGAGATATGTCGGTTGTAGTCTCGGGCTATTTAAGTTTTGTGTAATGTCTAGTATCGTGAGTTAGTATTTGCAATTCAAACTCCACTGTCTGCTCGTGGCACTTTAATTCTTGGGTGCGGTACTTAATTCTTAGCCGTGTTTGCTGGTGTAAATAATCACGAAAGATCATAAACACCAACTTCTTCATTAACAAACGCTTTGTTGTCTACTCCTGTCTTCTTTATCGGGATGACTTTCGTAGTTTTTTGTCGTGAACGGTACCACAACCATACCAAGCCAGTCACGAGTACAACCACCACCACAAATAGAACAACGCTTATCGCTATCAACGCATTCCTTGTAGCGTTACTTGTGGCCTCCGTCACTGAGGTCGTTTCAGTTTTTGGCACACACTGGAAATCTTTCACGCCTGCGCAGTATTGCGTGGAGAAGAACACGTTATCTGGTGCAGTTTTGAATCCAGTGTTCATGCGGATTATTTTGCCTAACGTCATGGAATTGACCTTGTCGATTTCCTGTTGATTAGAACAAAAGATTTATTTTTTAGGTTTGTCATTTGATGGTGTCCACAGAAGCGTTAGATAAGGCTAGTTTTTCGTTGTGTTCAAACGAGAGAACAAAACTGTAAAAGCTAAGTAAAGTGCTTGGACGCTAAAGTTGTTCTGGTCTCTGATAAATATACTATTTCATAGTTTGTTAAAAAAAGTTCTAGGGGTCTGTAAACTGAAACTCTTGTTATTGACGGCGCCATTTTGCTAACATAGTTTTACTCGGGCAAGAAGTGTTTTCTACGAAAAGAAACTCAATATCATAAAATGATTATATTTTGAGAAAACTGAAAAACTGTTACTTTGACTAATAATTTTATACGTCCTTTCCAATGTTTCCACTAAAAGGTAAAGGAAATCACACTCAATTCAACGAAAAACCTGATTTAGTTGTGTGACCGCGGTAGAGGCTACCAACCTCGTCGCCAAGATCTTGTCGTTTTCCAACATGACGGCTGCCGTCGCCTTCAGTTAAAAAACGATAAGAATCTAGCGACGCAGTTGGCTTAACACGAACAACGCAATCATGAAAATGCCGGATCACAAGGATGAAGGTGTTCCTGTTCCCTTGTTTCCACGAATGTTCCCACGAGTGTTTAGGTTCAATGTTCCCCTTTTCCCGTACACGCACTTCTCAGTATTGTTCTCCAATACCCTATTCTGTTATTAATAGACTACAAGCAGTCTCTCTTTTTTCTTAGACCCTCGAGCAAAACGCGCGAGACACGCACATGACCACGCGCTTGACTGAAGGCGCCAGACGCTCACGCCTGCGAGCACTCACTAAATCTGAAGAAAAAGAGAGACTGCTCGCAGTCTAGTTATTAAAGCTGTTTGTGATTTTTGAAACCTGCCACAGAAGGGGCTTCGAAAAAGATCAGAAAGGCCAAAGAGGGTTATAGAGATTCGACCTCATTTCAGGGCTCTTTCTTCAGACGGAACGTTTGTCGCGTGCTCTTTACCATCATTAGCCGGCACATGACCAATTTCACTTGACAAAGTTACAAAGGGTTTGTTAAACTGCTGTAACAAAGACTCTTAATCATAATATAAATTATTTTTCCATCGCATTTTGAAAATACCGGCTGAGTGTTATAAATTAGAAAATCTGAATGAAGTATTTGCATCTTCGATAAATTTTTGACAATTCAATTCCTGGAGCCCACGAAATAACTAAATGAAAGCCCTTGATGCATAAATAGTTAAACGCTCTATGCTATAACAATATTGACGCGTAGAGTACCTCCGTTGAAAGATAACGTTCATACCAGAACCTGTCGCCGTCTCTAATTCTCAGAAAGTTACGCGCCATAATTCTGAAGAAAAAGAAAATAGGAGATGACTTAGGCCTGTCTCTTCAACTGCAAATCAGTATCGCCCTCGAACTGTCATCGTCACTACATTCCATTACATTAACAATTCAGTACCTCATGCATAAAATATTGTCTGGGCTGGGTTTATATCTGGCGGGACAAATTGAGTCCCAGAGCGAGGGCGTGTTGTTTCTTGATGCCTTTAACGTCTCTCATTTTGCTTCACTTCACTCGAAGTTAACAATGCGTTTTAAATTATGGCATATTTCGTATCAGTCAGTGAAAACTAGGTGCATTTAAATTTTTTTGTGTGTTTTGTTTTTGTTTTGTTTTTGTTTATCGTTACCTGTAATTTTCAAAATCAAGTGTGTGCGGAGTCTTATAACATATTATTATTTGCTTTTACTCACGTTCTAAAAGTTGGTCCCAGTTCACTTCCCTCTTCATGGTCCTCGGCCAAGCCTCCTACCCATAAGTCAATATTGTTTATATCCTGATAAACGTCTTTCATTTTTGACGCAACATCAGAATCTTTTGTGATCTCTGAAAAACTGGTAAGGCCTTAAAGGAAAAAAAAAAAACAGTGATAAGAGTACTCGCCTCCCACAAATGTGGCCCTTGTTCGTTCTTGCTATTAATTATGGTTGAATATGATTAACGAACATTAACTAACCTTGAATTTACCATTGAAATACCTTCTGTAAGCATAGATAGTCTATCCAACAGCTTTCTGACGTAATGGGGGCGTTCTGGTGTGGAAAATTCAACTAGGAACTCACCTTTACTATCAGAAACGGACGGATATGAAAATATGGCACAGCAAAGAATCATGAGATGCACACGGGAGACAAATCAAATTATGGGTAAAACTGTATTTTTCTCATACAAAACAGAAAAATATCATTTCGAAAAACAAAGCGCAAAGAAAAAGAAAATACCATAAAATTCACAAAACAGTATTTGGTTTTGTCCTATTAAAACTTATGACGTGCGCAGTACCTCCTTTAGTGCTTATATACGGTGCCCAGATGCAAATTTCTGTAGAGATGACAAAGTTAAGTTCACGTTGCTTTATTCATTGCTTTATTTTTTGATAATTTTTCTTTAAAACCGATGGCGTGGGTACCCTGCGGTATTTCGCTCCAGAAAGAAAAAGACACCGTACAGTCACGTCCAGCAACTTAACAACTGCAAACAACCTGATTTGGAATCTCCTTGCCCTAAGCTTTCAAATGGTATATGTCTGCAAAATTCCCCCGGGCGGGGGCAGGGTTTCACTCGCTGGCCCACGCCCACGGACTGTTCTATTCGATGCACTAAAATGGCTAGAAATGGATTGAGAGGAACCTCGATGTAACGAACTTCTATATAACGAAGTCCGCGGTATAACGAACGATTTTCTTTCCCCCTAGTAATACAGTTGTAAGAACCTCGATATAACGAAACCTCGTTATAGCGAACAAAGTTTGCTAGTCCCTTGGCCCTTCAGTATATCAAGGTTTCACTGTAAGATTGACACTGCTCACATCCCATACAAATATTGGGCCGCTATAACCAGTTACTTGTCCTACCTTTTAGACCGAGAGCTTTTCTGACGGTGTTGTAGTCAGGCAAGCCATGATCTCGTCCACGCTGTATGTTCCTAGATGCCAGGTCTGAGCCAACACCACGACCAGATGAAAACAGGGCATTCCTCATGTCGTCCACCATCTATTAAGTTGAAATATGTAATAAAAACGCCTCAAATGTGGGTAAACCACAAGAAAAAAATCAGATTTAAAGTATATTATGTAATTGGTTTTGCGAGGCGTGGAAATCCCGTAGCGGAAGTTTAAGTTAATTAGTTTAATTGCAATTTTATTGGCCGAGAAAGGTGGCTCGACGGTCGGGGGAAGAGGTGGGGTACGTAATTTCATTGGGCTTTTTTTAGGAACAAAAGTCTGTTTCCCTAGACGTCCGCTAAATTTGATTAATGAGGTGGTCATGCACTGCCATGATCATGAGACGGTATTAACTGGACAAAAAGTGCCACCTATGTCAGCCATGATTTCTAGTTATATTAAGAGAAATAATCAATTGAAAGTAGATAAATTAAAATGCCTTCAGGAAGATTTTCCATTTGGGCTTCAGGGAAATTTTCCAAGTCAATTCTTCTACTTTTTATCCTTTCATGTTTTGCCAGAATTTACCCAGACATGAGAAACTATTGCCTCTTGACCCAGATTATTGATAAATAGATTGGGGTGTCAAAACGTTTGCCACAACAAACCTTAAGATCGACTTCTTGAGCTGCTTGCCTGACTGCTCCTCTAAGCAGAGGGTCCAGTCCTCCCTCCCTCTTCAGTCTTTCAGGAGAAAAGTAAACGTCTCTCAGAGCAACGTGTCCATACGAAGACATCGTACCATCCTCTTCATACCTCCACAAGTGAGTGTTGACCTGACTATGGCCGAACCTAACGCAAAGCAGATACAATGGAATCTCGATTTAACGAACCTCTATATATAACGAAGTCCTTGGTATAACGAACGATTTTCATCAACCAGCCAAAATTACAATAAAATGTATGGAACCGAACCTCGATACAACGAACCTCGATTTAACTTATAAAATCCCCACCGGTTATAACGAGCAAAACCCAGAAACGCAAACGTAAAATATACCTCGATATAACGAATGAGTCACAACACGTGACCGCGAGATAGCTAAAGATGAATTCGAAACAGACCAATGAGGATAAAATTTATGTGTACAGTAGTTTTAACCAGGTTTGTTTGCCTGTTCATTTGTTTCTGGTGCTATTTACAGCTCTGAACTGAGGCACCTCTCGTTATAACTCTCGTCTCGTCTCGTCTCGTTTCTCCAGTCCCTTGGCACTTGGGTAGATCGAGGTTCCACTTATTCGTTTACGGTTCTTCACAGAAGAACGATATTATTTTTCTACGAACTTGTTTACTCCCGGGACATCCGTTACGTTACATGTGTTATCCGTTATGGGCGGATCATTCGTTATCTGTTACGGGATGATTCACATCGTTTTACGCGAAAACGGAAGCCTTCTCCTGGTTAAAACGCCAGTCATGAGGCAAGACTCGTTTTAACATGAAGAAATTTAGTAAATCAGAACCCCTGTGAAACGTGGGTTACCTGAAAGCAGCTGTTGACATCATATTGCTCATACCAACGTTTATGGTGTTATTGTACCCCTGATAAGAAGGGATGTGCTTGGTGCCCCCCAACAAGGAAGGTAGGTACTCGCGGAACGTGATGGCCTGGATCTCAGCCGCTACCAGGCGACGCGCAGCCTGAAATATTTGCTCGTCAGTCGCCTGGAAACGTAATCAGTTTGAACACTTTTTATTGTTTACTCAACTTTAACCTTATTTACTCTAACATTAACAAAAGATAAATGCACAGAAAGCAAGAAACATCTGAATTACTTAGCTAAATATCAATAATAATGCAAGAATTTATACAGCGCCATTTCCGTGAGCTCAATGGCGCAAATATCGACTAATTAACCACATTACGGACCGAAACGAACACACTTGTAGGAGGTAAGCTACAGACGAAGAACCAGCTTATCCAGCTACCACGAAATATCATGTGAGAGTGTTTAAATGGGTCTCATGATCAGGAGTGCTCTCTTTAGCTTAAGCGTTTAGAGACAAAAGTAAGAGGGGGATTTCTACTATAGTATAAATAGAAGCACAGGAACATAATATTAGTAGCATAGCCTAACTTATGTCATCAAACCTTACGATTTCATCCACCGGCTCAGATCTTTGTGTAACACGTGTGGGAACGAAATAACTGCTCTGGCGTTTTTCATCAAATGCCACGGGCACAAATATATACAGTGTACAGACTGAGTGTAAATAATTTTGACTCTGGGATTGAAAACGTTCAAGGTGTCCAATTATTGTTTTAAACGATAAGCAGATGATAATTTAAGGTTAGAAACCTCTCCTACGATTCTTGAATTTCTGCTCCTCCGCACCTCCTTTAATATGCCGGTACTATGACATAATCAGGTGCTGTGCCGACCGAACTACAGTCATTATGGGGACAAAAGTGTGTGGCGCTTGTTTAAACAACACGTGACCAGCCCCCCCCCCCACTGCATATACAGCATTCAACCCGTCTGTTCACAAGTCTTCCTGAGTTTCAAACTTGTACAGTGTATAGGAGAGGTGAAGGGGTCGGGGGGGGGGGGGGGGGCGGGGGTGCAAAGCATTTGTCAAAATGTAGCACTGTTGTGTAAAGGTATCCTGAACTACAGATAATTACGAATATTGCTTCATTTTTACCAAAGTCTTTTGATCACGACTAATTTCAGCCTAAATTTCAAAAAGCTGCAAAAGACGGCTGAAATTCAGGTTGCCACGGCGGTAGTTTGTTAAGCCAAAACAATCATAACGCGAGTTAACTGAAGTGAAATGGGTGTAGGAATCACTAGACTCATAAGCATTGAATTTAAAATACAATAAAATGCGACTGATCAAAATTGTTTACAATGACAGGTACCTTTCAACGTGTGAGCAAACTAAAGCGAATAAACGACTTCTTTTCGTGAAAGGCCCGGTTACTAAGTCATCACAAAGCATGCCACAGATTAATCGTTCCCAGGGTTTTCTCGTTTTGCAATATGGCGGCGGAATTGCTTTAAGGTGTCCAATAAAAAATCCCAGGCTTCCCTTCCACGTTTTCATAACAATAATAATACCATGACTTATATTAAAAGGTAATATCTCAAGGGGAAGTATAACCATTCTATTTGTTGTTCAGTGCAGGCAAGCATTGCCTTTAACTCTCCTTAGTGAGGGACTAAACACTGTACCTGAGGATTTGTGCTTTTGTATTCATCACATAGTCGGTTGTGTTCTCGTACAAACAGAGTATGAAGCGCTATCAAACCCGGCTGTTCATTGGCTCGTTTGTCCCCAGCAGCGAGCAGAAGGCTGGCATCTCGGCCAACTGGATTGTCATTGGGTAACGCTTGTGTGTTCTCCTGTTATGAGACAAATAAATGTTTCTTTTTTGAGATACGGTGGAACCTCAATATAACGAACCTCTATATAACGACATCCTCGATATAACGAACGATTTTCTTTTTCTACCCCAGTAATAGTAAAATATGTGAAAAAGAGTCTCAATATAACGAAACCTCGTTATAGCCAACAAATTTTGCCAGTCCCTTCGCCCTTCGTTATATCTAGGTGCCACTGTATATGCAAGTACAATCCACCCTGCAGTTAAGTGACCACTCAAAATGTCAAGACTTGAGGATAGCTTATGGGAAGGGGTTGCCCACGGAGGTCGAGTCACAAAGGTCTCTAATTAACGAGAAGAGAACTGGGCACATCTACTTTTTGTAAGATATTTGCCCCGAGGAGGCATCCTAGTATCTCGCGCGTATATATAGAAAAGTACTTACAGTTGCAATATGCAGTCAGTACACCAGAACAAATCTCGATTTGCTTGATCAGGGGCCGCAATGAATCTTTGGGTAATGATGACGTTTCTATTGTTCACTCGCGCAAGTACATGTATGAAGTGGTTAGGATGACGTCAAACAGAAAGTACCCGAAGGGACCGCTAAGGTTGATTTTGTGACACTTACAGTAGTACAGTCATATTTCGAATTTTGCTTTACGTGTGTTCAGTGACATTCTGAGGAGCAGCTGTTCTGAAAGTTATGGATCCAATGATAGTCGTGAAGTGAATATGAAGTTACAAGGGGCGTATAACTGTATAAACACTTGGAGAGTTTGCCAGACACGAGTTTTATCATTCACTAATCTTTTATTGGAAACGATTTGCAAGACACAAATCTCTTTGCGGGAATAAGACTCGGTCCACAAATACTTGTAGTCCCCATGCAAACCTAAAAAAGACCTAAAAAAGGGTGTGAGGAAGTCTCGTATTAGCGGAATTATTGCATTTCAAACTAAAAAGTCGAATCTCGAGCGCGATTTACGCAAAGAAACTGACATAAAATGAGTTACAAAGGGAAATCGGAAAATTCCTCTCACCATTTTTTAGGTCTTTTATCTGTCAATCAGATGCAATAAAAAGGAAGTAATATTTAACAACCCGAAAGGGCTGGAGCTTCAGCAGTAAACTCGATACCTCTGAATTCGAGAGCAAAAAATTTAAGCGCCTTTTGAAATTCGATGAAATAAAATCTTTTATAAGGTAATTTAGTCTTTTAGTTTTAATTTGATGTATAACTTGCCTTTGTAGCGAAAATACTCGCGCGAATATAATTTTTTTTGTGGGCACCTCGTTTTCCTTTACCGAGACCTTAAGTTTATCTTCGATGGTGTGCGATTGGATTTGTCCAGCTCCGTAAATATTCTCCAACTAGCAGTTGTCTCCCTCCGAGTTGTCTTCTTGTTGTTTTTGCTATGTTTTTAGCCATTATTTCGCCTAGTTCCAGCTGTAGTTATTACTCTTGAAACGTGTGAAATGTCCGCCATTGTAGTAGCCTGTGAACAAGCTCTCTGTTTGGGGAAAAAAATAGTTCCCTAGTTCCCCGCTCGACCAAAGGCCTCCTCAAAGGCTACCAATTTAGTTTTCACAACGAAAACAACTCAACCTCGTCCCCAGGTCTTCTCGGTTAACGGTGCATTAACCTGAAGAGGGCTGCATTTTCGACGTCATTTCCTCGTTAAACACAAAATTCTTCAAAATTTGGTCATCAGTAACTGGTTAAGGTGAATTATGCGTGTATTTTTAGCCAATCAGAATCGGGGAAATATTTTGAATGAATGATAATTTGCATTAAACTTCTCTTAATTGTTTTTCGAGCTTAAAACGACGTGATTTCTATGTCGGCCCTAAACAAAATAAATGATACCAAATTTTAACCTTAGTATAAATTCATTGATGCCTAATTTCAATCTCTGACTTACTGGTAGCAGATCAGCAGATCCAACTTTCATTTTCCCGTCTTTAAATTCTCGTAGTACCCTGTTTCTTTCTTCCGATTCACCGTACACGACAGAACCATCGATGTACGAGGATAGTTTGTTCACTTGTTCCCTTGGGGTGTTAGTTCTACGGCCAGTACATCTAGGAAGAGGAAAAAAAGGTTTAAAGTGACAGATTTATCAGGTCATTGGTACACACTCAATGATGAACATGATATGATCATGACGACGATAATCGATGGAAACAACAGAAGATAGCAATGAACAAGAAAAGGTAATGAGAACTTTGGAGAAAGTCGACAGACATACATGTAATTAAGGTGAATAAAGATTGTAGTCATGGAAACTGCGAGAACGACAATGAAGATTGATGGTAATGATTCCATATATGACGGTGTTGCTCTGGTTTTGGTGATGACGATGATGATGAATTTTTTGACAAGAGCTTGAACATTACTATCAGCTCTGCTTTCTCTTAATAAACCCCTTTAAGTCGTCCTTTATAGTGGAAGTATTAACTTTTAACATTGCCAGTATACAAAAACACAGAGTACTTGAATGAAATTGTCTAACTATCTAGTTTATTTTTTAAATAAAAGCACTTTTTTTGACAACGACCACGATTTTGTTTAAAAAAAAAATGTCAAGGCGGACTAATTGTGGGTGCACGAGTCGGTGACCTTGTCATGCCACTTACGCTTAAAATGATCGCGGTTAAACGCCACGGGTACAAATTATATATGTAGAGTCGATTTAGAATAAATCTGTTTCTCAAAGTTTGAAATAACAGGTCAATACGTCAATTTTTGCCTGTACAATCAGGAATCGGGAAAATTTTTGCTTGTTCATTCCGGAATCCAGGAAATTTTTTATGTACAATCTGGAATCGGGAAACTTTTTCCTTGTACAATCCGGAATCGGGAAAATTTTTGCTCATGGGATCCGGAATCCTGCGTTTTGGAATCCGGAATAAGTAGCTCAAGGAATGTGGAATGTGGAATCCAGTCTCGGCCAACGTCGTTTTGCAGAGAACACAGGATCACATAACATTTTTTCGTCAAACAAAACTATTTAGTTAATTAATTAATTTAATTTAAAAAGTCGATCCAATTCTCAAACCTGTTGAAAGTTGTGCGAATGAATGGCAGATAAATGTCTCCTTTGTTCTGTCGATCAAAGTGAATGTCTCCCTACAAGAAAAAAATATAATAAATTAAAATAATAATTGAAAAAACAACATTAACTTTGCGACCAAGGAGTGGTTTAGTCAATGCTCGGCTTGGCTGGTCATTTAAATATTTGTTGATGTCTGTGTGTCAAATTAACAGGCGATTTGATATCGATGCCATTTGCTTCAGAGTTCAAAACCCGTACAAGGTTGGGAATACCATCAAAGAAAGTACGTTAAGCTAAAACATTTTCTCAGTTTATGCACCTTGCCTATTTAGTTAATCGAGGCCAGCTACAGTAGTATTCATACGGAGATAGCTGGAACTGACTTAATTTTAAAAGAATCTCCTTTTCTGATGCCGGTTCAGTAAAAGATGAAGTAAGGCAAGAACGACTGAGGCTATGAGGCTATTCCTTGTGAAAGATATCTTCGCCCCAGAGAGTTGAAGGAGGGGGAAGGAGAGTGTAAGGTGGGGTACTTAGCTGCTAGTTTGGCAGGAGGGGTTGATGTACTTCCGGGGAGAGCGTTTATACGAGGAAGTGCAGTAGGCCGGAAATCTGTTTGATACAAGGACGCCAGTCCTTCAAAACGTTACAACTGACCTTAGGAACTTCAATGGGAAGCCATACATCGCTTAAAACTTCTGTAAACGTATCTCCAGACATAGGACCAGACAAATCCGTGTCATGCGCTAGGAACTGCATTAGATGGCAGATGGTGTTAGTTAACACAGTTTAAAAGGACAAAATTATCAATAGTCATCCCTCTCAGAATACCAAACAATAGCGGATCAAACAAAGCCATGCTTGTAACAGTTAGACAAAGATAAGATGAATGCTTTTCGAAAGAACAAATGCTTGAAATAACCAATCTATATAAATAAGCGATTGAGCAAAAAAAGTTTTAATACCTGCCCAAAATTGGGGCTTAAGTCACTGAGGCGGCGAGCACTAATCTTTGAGTCGAGCTGCAATAAAACAGTAAAAAAATATTTATTAGGCTTTGCAGTGGGATATTATAAAGGAAAAATGCAGATTCTACGTCTTCTGTTAGTTTTCCTAAATCCTTCAAATATGGCATAAGCGTAGTTTCAATGTAAAGCCGTTCCCAAGGGAGACCATTCCATATATTTACATCGCCTTGCCAATACAATAGCTTGGAATTATATCTTTTTATTCCTTTAGTACACAACAATGTATCCAAAATTCCCACAAGGTTCCCTCGACATGCCGAAGCCTAGAAGGATATTAGTATAAGTAAAGTCGTTAGTTATTTAAGTTGAAAGTTCCCGAATGCAGGAATTAAAACCCCTCGTATATCGTCATAAACCCAAACCCGAGTATAGCCTACCTGCTGAAAGAGCTCATTGCTAATTTTTCGCGGTGAAGGCCTATTAGATCCAAACCCATTAACTGCGTCCATATATCTGCAATTCCCATTTTGCTTCTGTTCAGGTGTACAAGCGCCCGCAGGCAAAGCGATGCCGTCAGCGTACATGGACGGTGCATCACGTACCAGGTCCTCTTCAGCCGCACCCCATCGCACATGATCTTTATTGTTCGAGGTGCCCTCTAAGCGCCTAGTAGAGAGCATTGAAGTTTAGCTTGAACACTGATTCTCGGACAATATGTCAGTAATTTTTTTTTTTTTTTACTATGTTTTTCCCTCACGAGTAAAGATGAATTTCAAAAGGAAATTAAAAGCAGTTATTGAATTGCCTTTTTGGGTAAATTCTTGTTGCAGTTAACTGGATGTTAACATAAACCATATAATAGAACTTCAGTCAATGTCCAATTTTTTGATTTGCATCCAGCTGTAACATTTCTGTCTTCTGAACTGAACTCTAAGACAGTTCTCAACTCTCTCTCACAGTGTGTATGGGCCGAAAAAATAATTTACACTAAATGTTTGTTTCAACTAACTTTAGGTATTAAGTTACCTCGAACTTTCGTATCATTGTTGTGGATTTTTTTATTGTTGTACACGAGCCTGAAGCAGCTAGAGGTCTTCTAATAACGTCAAAAATGCTTAAAACATTTCAATCATGCCTCAAAAATGATCAATTTATTTGCGTTTGACAAGTGTTATTTTAATAAACGCACAGTTCACAGAGTGAGAGAATGAGTTTAATTATGTGCCGTGTAGATCGTGATGCTGTGTCAAACGAAACCGATCGGAGACTGAACAATTCCTTTGGAATTGCCCATAAATATCAATTCTTTTCAAAACAATGATCTGTTTTTAATTACTTTGTCCCTTTTTGTGATTTTTACTTCACCTGTTGTATTGTTTATTTGTGCTTTTCCCATTATTTGTTCTTCAAATAATGCGTAAAATTGTTAGGAAATAGATTTTTCATTTGCTAAAATCTGCTGTTATAACAGTTTTATAAAAGAGCCTATAATACATGAAAAACTCCACCTCTGTACAAGAAAAATGCTTGTGAATGAACCCTTTCACCCAAATTAAAACCACAGAGCAGCAAATTCCTTTGCATATGTTAATGTTTGCATTGTAGAATTCCTTGTTTTTGTTGTCCGGCAAAAGTTGCAATAAGGAAGAAACCTCATATTTCTTCCTTCAGCAGAATGCTGTTGCATTTCGTTACATCAAAAACTTTTGTAGTTTTCGTTTGTTTTCAAAGTATAAAAATACAGCGGTTATATTGTTTAATAGATACTTCTTGGAGTCTCAAAAGGTGAAATCAGGACTATAAATTTTTTTCTCTATAACGTGATTCACCGGCACCAAAACCAAAGGTGAGAACAAGTTTAGATTAAAGCTGGTTGAAATCATTGTCGCTGATTTGCTTGCATGCTTATATAACGGATGATCTAACTTACATGTTGTTTTGAGCCTTTTTTAGAATCCAGCAGTCCTTTCAAGTTGTCTAACCCTCCTTTTTTGTTTTGTTTTTTTAGCTAAACGTCGTTTTGTTGGCCGGAATGCTCCAATTAAGATTTGGGTATAAGGAAGGTATCGGATTTGGCACAAATCGGATGGAATAGTTTGAAAACAAACATTTGCTAGATCGTCAGTGCTGTTGTTTGGCTTAAAATAATCTGGACGATTCAAGAAACGGCGGTATAGTTATTATATCGATTAACATATACCTTTCGTTTGTAACTGTAGGCACGGGTCCGACCATTCTACCACCTTGGCATTCACTTGCAATAAGATCAGTAAATGACTGAATTGCAAGAATCCACAAGGACACACAAATGGCTCTTTTGAAAGCCATCAAACTGCAAAGATCTGTACCGCCCTAAGCATAGAGAAAACATTCAGTTAGAATACTTTCAAACGGGTTAGAAGCTTGCACCTACTTTTATAAAGAGAGTACCTCACTTACTTTGGTGTTTCAGTGTTCAGTTCTTCTATTGCTTTCACGACACTTCCTTTTGTTTTAAGGTTATTAAAAACCTATCAATTGAAGCTGCTTAGTACAGTTTTGAAATGAAGGCATCATCCATGCATCAATGACAATGGCACTATTTTGACGTTTTAATAAGGTTGTAGCAAGGCAAAACCGCCTAGCGTGAATGATAGATTAAGATATTATTTTCTATTGTATCCACTAAAACTCCTGCTTGAGGGGCCGGTTTTGACACCGCAATAAAAAATAAGCAACTGTTTTTCTTTTTAATGAACGATTTACCAAATCTGTTTGTTGTTTTCTCGGAAAATATGACCTTGGTCGTGTGCCCTGGAATAATTCGTGTGTCTCAAGAGCAATTGTATCGTTTCATACCGGCCTTAAACATTAATCGCGATCGCTTTTCAAAAGTAAATCTACGCTAAGCTAGTTTTTAAAGTACTGCCAACCCACTCAATTTATAAAAGCCCAAACGTATCAGACATTCCTAATTATGTTAACTTAAACATCTTTTTAGATATTTAGTGTGTCTTTTCAACTTATTTATAGGAAAATTTGCGGGCAGAAAAAAACAATGATTGGTTATGGGTTATTGTCAAAATGATTACATAACGGTTCTTAATGGAAGGGCGTGGCTGAAAAGAGACTGAATACCACTTGATTACTATTGTTTGGTTTCCTGTATTTGAAAAATGTTTTTTTTACACATTTTATAGTACCTAGCGTCGAAAAGTCTTTCCTCAAAGCTAGGTCTCCATCGATTTACCTTCTGACAGAAAGATGTTCTAGACGTCTCTTTCACGAAACTAGTTTTAATTAGAAGAACGACGACACTGGTTTCTTATTCACACATTCAAAGACAGTTGTAAACTGTGTGCATGGATCAGACATTTTCTCTAACACAGACAACTAACTCCCAGTTAAAATATGATGAGTCGTTAATAAACGAATGCTTACGCCATTGATTGAATAATTATATGAAACTTTTGGTGAACATTCGCGGACAGTTTCATTTTCAAACTTTTTACCCTTGGAACATGCCCAAAAACAAAACAAAATAAAAAATGGAAAATTAAAGAGAAAAACGCAAATAACAAACAGCAATCAATAGAAAATAATAATTTAGATAAACTACAAAGACTCAGTTTGAACCATAGGGTTTTTCTCAGTGCAACAAAATGTAAGAATATCTCTTTTCATAATAATTCAACAATAATGAAGTCGTATTTCTGTTAAATATTTCTCCGTGATATCTTTGTGCACGATGCGGAAAAGAAAGAACTTTTCATGGTCAGAGATTCTTGAGTGTTTTCCGGATGGAACATCAAAACTTAGGCCCAAAATACCTTACCGTAAAGAAAGAGAAGGTTAAACGCCTAAAGCAAAAGCATTTAGGAACAATGAAAATTAATAAACCTATCTAGCACGCGACAGGCGGTTTTGAAAGTATGTTTCACTTTATTAAAAATGATTGAACAGAAGCTATTGTGGAATAAAAGATAACTTTATTGCGCAGCTTGTCATATAGAGTAAACATGCAACCAGGAAAGAAAAGAAAAGGGCAGATCAACTGAATCAAAAAGCCTTGCGTTGACTTGAACGGACGTAGCTATCTCAGCATTGACTACCCAAGTGTTTTTCCTTGTTCGCGGCAAAGCTCACCGAAAAGCAGAGATACTGATGGAACTGAGGTCGAGAGAAATTTTGTTCTTTGCGTTGACGATTTTATTTGTCATCCGTTCCTCAACTTCTTCCACGCCAACGTTAAACCCTAAAGAAGACTTGTACGAAGTTCGAGATGGTAGTTACTCGACTGAGCGACGAATCGACGAGAAAGGAGACCATTGGACCAGACAAGCAAACTTGGACAGGCTGGAAGTGCTTGCAAACGATGCAGTTTTAAATCTAACGTTTAGAAGCTGCATTGAAGATAAATCAACTGAGCAGAATCAGTATGCCGATGATGTTGGACAAAACTCAAAGTTTGAAGATGTACACCAGGTATTTGAAAGTCTATTTGTTTCCCATTCCACCATAAAATGATTTGATAGTTACACATTTTCTTGTCTTTCGACATTTTAATCAAAACAATTTCAGAACTGAGCAAAACGACTTATCAAGCCATTAATCATGTTTATAAATTACTTCAAATGACAGTGAATTAGATCCTCGCAGCTGAATGCGCATATGAGCAATCTAAGTGTCTAAGAAAAAAAAAAATCACCAATAATTCGACTGCGACACTCATCAACTTAAGACACTTAAGAATGCGCAAAATAGCAAGCAAAATAGAGTGCAACTCACTCGTGGAAAAGTAGCTCCGGACGAAACGTTGCCATATGAATCCCCTCTTTTTGGCTTCAAAGCTGTGCACGGACAAAGTTGAATTGCAGCGAGCGAGCAACAAAGCAGCGGCAAAGCAGTAAGGGTTCAGAGAGTCCAGTGTTCTCAGTGACCGCGATATGATACGTACAGTCAACTCTCTTCATAGCGGACACTTTAGGTACTTCGAGTTAGTGTCCTCATTAGCGAGAGCCCGTAATAACAGGAGTAGGTTTCAGTCAAACGTCTGCCTGGGTTTCAGCTGCTGTCCGTTTTATCGGAGTGTTCGTTATAGGGAGCTGTCCGCAAGGCGAGACCTGACAGCTGTATACGGGAGGTATATAAAGAGAAGTTCTGTAATTATTAACTTTTGACGCCCATGAAAGGCACCTTTGCACGACCATAAGGCCATGTTCACACTCATACCGGCCGGCATGAAAATCATTTATACGGGATAGGGCTTCTGCTCGTACACAAGAACGGTGATTAAGGTGCAATATCTGTGACTGAGTGAAGCTGCGCCGCACCGATCTCTGAAGTTAATTGTCACATAATAGATAGAAATAGGTGTTCCTTACCATGATATAAATAGCTTTTCGTGTTAGCACCAAAAGCAAAAGAACGTTTGCCCCCTAACTCTGAGTTGGGGTGGGTGGGAGGGAGAGCGTGGGGTTGCTGTTGGGTTTTGAAAGGAGAAAAGTATCCCCGGGCCTCTCTATAGTCAACAGCAAAAGACCTATTCGGCTCTATGTACCCAATTCAAAAAACGTTTTGTTTCAGGAATTTCCATATCATTTAAATGTGAATGCCACATCATAGAGCGTTTTTCGTTTGACCTTGAAATGAAAACACGCGAACAAAACAGAAACGACAAACGAGAGGAAATACAGAGATTTGATTGGTTTATCGAACGGATACAAACGCGCGTCGCTTTTGATTGGTTAAGCGAACCCTGGGGTGAAAAAACTTCATGCCCTAGAACTTTCTAGAAATCAATCGATACTTCGCTTTGACCTAATACTGCAACACGATTGGCCAATCGAAACATTGGTTGATAAAACAAATAACAAACACTTACCAAAACCATCTTTTTAAGGTCAAACGAAAATCGCTCTAATGCAAATACAAACACCAAGGATTGGAAGATTTGAATTGGGTACAACATTGAGTTAACCGAATAGGTCTATTCACCTTACACACCAGACCTACTGTTTCTTTGCAAAACTACAGCCAAGGGTAGTGTTACTTCATGATGAATCTGTTTACTAAGGAGGTGTGATACTGTGAAGACCATATTATCTGAAAGAAGGAAAAATACAGTCGACTCTCTCTTATAAAGGACACCTAGAGCTATTAGACAGATTCTTCTGTAAAACGGGCACCTGGAATTGAGCCCCTATCTTTCTTTACTCCCTTTATTTGACTCTCTTTTATAGAGGTGTCCGTCTTTTAGCGGTATCATTTATAACAGAGAGTCGACTGAATTGAACCCTCTATTATTATTCGCCAAACCACCGGCACGAACACAGTTCAAATTATATGTAGAAGGACCACGACACAGACATATAGAGTTAAAAATACCCACATTTTATATCAAAACATCGCGCAAAGCCTAGAACGACTCCACTGATTTGTGATCTCGTAAAATTGTTCATATTGAACCGAGAAAAGGGCATATTCCAGGTATTTAAGCTCAGCAACAAAGAATTGTTCAGCGTGCTAAAGGCGTTACTAGAGTCTTGCCTTCTGGTTTTGTCTGTTTGCATTTTCGGTGCGAAAAACCGGTGATGAACTTTAAGAACGTGATCACAGTGATTAAATTGATCAGTAGCCGTTTCATGATAATTGTGAACATTGTCATTTTTTAATAAATACTCTGGTGCGGTTATTTAACTTATACTGCGACTTAGGCAGTGGGTTAATTAAGGCAGGCAATTAGCTTCACCGCGCCTTCTTAAAAAACTCCGACCTGTTCTTTGAGAAGAAAAGTCTGTCAATTACTATAATTTATCCTGACCTTAGTTTTGCAGAATGTTAACGTGAAGTTAATTATGAAGGTTATGATTTTTATCTGCCAGGTGCACTGTGCAGAGATTTCGCGCCGCCACCGAGGTTGTTAGTAATCACACGAAATTTGTCTTGCAGTTCTTGTTACAATAAACCATGAAACAGATGCAGAAACATGGTTAGGTTTTGAACGAAAAAATGGGCATAGTTCAAACTTAAATCAAGCAGCAGTGAATTGTTAACGGTTTAACGTTTATTTTCTTGAAGGGGCCTTAGCTTTTAGATCAAAACTAGAATCGCGCTTTCTGTTCTTTTTAATACTAACATTTCGTGCGAAACAACTGATGAACTTTTTTTAATATGAACGTGATTTGATTTAAGTTATCAGTGACGGGTTTTCATTATAATCATAGATCTTTTTTAAATAGTGTTCCGGTGACTTAGACCGTAAAGTTCGCCGCCTGCTTAAACAACCTTCTGTTTTTTGGAAAGAAAAGTCTACGGACAGAACTTTAATTTTTCTTGACCTTTTTAAAAAACACATGAAAATAGAACGTGAGGTTATGAAAGTTATTGATTTTTTGCCCCTAGAGCCTGTTTCTGAACAAAACAGGCTCGAAAATAATGCGTAAGGAAAACTTAAGTGGTTTTTTCTGTACCGTACTTTTTAAAAATTTCTTTTCTCTTTAGTGCTTAGGAATCTAGAATTTTTTTCATGAATATAATTAAACAGTTGATATAATAAATACACGTATCTTTCATTTCCCAATAGAAAGCTGGATTCCATCACGTTCATCGCATGAGTGGTGCCTTGAGCCCTCACTGTGTATTTGACAAAGTAATACCTCAAGTAAACTCCTCCAACAAAGTACGAATTCCTGGAGAGTATTGCGTCCCTGAGCATGCCACTGGCGGAGCAGCGGTCGGCGATTATGACGGGGATGGAATGGAAGATATTTACTTCACTGTGTTTCATGACCGAAGTGTGTTGTATAAGAACAATGGTAAGTGAGCGAGTGATAGGTCGCCCAATGTAAAGGAATCCAAGTGAGTCCTGGATTCTGGATTCCACGCCGTAGATTCCCGATTCCAGCCACTGGATTCCTGCAAGTTCTTTGTCAGTCTTGGATTCCGGATTCCAATCGTTAGAGGGGTTTCGGCTTCCTTGAGCTGTATTCCAGCTTTTTCGAACTCGGGAATCCGGATTCCCTTAAATTAGTCGGAGATAGGAGAATTGGACGAATAGCGTTCTTCTGTTTCGTCTCACTGTCCCTTTGTACAAATATAGGCAAAGATTTACTTGTCAACGTTAAGTGAAAACTAAATAAGTGACCCATAGTTTCGTTTATAACTGATGTATTGAACAGATGAGAGAAAAGCTTAAAACTAGTGAAGGTACAGCTCGCCAAAGTCGCTAAATCCTACAGAAGTTTGTGCGGTGAAGGCGAGTTTATTATACAACGACCCTGCCGCAAACGGGAGTAAAGGTTCGTAATTTAGCAGAGCTATTAATCTTTGCTCGCTAAACTTGGCAACTTTGCTAATTTCAATGCTTTCTTTCCAGCTTCTTTGTCAATGGATATTCGCTTATAATCAGTGTTAGTTCTCGCCAAATGTTATAAAAACGCTGAGACGGTCTAAGTTAACGTTTGTTTATCCCCTCCGCCAAAGCAAACTAGAAAGAAAAACTGCTGAAAATAGTTGTGACAGTAGTGAAAATGGATTATTTCATTCGTTTAACGACTAAAAAACTTCCAATCCAATATGTATAACTCAATTTGCAATGCTCTGAGGTGAACTTAAATTCACGATTTCATTTTAACATTTTTAAGGTAATAATTTTCCTAATTTTGTATACCTTTGAAGCCTTGCGGGGATTATTGATAACTAAATTATTCTCCTTGCCTTGGTCAACCAGCTAGAAAAAGTTTTTATAGTTGTTTTCAGCAACATCTACTTATTTTACTCGCGACGGAGTGCTGCAGTTTTGCGATATTTGTACTTGTGCATTGTAATCTTCGGTTACGTTAAGAGACCTCACAAGACGCCTCTTTTTACGGTGTCTGGATAAGGAAGACAATAATAGATCATATCTATGCGGCAACCGCAACATTATTCATAGAAAGAGATTAAAAGGATTATACGTGATGGTAGGACAAGTGACCAATATAAGTGTACCCATTATTCTCTACAGTTTAATTGAATTGTTTTGGAGGTAGAGCTGAGGAAACAAACTGAGCTATTCTAAGTTACCACGTTCCATTGTAGCACTAAAACCACTAGTACTGCTATTTGAAGAAAAAGTGCTAAAAATTGAAAATTTTCCCTTCTCTTCCGGATATCTCAACGGAAATAGAAATAGAGATAAGGGACTGTACCCCCCTCCCTCCCCTGCCATTTACAATCCCCTCTGTTAACCGAACCTCATTTTACATCACTGATGAAGATCGAGCGATTCGTGCAAAGTAGTCGTTTAGTTTGAGATTGTTTTGCTGTGAGGTTTGTAATTTTTTTGGAAGAAAATAGGAAAGAAATGCTGGTTTGAGTAATATGTTCCAAAAATACTCTATTAGCCTGATTGTGCTAAGTAGAATTACCAAGGCTAGCATAAACGGAAATGGCCCACTTATGATGTCTCTCCATAAATCACCTGCCGACAGCAGGGTTAGAACTAGTCACGATAAGAATAGCATGCATGCGTAGCAAGCGTTCGAAACTGGGAAAGAAGTGTGAAGGGCGCGCAAGAATTCCCTTCCCCGAACGCCTGCCACTCAGGCTACGATCAGAAATAAAATGTTTCGTTCAGTGTTCCTGAACTAGAACTCCTAGCCTCTTCATCCATAGTTTAAAATCTCCAGTTCTGCTGCTGAATAGAACAGATGCCCCGAAATCTGGATTGTCCTTTTCAATTGAAATAAATGATGAAAAGTAATATTAAAGTCATACTAAACCTTAAGGTGTCTATATAGAAAGAAGAGAACTGAGCAGTGTACATATTTGGCCTTGGACTTGCATCACTTGCTTTATGATCCTGATACCATCTACATTCACTACAACATACTCAATTGGCTCAACATTTTCTCAATTGTTTTTTTAAGAGAATTATTGGATTTGGTAATTATCATAAGGTGTCCAACCTGATTTTGGAGTATCCATTCTAGTTTCTCCCGTAATTCTTTTCCTTATGTTATAGGGGACGGAACATTCACTGACGTTACCAAAGACGTAAATATTGGACCCAGTTCCCTCGCCAATGGTGCTGTCTGGGCTGACTTTGACCAAGATGGAGATCTGGATCTTTATGTGACTACGGTTGGTGACACCAGGCATTATCTGTATATAAATTACGGGGGACACTTCAGGGAAGAAGCTATGCAGCGGAATTGTTCGATGCAGACGAGTGACAAACGCAAACTTTCTGGGATGACGCCAAATGTTGGAGATTATGATCGCGATGGTTTTGTTGACATTTATGTGACAGAATGGATTCCGCACTCTTTGGGAAAGGTAATTAAAAGAAACTATCTCATCTACTTACATTTGCTATGTCAGTTATCCACAAAAATGCATAAAACAAAAAATAGTTATGTACCCCTGAAGAGGCCCCTTTGTGAGCGCGAAGGGGACGATAGGAGGGAGAGAGAACCTTTTCCTATCGTCCACCGAGCACTTACTATTTCTGGATTATTATTATTGCTATTTTTAATGGATTGCCCAGCGGGAGCCTCTGTCGAGGAGAGAGTGACCACTAAAAGAATTTCATTATTGGGCGAAGGTGTACTTGCTTCAAAAATAAACTTATTTAATTTGGCTGGTTTTGTTTTTGTCCCGTCAGCCGCATTAGAGAAGCGCCTGAGATCATGTTAGCAAATGGGTAAAGTGGGTGTGGCTGACGCTTGCTTTTTAAGATTTTAGTGCAATATTGACCATTAACACAATCTTTTACTTTCTTTATTCAGCCATCTGTCTCCAAGCTCTTGCAAAACAGAGGACACGACTCACCAGGGTATGATGTAAACCTATGCTCAGCCGGGGAGGTCTTTAGGTGCTTAAACCTAAAATTGATGAACACTGCTGAATTAATGTGCTGTTTGATAATAATAAGAAAGATCGTAAATTAGGGAACTTGAGCAAAGGAGCTTCAACCCAATTATACGTCCTTATTGGCTAAGACACTTGAGAAATTAGGTGAGAGAGACATAATCACAGCTTCGCGTCAAGAAAACATGCCCTGTGCGAGGGAACTGAACAAATTTCACCTTCGTCCACCATTAACAAGCCTTTAAACCTTTTTAAACCATTTTTCTTAACACCGCTCTTTAAAAGGCTAACTCTCGGATAAGGTTATGAGATTCTATGGCCAATTACCTAGATTTTTAGCAGTTTACTCCACATAAAACCTAAACGATTCTTTGCTTATATGTACTTAGCCTGCCACACGTAATCCGAGTCTTCAAAACGATGTTTTTAAATCGATTATTCGTCTTAAAGGTACTTTGTAGATGTTACAATCAACGCTGGTGTAAATATGGATGATTCTTATAACGGCTCCGTGCTTAATCAAGGAACTTACACCTATGGTTCTTCATTCACAGTAAGTTTTTCTTCTTCCTAGTAGTAAGCATAGTATTTACGCATAGTAGCCTCCAGCCAACAGTGTTTCACTTACGAAGATATTTAAAGTCAGATATAACGGTTTATCATTCGATGCAAATTGTTCTTTCTTTTCATTCGCCAAACGCCCACCATGGGACCTGCAAATAACTACCTACTAATAATTGTCTGCTTAAGCGCAATGTCGTCCAATAGTATGTTTGGCTGCAAATAATATTCTGCTCATGCGTAAACAAAACCCCACTTTTCTCCTCCTTGCGATCGGTTTTGGTTGAAAAATGTCAGATCGCTTCGCTTCCCGAAGGTATTAATTAAAAAAACAAACTTGGTGATCGAATCATGGTGATAAATTAAAACAATTATTGAACTCGGTTATCGCAAAATATCGTGATTTGTCAGTGTCTTTCATTGATCTGCTTGCCCCTGACAAGTCACGATATTTTGCTCAACCTCGTCCCATAATTGTTAATTATTTATCAATATATATTATTTAATGAGTAGTTTGTTTCTCCACGTGTTTTTTTTTTTTTTTTTTCATTTTTGAGTGAAATGAATTACGTAGGTCAGCGAACAATTGATTTTCCGTTCTTTAAAAATATTTTGCACATCTTGTTCAAACAACACCTCGACAAAGAGAGTAAACCCCACTATACGTGTGACAGGGGGTCTTATTACGCTGGTAAACCAAGACATCAGCTCTGTTCGGTCTTTGCTTAAGTAACCCAGAACTACTGAGTTTTTTCGGATCACTAAAACGATCTTCCTGTCTTGGCCCTATCTTCATATGCGTACAAAAAGGTCAAAATTAAAAAGCTGAGTAGACATTTTTTTAGTTTTAAAGGTGAAAGCCTAACAAACTGTTGTTATTGTCATTGCAGGATTTTGACAACGACGGCTTTCCAGAGCTACTAGTTACTGCAGCTTTCGGTGGAAGTAAAACGTTTTGGAACACACAAAAAAGCAACTTCACAGAATGCACTAAATCATGCGGACTGAGCGGAATGCGGGTAGGGGTGGCATGAGATTGATACTTTAAGATGTCTATTTTAGTTAGTCTCCTTTAGCGGTCCAAAAAACCTGTGCAATGCACAGATTAGTCTCCTTTACTGGCCAATCAGTTTTCGACAGCTTTGCTTGTCCAACTTATTTTCAAGACCCCCCGCGGGCATTAGTTGTTTCACACAGTTAACTTGGCTGAGCAGTAGCATGAACGCGTGTGAGAACTAAGGGTAACTCGTGGTTATCGTTTTTTCCATAGAACGCCATCGGTCATGCTATAGGAGACTGGGATAATGACGGTTACCTGGACTGGTTTTCTACTGCCATGTGGAAGAACCAAAGCGAATGCACCATGTCTGGCTGTACGTTCGTTACCAGTGGAAATTCGTTATATCGTAATCGTGGAGGAAGGCAGTTTGAAGACGCTACAAATCAGGCAAGTTAAGGTGGTCACGTAGGTGAAACCATGCTTACAGTTGGTGTCCAGCACGGTGCCCAAGTACGGTGATCACTGGACACTAATATGACCAAACCCTTTTTCAAGTACCCACGCCAGAATTCGGGCTTGGTGCTTGTACCCAAGTGCAAGGCTGAGACACGGGCAATAAATTGGGCACCCAAGCTAGTTCTTGGGTGCGCACAGATTCTGCTGGTACCAAGGCAATTCACTGCTTTGCATACCCATAACCACCTACCACGCCCGCATTTCAAACTGACGGTTGATAAGCTCAAATAGAGCAAAATATGGTGCATAGTTACACGGGTACTAATGGTGTAAAAACAAAAAAAAATTTTTTCGTCAGTACTCAGACAGCGCTAGTGCTCGGGCACTAAGAGTGGGTGCCTCTTAGGTCTGGCCTGGGTCTGGCTTCAGTGTCACGCTCTCTTTGTTCTTTTGTAGATGAGGCGCGCGAGGTTCTGCCCGGCTTTTCTCCTCGCTTCCTATCAGCCATTTATCTTTTCGTCCTAGACCCTTGAACGGTCATCTTTGTAAAAAATCAAATGGAGATATTCTCCAAAGAGCCATCAAACTAAGACGTTCTTGACCTTTTTTTCAAGGAGCTAAGATTTTTAATTCACCGGACAACGAGGTCTCAATCCCTTTTCTCCTTTAAGAAAATACTGAAGATTAAATTATTAAGTAAATATAAAAATCGACCTTAAATTTCTCCATCTTCGACTTTTCTTCATCGTTTCTTCAATCGGTGTAATCAGGTCTAGCCCGTAGTTCGAGGAGGCCTAACCTCTCATAAGCTCCTATAGTTTCTGTTAGGTCTCCTCGCCACTTCTTTTTTCTACCTATCCTATATTGTTTGTAATTCATTTTCTATTATTGTGTGGCAAATAAAATAAAAAGCAGCAAAAAAATAATGCACTTCATAGTTTCTCAAACAAGCCGAAACAATTTTGTCAGGTGGCAAAATTGTCGGAAATCAAATACTTTTTCAAACCAACCGAACAACTAGAGTGACTAAACAGTACGGCGATTTCCGTTTTTCTCACATATGTTTCATTCTATCAGGCGGGTGTAGAAAATGGTGGTATGGCATGGGGTGCGGCATTCGTGGACTTCAATAACGATGGCTTTCTAGATTTCATTTCAACCAGCGGTAAGTACAAAGCTTACCACTTACAGGCCAACATCTTGGTGGATTATCAAATAATTCTATGTACCTTTTCCCGAATAATCCGATATAGGACTAACACTCTATTGGCAGCAACGGCTTCTTTCCCGCGTTTTTGTTTTTGTTTTGCTTTTTCTTTTCTAGCCTCGCTCTTTTCTGCACTGCAAGACCTCCCCACTGACTATAATGGGTAGATTTGGTAGTGGTAAGGTGAAAAATGCCTGGGAGATAAGGCTTACATTCCTTGCATTGGTAACTCATCTTTATCAACTGAACAATCAGAAATTTATCTTTCATCTTTGCCTCCCTCGACCGGGAGTAAGGATGGCGCAGTGGTGAGAGCACTCGCCTCCCACCAATGTGGCCCGTGTTGTAATCCCGGCGTCGACGCCATGTGTGGATGTTGAGTTTGCTGTTGGTTAAAATGGCTGGTTTTGGTCGATATCCATATTATTTAGTCAGATCAGTATATTTCCATATTTATCAAATCTGCTACTCACTATTCCTGCATACTTTTCAGGGAATGAATTCAACAAGATGCATTTATGGCAAAACCTTGGAACTGGTCAGAATGGGAAAACTCAAGAAGTAAATAGAAACTTTTTACCTTGACTTTATACAACTACTTCTCATCTCTCTCTTCGTCCAAAATGACGTTGCATGATAAACGTAGAATTTCGCGTTAATCTGAGAGGTTGTTTAGTAGATTTCGTAATTCGATCGTCCTTTCTTCATAGTTCCTTTACTGTAAGGCAGTTCTCCCTTATTTCTCAGGTTTAGAGAGAGTTGGAATAATCTCGGTGAAGTTTAAAAGAATTCGAGTTCTCTTTTTCAGTTTTAATTTTCTGACTTTTGTCACCGCGGTTGCTTGACTGATGAATTTTAAAAAGCGTTTAACTAAAGTTTGAATATACAGCTGAGTTAGTAGAGTAGATTTTGATTACAAGACAAAGGCTTTCAAGAATCTATTGCAATGAGGATGCACGAGAATTATACAAATCTGGAAAATTAACTGAATTATATCATGGTGCATTAGTAACTAGGACGCTTGGCAGGAAAATGTGACGTAAGACGGATGTTATGCCAATATCGTTCTAATGTACTGAAAAAAATACTTACAGTGCAGCTTCTGTAAGGTCTGAGGCTTCAAATCATTGGTATTGGCGTTCTTTCCTTTGCAGGTATCTGCCTTCTATGGACTGAATGGCACAGGAAAAGGAAGAGGCCTCGTCAAATGGGACTATGATGGTAATATTATAATGACAACATCGACTTTTCCGGTGTTTTCTCTGTGGTTCTAAATTCAGTCACGCAGTATAAAAAATAAAATTTGGATGGCGTTTAGAAGAGAGGTAACTGCAGGTACTCGACAAGAAACGCCTACGAACACGTTCGAGACGGCTTTTATTTAATATTTATTTTTTTATTTAGGAGGCGTCGTGTCTTATTTTTCCTCGTATAAGTGACTCTATTGTGTATATAGCATAGGTTAAAGGTTTGCTGAAATTTGGTTCGTCTTCAGAACTACTATGAGGTGTTTTGCGCGAGGTTTCAGGGGGGAATATTTAGCTATTATTAAAACACTGCACGTCCCTGACCCTCATTGATGTCTTCTAATTCCATCAGTTCTTAAAGAGTCGTGCACACTTCTTTCTTAGATGACGGTGATCAAGACATCATTGTGTGTAATAACGTTGGAGGACCGTTTTTCTATCAATATCAGCGAAAGGAGCCGAACAATTGGATAAGGATACGTGTAGTACATAGGTACGGTGATTAATCCATTTGCTGTGAGTTAAAATGCGTTTAAATTAAAGAATGGCAAACGCTTAAGCAACGATGGCGACAACGACAGTGAAAACGTCGCTACAAAAATGAATATGCGTCCTTTCAAACTATATCGCATCTATTTGGACCCGCTCTATTTTTCAAATGAACTTCTTGGAGTTGAATTCTTAAGGACTTTATCCAGGTTCAAAAAAAGAAACTAATATTCATAAAAATATTCATAAAACGTTGAATTACGAGGTTTCACATCGTAGTAATACAGCGGACGTCATAAAAAACCTACTAAAATGCGGGATGCACGTGTAGACCTGTTGTTTTGTTCATAAAACCGTTTGTTTTTGGACGTTGTCGACGTTGCTTAAGCTCACTGTAAAACCAGAAAAGAAAATTGTCGTATTGGTACCTCTGCAAAGGTGTGTGAACCTATCCTGGAAGCGCGGCAAACTTTCCAAGCCATTCTAATTTGACAATGGCAATTAATAGCATGTAACGTCACTTGTCGTTTGTTTCTTCTTGATTTGAACAATTTCCTTTGGTCACGCGAGGTTTTTAAATTAACTGAATAAGATACCCGAGCGCCCGCTCAGTGAATCGCACAAATGTTTCGAGATGAAACTCGCAGAATTCAAAACGCCTGTCCTGGAGGGTGCAGGTTGATAGGTAGGGAATTCTTACGTAACACAAGATGCAGGAGGGGAGACTGACGACCGGTGATTTTAAGGGACGGAGATGAACCTGTCAAGAATCCCCCTATCCCTGATTGAGGTATCATGGTGGGTTTTTTGTTAAGAAATCCAGATATGAGTGCTGGGGTGCAATTTTTGTTCTAGGTGTCTTAAGAACTCAAATAAGTTATGTGACAGCCTGGGAGCCCGAGTACAAGTGATCATGGGAAACAACCATACACAGGTATAGGCAACTAGAATATTGGTACAAGGCTATCACGTTAAAATGAAGAATTTTGGCACTGTTCTAGCCGTTTTAGTCATTATTGGCGAAAGGAAAATCGTATACTTGTCTTAACATTCAATGGCCAAGAAAAGTAACTCTAGAAAAAGGTTAGATTTCGTTCCATCCTGTAAAAGAGTGTTGAAGTAGTCGGACCTTGAGTTTAATTTACTTTCCTGGCAATCTCCTCTGAAACAAGGCATTACCTTCTAGTACTAGCGTCCGCTTTCCTTTCTTTCAGACACTGCAAATTGGTTCCAGTACACATTTTTTAGGTCAGAGTTCGGTTGTTGCGCATTTTGGACTGGGATCAAATAGTGGTAATGTCACAGTCAAAGTCACGTGGCCGTCTAATCTCATGGTGACGTACGTTAACGTAACTCCTAATACGAGGCTACGAGTTGTACAGCCTAACAGGTCAGTAAGCAACGATTACGATGACAACGAAGTAACTGCATATTATAAAAGGAGATACATTTTCATTTGCTTCTTGAATGATATGTGTTTTATTATACTTTTTTTGCAAGAAAAATAACTGCAGAGAGGTAAACTCGGTAGCCGGTAAATTGGTAATGCCGGACTGCTAAGCGAGAGGTTACCAGTTCCAATCTCGCGAGAACGGACCAATACCTAAGGGCCTTAAGATAACTGAGGAAAATTTCCTTAAGATTTTCTCTTTTTATGTTCTTACATAAAAAATAGTGTCTTGCAAAAAAAATAAACTGCTCGGAAGTAGGCGATATTTAAGTTCTTTAAAATAAAATCTTAGATGACAACTGGGGAAGACGAAATATCATAACGTGCGAACATCCTTACGGCTGGGCTAGTCGAAGTTTTTTCTTTCGATTTCTTCCTACATTCCTTTTTATAATTATGCCGGATGATTTTAACTACTTTTTAGCTGGTAAGTCTGTGGAGCTTCAATAGTCATTAATGAATGTTTCTTTTAGTTCTGATTCTGGACAAACGTTTCAATATTCTTCTCTCGACAAGTGTTTTTCCTTACAAGTTACATCGATTGTTAAACAGGTAAGCCAAATACGGTAGACCTTTTTAGCTTGTATGCCTACGCATAACTTATAATAAGACAAAGGTTCAAATTCCGGCCTGGTATCTTCATTGTGAAAACAAAACATACAAGCTTAAGAGGCCTATTCTAAACATATGGTATAGAAATTCCAAATGATTTTTTTTTGTGCGGCGAGGGAATGTTTCTTACTTGCAAGGAAGTCCCTGATATGTCGGAGCATATGTCTTGGTTTTCCACTTTGCATGGAATCCAGTAAGAATTGTGCCAACATTACTATAAACCTGGAGGGAGTGGTATAATGCTGCGAAACGTTTCGTGTCTAAGTAAACCTTTAAAGCGACTTCAAGACAAAATACCTACCGGAATCCGATTGGCTAAAATATCTCATTCCTCTTTCACAACAAATTACTGAGTAAGCCCAAATCTATTCTTCTTTTCTCTAAGGATACCAAACGTAATGGTTTTAAGAACACCATGTGTATTTATTTATCATAACGCGACAACTACAATCCCGGTCATAAGTTGTTGAAACACTTCCGGAAAACACAACATAAACTTGTTCGTTTCATGAATACAAGCATTGATTCCCTCCCCTTCAATTCCCTCAATGTTGGTTTCACGCGTTTGCTTGGGCATAAACGTCTTCTAAATCAACATTGAAACGAAAGGGAAGGAAAAGCTCCCAAACGTTTCAGCAATTATGACCGGGATTGTAGCTACTAAAGGCTGGAGTGGATATTCAACTTTTTACTTGTGACGATTCAAAGGGTCTTTCATGCTAGATTGATAAAGTTATTGAATACTGCAATAAAGGATTATTTGTTTGTGAAGCGAAACTTTAGCAGTCTTAACCCGTTCGCTCCTGCGAATTTTGCTTCATTTTTTCTTTTGCTGGGCATTTAGTAGGCTTCATGTCTGTGAGGAAAGTTTTGAGAAAGCTTTTAGGATCTTATAAGATTAGATGTAATGAAAGGTAACTGGTTAGTACAACAAGATTTTCATGGGAATTTTTGGGTCAACATAACTTGGTAGCTACAGCCTCCTTGGCTGACGCGTGCTCTTTCTGGAATGGTTTGAAAGATCACTTCCCCCTGCACATTCAAGTTAAATGAGCGGTAGAAGGGACGTGGATCTGCACAAGCGGTTACGGGCGGTTCAGGGGCGAATGGGTTCAATACGTTTTTGTGGTTTCTTAACCCTTATGTTTTCCTGTAGCCTTCAAAATCAACAGTAACAGTTAACCCAGACGGGAAAACAGTAAAATTTCAAGTAAATCCTGGAGAAAGCCACGCGGAGCTTGGTAACCAGACCTTCACATACACAGTGGGCCTGATGCCTAGCCCAGGAGGACAACCGCTGACTGCCAACTCCACGGCAAACGTGGAGTTCACAAGCAGCGCTCTGAGCGGATGTCAGGACGGAAGAATGATCGGATCGGTACCAACTGTAACAGATGACAGGTAAGCTTCCGAGTAACATCCAAGCCATAAACTAGTAAATACACTCCCGTAACCTCCTGCCATAACCCACCCCTTAACTGCCAAAGAAAGGAATAGCACTAATGCCTTCAAAATTTGCTGATCGTTCAGAGATATTCCCAGCCCTTTACGAAAATGGTTGCTTGGCAAAATCTGTAAATGCGGAGTTTCTGTGATGGCACAACTCCGTTCAAGTAGATTTTCACTCATACACCTGTATTCCACGCTTGAAAAAAGTGAAGCCTGTTCATGCAGTTTTGAGTTGTCGATTAAAACTAGTGCGTCCATTTTTTTCTTTTGGGCCTTTCCTTAGTCTTGTTAGCTCTTCATGGCTATGCCCTTTTTATATTAACGATCACTTTCAATTGTTGGTTTGTTTCAGCACGCAAAAAAGTCAGGTAAATATTTCGCGAAAACAATTGTCCGGAATTTATATTTCCTGCATTATAGGCGTTTAGAGGGTACTTCGAACAATAAAGTTCACGTGAGATGGGGTGCTGCACAAGAGGACCTGATTCGTGACGCTCCTCCAATGTACGCTGACGGTATAGTTATGGCAGCAGGCGCTAACAGGCCATCACCAAGAAAAATCAGCAATGAACTATTTCAACAGGTACGCCTTAAGTAACAGATCTGGACTACCAGCATCAGCGTTTTGTTTTTTAAGCGTTTTCAGTCTGTTTATTCCAAACAGATAAGTAAGGTTTACTAATAAATTCTCCCCTGCATTAACTCGATTAAACGCCGCCCTTGATAAAACGCGGCAGATAGAAGCAATATTACCAATAAACGCTGCCCTTGTCTTAAAAAAAATCGCATCCAATCAGAAGAATACGGGATTTTTTCAAGGAATATGGGAAAAAATTCGATACAACTTGGTAATCTTCACCATCCATGCAGACAATGACGAGTCCATTTCAGGAAAAATATATAGCAGGACACTGGAAATCTTTCTGTTTTACAAAGTATTTGCAAATCGGGTTTATCGTAATTATTTTTGCCAAATGTGATTTTGAAATAAACGCCACCATGTATATATAAACGCCACATCGGAAACGCTATAAAAGGTAATAAATGCCACGGCGTTTTTTTCGAATGAATACTGTATAGAAAATTGTGACGCTGCTTCTTTTAGGAGGTTAAGCACAAAAGTTGCGTTTTATCTTATTGAGCTAATAAAGAAATAACTGGCCAACGTTCGGGGACTGCTGTTTCTATCCTTTTCTTATCCTTTTCTCATTACCTATAGTGAAGGTTAAATTGTCGTTAAAATACATTTGCGGCTTCTCATTGCGATTCGGCTAACTAACTTCCTATTTTGCAGGTTGAATCAAAGATTAGTGCGCGCAGACTCAGTGACTTCAGTCCAAATTTTGGGCAGGTATATATTGAGGCGTAATTAATCGCTTGTGACTAAGTAGGTCAGTGAGACAGACCATCATTCAGGATCAGTCAGGCAGGATGCGGCAATCCGGCCATCAATAGGTTCACTTTGACAGTGGAAAGAATTGCCACAGTTAGTTAGTCAGTGCGAGGCCTTCTGTACGAGAGGTACTGAATTGGTTTTCAGGCTTTACCTCAAATCCTGTCATTCGGCTCAGTTTTTCTATCCATATAGCATTAAGTAGCTTTAAATACCAGTAAAATGGATCACTGATGAAAGAGGGGGTAAAAAAGCGGAGCTACCAATGTAATCTCTCCACGATACAAGGTACCAGTGTCGAGAATTGATATTACGCTATTAGGATGTGACGTGGAGGATCATTTGACAGAAGAGAGAACTGAGAACTCTGGTGATGGTAGTGAGAGATATTGAGAAGTTCACGACACCAGTCTTTCCATATTACACAGCACAGGGTGTTTTTAAATAGAGTACCTGATGTGTTGTTGACAAATAGAGGTCATTGTTTTTATTAATTTTTCTTTCAGTTTCTTGCACATGATACCGATTCATCAGGAACGCTTACAAGTCGGGATTTTGAAGTTGAAAGTGACGTGCTGTTACCTATTGAGGTACCCCCGGTCAGTATATGAAGAGCATTTGGTGTCGTCCCTGAGTTGTTGTTGTGGTATAATAATCAGGAATCACGATACTCGGACTCCCTTCCTGTTTATCATGAAAATTACACGACACGTCAGCAGTCTATGGGTTCAGATCTTGCGCGTTGATTCTATTATCTACTAGCCTTACTTGCTATCTGCAGTTCTGACAACCCCAATATTTGTAATTCCCTCCAAGGAATACCTTGTATGACATGTATGGTGTGTGGGTGGGTTTGAGTAAGCTGAATATGTCGTTAGGATATCTAAAATGTCTTTTCCCCAAACGATGGGATTTCCCTGGCGATTTTTTAGCTGCCTCGCTTATCGTATTATGCTTGGGGTATGTGGATGGGCCCTTGTCCTCTTCTTAACCTTTTAAATGTGGGTGATTTGTTACTGAACAAGTATTTGCGTAATTCTTTTGCCTGTGGAGGAAATGTGGCTATGCGTTATGATAATATATATTTGCTTTCTCCTCTGCTTCCAGGGAGATATTCATTTTGACCGACAGAACAAAGGAAATGTGTACCTCCCTTTCGTACGCACCACGTTTAACAGGTTTGGAAGGACATGATCGAATTCAACATAAATTATATACATCAATTACTGGCCCTAAGGTTAAAGCTAAATTTCCTTCATCTATAGAAAACAAAACTGGTTTGTTTGTTTCATTTTGGAATTTCCCAGACCTGGATGTCATATGAATATCGTGGGTCAAAACGAATCTCTGATCTCTCTTCCCGGCGATAAATCCTTCTGAGACGATCTTGACTAAGCCTTACAGTTCCCGTTGTAGGAGAAACAAAAATTAAAGTATGATGCGGCGATTGCAACTGGCTCTTGGAAATATCGTACTTAGACTTTGTTTCCGTAAATGGGTGCCTCAGTGAGAGCAACAGTTAATCGGGTAACTGTCTGAAACATTGTGCCTGAAAGAACGTGACAAGTCGCTCCCGAAACGAGCAACATTGACTTCCCACAATGAAACGGGCGAAACGTTTTTTTTTTTTTTTTTTTTTTTTTTTTTTTTTTTTGCCATAACCTGGTGCAGAGTGAGAAGTTCTAGGAACTAAAGTTTTACACTACCTTTTAGTGCAGTGAACCTTTTTTTCTCTCTTCATTAGATGTACTGGTCGAGGCACTAGCATTCCAAGACAACAAGTGAACAAACTAACTTCCTACATCGATGGTTCCGTCGTGTATGGAGAAACAGAAGCAAGAAGCAGGGCTCTAAGATCATTTACAGATGGAAAACTAAAAGTCATACCCGATGATTTGTTACCTGTAAGTTACGACTTGGAAAAAAAGGACTTTTTATTTTGCTTTCCAACACAAAACAGTCAGGTTCCGTGTACTTGTCTGAACTCAATTGTTGTTTGCAAAGGTACAGAAAAGAAATTTCTCATCTCCCTTGTAGTTTATCCTCCCCTCTTTCCAGCCCCATCCCTTTTCAGTTGCCCAAATTTATAAAGCCTCACCTTCTAATTAAACCCCCGGCCCTCCAGATGGAGTGCAACGGCTGGAATTTTTTCTTTACACATTCACTACTTACGCTTAGGTTCCAGTTTTCAAAAAGGCCTTGGCTCCCCTCTTCAGTAAGCCATTCCCTTCCCCTCAAAAATGTTTGCGAAAACTGTATCTGGGGAGGCGTCGAAGATACACTTTGACGTCACTTGCAAGATTTTTCAAACGAGAGACACAGGGCGCTTTCCATTTAGTCAAAATTTCCGGAATTTCTGGTTCGGCGGTAAATTGAACACGTTTCGTCGGCTCGTCCCACTGGAAAATTCCCAGAAAAAGTGGAGAATCTAAAAAGGTGGGCCGGTTTTCCCGGTTGGAATTTCCGAACAGAATGTCGTGTTCTATTTACGTTTCTCGTAGTTTGTACCAGTTCCAGGTCCACGGTCGGTTACCGCGACGTACCGGGGTTTAAGACCAAATGGAACAACTTTTTACCAATCGGAAATTCCACTTTTGCTCCCATCGAAATTTCGGGGTTTTTTTCCTAAATGGAAAGCGCCCACAATTTATCAATGTTTGTTGAAAGTCTTTAATATTTCACTCATAATTTCACAAACTAGAAACTAGAAATTCTAAACTTCTACTCCAAAGTCAAAATGATTTTTCAGCTTAAGCAACTAGCACCTGTTTAAACGTGTTTTGTAAACAGGAAAATGATGAGGCGCTACCGAATGACAATCCAGTTGGCCGAGTAGCAAGTCTGCTGTTTGTTGCCGGGGACTCAAGGGCCAATGAACAGCCCGGTTTGATAGCATTTCATACTCTCTTTGTACGTGAACACAACCGACTATGTGATGAATACAAAAGCACAAATCCTCAGGTAAAGCAACAACACGTGGTTTTTACGTTCATACTCATTAAGTCTGTGTGACATTTAGTTTCGTCATATTTGTTTTTGTTTTTGTTTTTTTGTTTGTTTGTTTGTTTTTGTTTTTGTTTTTTTCTTTCCTTTTTAAGATGTGTACAGTAGGGTTATATGTAAGCTTGTGCTTAATGATATTCTTATGTCCTTTTCTACATTGTAAAGCGCTTAGAACAGCGATGTATAAGCGCTATATAAATTCCATTATTATTATTATTATTATTATTATTATTTAACTTATATAATTTTAAATAAGGGTATTATTAGTCCAAGCGCCCGAGACAAGGGAACTTGGTCGTAGACTGCAGTCAGGTGGGAAGGGCAGGTTTGCTTTTTCCCTTTTGAAGTAGATAGAGTCGGGAGTTGACAAAACCTCGAGAATCTAGTGCTACTTGTTAAGAACAAGGTGCCTCAACTACGTCTGAGGTTGTGGGGGATAACCCCTGTTTGAAAATCACCGGAATTCTTTATTCATACTCATTACACTTGTAAGAGTGAGACTTTTAAGTCTGTGTGACGTTTACTCCAAAAGCTTGACCATTTATGAGCAATGCTTTTCTAGAGGTGTTGCTAATCATTCTGCACATTTTGGTTTTAACCCTTTTGACGCTGGAGATTTAAAGTAAAACGTTCAATTTATTCCTTACACTGGCTCTGACTTTTGCGTACTAAGACCCACGACGAAGTGGTAAATGCTGTTAGAACAAAACTATTTTCAGGTACACCACAAGCTGAAACTATAAATCAAATTTTACATGTAAAGAATTACCCACCCTTCTCGTTACAAATTTAAAAGAAATCAAAATAAAGGGCATAAAATCTTTAACTATTTACTAGTTTAGATCATTTTAAAAGATCTAGAGATTTAAATTTTTGTTTAAGTGTCAACCTTTCTCGTCGCATCTACTGTCCCACAGTTTCGATGCGCTGTAACGCCACCACCTTAGGTCATAGGCCATGGGTGGTTGAATTGACCTTTAACAAGTCCACCTTTTGATAACGGACTGACTTTCACCCGCTACTCCCTGTAGTAAAAATGTAATCTTTTTTTGCGAATTCTGACATGGATGCATAAACGAGTAAACGATCAAGATATTTATTAGGAAGAAAGAACATTGCCACTTGCTGCTTCTTTTTCCCAGGCTACTGACGAGCAAATATTTCAGGCTGCGCGTCGCCTGGTAGCGGCTGAGATCCAGGCCATGACATTCCGCGAGTACTTGCCTTCACTGTTGGGGGGCACCACGCACATCCCTCCTTATCAGGGGTACAATGACACTATAAACGTTGGCATGAGCAATATGATGTCAACAGCTGCCTTCAGGTAACAAACGAATTCTTATTATTCATATTTTATTTGAATATACAATTGAAATAGGCCCTCTGTAATTATAGAGCGCACTTTGCTTGGGCTTCATTTCCTGTATGATCTCACCCCGCCGACCTAGCCTGTTCCAGGCTCCGAGATGGTGGTGGAAAGTCGTTCAGTAATAAGAAATACGAAAAACGCGCGAGGGCTGGGGAGAGACAGGGTTTTGACAGCCGAATCCAGACGTGACAAAAATGGGCGGAAGAGGGTCGTTAAAGAAATGCTAACAGGCTCTCTCTCCCATTTTTCCAGCTTCCACCGCCCCCTTTCTCAAGTCGTGCGCGTCTTATTTTCGCTTTGCTCGTTTTAATACGTTCCCACTATACTATCTAAGAGCCTGGCACAGGCTACGCCGACCTAGACCACTGACGGCAAAAAAAAAAAAAAAATTGCGCTAACCTGCGCACTGAGTAAACGAAGGCGTTATGTCTGTAGGAACAGTGGTGCTTTATCGGCCGGCAGGGAGGTGGAAAATGAAAATCGCCTTTTTAACCTCTGAAACAAAGTAATATCAAAAGTAAAATTCTCATTTCTTTTCCCTATACATTTTCTTTCAACACAAATAGTGGGAGAATTTGTTGAAATATCAATTAGATTCACCTTCTGTGATGATGTGCTCAATTCTCATGACCACTCAGTTTATAAAGCATTTATGATATTGCGGATCACTCTTAGGGCTGAAAGGGCTAAACTGAGATTATGGAAAACCCAACAGCTGACACAGGTTGGATCACAGCGGTTTGAATGTATTGCTATTTTCACCTGTAGATTTGGCCACAGTCAGGTCAACACTCACTTGTGGAGGTATGAAGAGGATGGCACGATATCTCCCTATGGACACGTTTCTCTGAGAGACGTCTTCTTTTCTCCTGAAAGAGTGAAGAGGGAGGGAGGACTGGACCCTCTGTTTAGAGGAGCAGTCAGGCAAGCAGCTCAAGAGGTCGATTTGAAGGTTTGTAGTGTGACAGACATGGAATTACTGTGTTCACCAGGAACACATCAGACCAGTTTTTCGAGTTAGTTATTACCTTACAATTACAAAAATCTTGGTAAAAAGTAAAACCAGGCGTTCAGGTGCAAACTTCTCTCATTTTTCTCACTAATTAGGACAATTAGACTCTAGAATCATTGTCGTCGTCGTCGTTGTCGTCGTTATCATCATCACCGCCTCTTCCACCACCATTACCACCACCACCACCATCATCATCATCATCATTTCATCATCATCATCATCATCATCATCATCATCATCTTTGTTTATGCTATATATCGATAGATTCAGTGTCATTGTCAAGGAAACCGTTACCGTCACTATTTAAGTTACTGTCAGTGGCAACGTGATTAAGTCCTGAAAAAGTATCAGAACCAGCACGCACACGAAACTTTTAAAAGACCTTGCTTAAAGGCGAAGAAAAAATGCCGGCCAAGTTTTGAGTCACTAATCGCAGTCCGCTGAAACTATCACCACTGCCAACCGACTACCTTATATATGTTTCATTCTTTGAGTTCTTCCGAAGGAATCTTGAGCCGTTTTACTTTGCCAATTAATTGACTAGGACTATAGCCCATATTATCAATCATTATTTCTTATCATAAGATAAGTTAATTCTGAAGTTTTGATTATTTTTCAGATGGTTGACGACATGAGAAATGTCTTGTTTCCTTCTGGTCGTGGTCTTGGTTCAGATTTGGCGTCGAAGAATATCCAGCGTGGAAGAGATCATGGTTTACCAGACTACAACACAGTGAGAAAAGCTCTAGGTTTAAAAGGTAGGAATTAAACTGACTCTAGGCTACTGTTCTAGACAGTCTATGTCAGTAAGTCTGTCGGTAAGTCTGTCGAGCGGACGGTCGGTAACAGATTGGTCCACGATTCATTAACCTGGTGACTGAAAATAAAAAACCAGTAGCCCATCATTAGGGTCAAAGACTGCTGAAATGACTGACTCCTTATCTTCGATTCTGTTTGTCTCCTTAAGGGTTAACCAGTTTTTCAGAGATCACCAAAGACTCCGAGGTTGCATCGAAGATGAAAGACCTTTACCAGGACATAAACAATGTTGACCTGTGGGTAGGAGGATTGGCTGAAGACCACGAAGATGGCAGTGACTTGGGGCCAACGTTTAGAACGTTAGTGCAAAACAATTCTTTTTATGTCTTCCCTTTATGGTTTCTGATTTTTTTCGTGGATATGGTCTTCACAATTGAGTCTAGGGGGCTAAACACGTGTTGATTTATTGCGATTTCGGTTGAAATTGAGTTTTAAAATCGGCGTAAATAGCATACATTCATTGTAATCCTGTCCATTCCTCCCCTCCCCCTCCCACAGCTAATATGACGTCAGAAGCCTGAGATAGCTATCGGATAACCTTAAAATATTGTATTTCTCTTGCTAATGGGATGAGTCTATGGCTGTCAACGCTGAAGGGGAGTAATGTCTCTTCCAGAATCATGATGCTTAATTTTCTGCGAATTAGAGACGGCGACAGGTTCTGGTATGAACGCTATCTGTCAAAAGAGGTAAGTGGAATAATTATGTTTTACCATTACCGCTATAGACGCGATTGAAATATGGCCATAGTATGAAGAGAAGTCACCCGTAATCCTTAAACAGTAACCACATAGCCTCGTGCCAAAATTCAGAGAATCAAGAGCAAGCCTGGGAAGGAGTTTTCTAAGCGCATAAGGCACGTAGGGAAGAACGAAAAGCAGACGAGGGGCGTTAACCTTTACCGTGGATGTCCTTGGGTTAACTCATAACCTTTCCTTTTCCGATTAAGGCGTCGTTACATTGGACGAATCGCAACCGCGCTTTTCAGCACGCAAGGGCATTGCAACATAGTTTCGAATTTTCAAAACTTTGCTGCCCTAAAGATCGTCGTTGCAGATATCTTTTCGTCTAATATCACCTTTACGCAAATAGGCACTCGGGTACAAGGCAGGTAACAATATAAATTACTTCGACCAATCAAAACAGAGTAAAAAATACAAAAACCAATTACGCGTAGCTGAGCGAAGGGAAACTCCCCCAAGCCTCAAGTCGGAAGCTAACTAGCCAAAATGAACAACGAATGTCTGAAAACCTATACTCGAAAAAATTATTTCGTTGTAGACAGCAAACTCGCTTGTTAATTGGTCAAAGTTAAAAATTCGCCAGTCAGTGCAACTGCAATCACTTTATTCTCACTAGGCAAGATCGCAAGATTTTTAGAGAAGTTTCAAACTTTACAGGGTCTAACAACCGCCTAAGTGAAGAAACAAGCGTTTTAAAAACTCTTTTATTAACCGTTTGGTTTTTAATACCAATTAGCTTTGTAATAACGATATCTATTGTGTGAAAGGTTTGAACCCAGGAGTTATTTCAAAAGTAGGTTGAGTTTGATCGTCCGGGTGAACGCAGTCCTGAATAGGACTGTTGTTGTTGACAGTGACTGACGTTTCAACAACCTGTGCGGTAGTCATTTTCAGAATCAAAGTGAGTTATATACCAGAGTATAATACCATCAACTGACGTTATGCAAGTCACTTTGATTCTGAAGATGACTACCGCACAGGTTGTGGAAACGTCAGTCACTGTCAACAACAACAGTCCTATTCAGGACTACGTTCACCCGGACGATCAAACTCAACCTACTTTTGATATCTATTGTGGAATCGAAGTGAAACCCCACTCGACTTTAAATTCTTACTTCAGTTTTGCTTTAACTAGATGTAAATTTCTTAACATAATCTACTTACAAAAGAGATTTTTTCATCTATTGAAGAAGAATGAAGACTCCTTTATTTGTTATTATTAGAGAAGCGTGACGTCACGTTACCATGGTAGCAAAATTTCTGCATCTCAACAATCCTTCTTGACAGAGACGGCCATTGGCATTGCCGAACGATGGAAAAAAAGTATGGGCTACCGTTTTGTTCCTGAGTGCAATCATGCACAGGAGACTAATTCCTTTTCAACTTTTCGTTTTCTTTCTGCCATATTTACAGGACGATGTTTTTTTTGAGATCCAGAAATTTTGCTATCACGGCAACGTGACCTAACGATTTATCCTCTCTACAACCCTCGACACTTCCAGAACATTCATACTCAACGTTCGTTTGACATTAACAGGAAATCGACAAGGTGAATTCAATGACGTTAGGCAAGTTAATACGCATGAACACTGGATTCAAAAGCGCACCAGATAATGTGTTCTTCTCCACGCAGTACTGCGCAGGCGTGAAAAATTTCCAGTGTGTGCCAAAAACTGAAATCCCTTCGGTGACGGAGGCCACAAGTAACGCTACAAGGAATGCATTGATAGCGATAAGTGTTGTCATGTCTGTGTTGGTGGTTTCGCTTGTAGCCGTCCTGGTATGGTTGTGGTTCCGTTCTCGGCAAAAGAGAAAGATCATCCCGGTTAAGCCGGCGCCAGGCAACTGAGTCATCAATTGTCATATCTCGGAAGCACTTAAAAGCACAAAATATATGAGGGCGGTGCCAAGTATATATGTACTACTCCCTTCTATCCACCTTCCCGCCGACTCCAATGGTAAATCCAAGGGTTTACATTGGCTATGTTCCCTCTTGGAAGTAAACATAAAATGTGAACTTGCAGAGGGGTAGATATCACTGTTGTAGTTTGGTATTACACGCTCTTCATGAAAATTGTTAGCCTGCTTCAGGTGGTAAGACTGTAGTGATAGACTCCTCAGTTGATTCTGCAATAACTGATCTAAGCTAGGAGAATGTGACCCGCGAGAAAATTTTATCGGAGTGAACAAAACTGCAGTGCGTAAGTGAACACTTAAATTCTTGGTTCTCCCACGAACTTGGGTGAGAGACAGAAAGGAAAGAGAGAAGGATAAACGGAAAGAAAGAAAGAAAAAATGGAAGGAAGAAAGCAGGAAAGAAAATTAAAATAATACTGATATCACGAAGAAACATCTCAAAAAGCTAGCCCTTAACTTGTTTTTCAGTATCTTAACACTGGGACCAGGCTAACTTTTGTTGGTTGTTTTAGCCGCAACTTAGTTCACCTCTCGTAGAATAATCAGCTTGAAAGTAGCTGTTAATTATAACTAACTACTGCCATACCATACTAACAGGCTGTAACTACTATAATAAAAAGACTATTCCTTAAACAAACTGGTAAATGTTATCTAGGAAACACTTTTTTGCAGTTTCGATTTCCAGATCGGAGAATTTTGATAGCTGCAAAGGGATTGTTCATAAAATGAAGTTTCTCGAGAGCTTGAGCTTAAGTCTTAGTCAGAGCAAACTCTTCAAATATAATAAACAGGTAAAAACAATTATTTTCATTTACTTTCGGAAGAACATGGAACAAAGGATATCATATACCAGACCCTGGTCTATGGCACATGGTATTTGTAATCCAGTGACTGGGAAATAGAAATTGTGATAAATTTTTAAAGTACCCACGCATTACTCAAAACTACAGGCGGCCACATCGTGCACAATTTTGTGAACACAAATGGGCTACTGCTCAAATTCAAAACAGAACAAAAATATACTACAATCAATTTACGCGGCATTTGTTACATTTCAATTAATTTTTCGCTTTTGAAATAAACTGCAATTCCTATAAGACAACATGCTTGCCCGATGGGCAAATATCATACATTCACCGAAGAAAATAAACACCTGGAAATTACAACCTCTTCCTCATTCGAAATATGTGTTGTGGTTCACTTTTATCCTTGGTTTCATATTTTATTTTCTTTTGTTTCGAACTCATTATCATATATTACCATACCCAAAGACAAAAGGAGATAAAAATTAAACCAAGGATAATGTTAAACCACAACATATGCAACCCAGGGTCTTTAAAGGGCGCTAGAGGAAGAAAATGAAGCTAGACTTCTTTAGCTTTTCTCAGCTTTATTCGCGAGATTCCCCATAGACCGAGATAGGTCTATCATACCTGTTTACCTTTTTAACCAATGGTTAAAAAAATAGGAATAATTCGTGACTACTTTAGAAATTTAATTCAATTACTTAAGACGGTCAGACCTATAAACAACTATGGTGCACCCATGAGGCTACCTGTATCATCAACTAGTGCCTAACATCTGCATAGAAGAGTTCGCGGACGAAGCGCTAGATCAGCTAGAAACCAGCTGGTACAGATAGATGGATAGATGACTTTTTAAACTCAATCACCAAACTACATCACTGTGAAGTGGAGGAGTTTTCCAAGCATCTCAACTCCACATTCTTCTAACACGCTCGTCCTTTTCATTGCATCTTCCTTTACCAACCCAGTAGCCTGTCAGGTCTTTATATCGGCCTCTTTGTTTGAAATCGGTTCTAAGAGTTTCACAGAACATGCAAAGAAAGGACCACCCTTCTCTGCCTGCTCGATATTTTTGTCTCCAACTGAAATATTCATTGTAGGCGGTATTGTTCTTGTCAAGGTAGTGGAGGTAGTCTGCAAGGTCTTTTACCGTCTTGAAGTCCATAACGTTGATATATGAACCTGGAATGGCGAGTTTGCTGTAGTTGGCGCCTCCTAAGACTATTGGTATGACGTTTTCATCTCCTGTAATGACGATAAAACCTCAAATAAGGGCCTTGAGACTTTTATGATTACCGTAAATCCTCTATTAAGCCCCCCTCTCAAATAAGCCCCTCCCCCCTTTTTAGTGGAAGAAAGTTATTAAGCCTACCCCTCTCTTTTATGTTATTTTTTGCCTATAATACACCTCCTTTACCCCTCCCCCCCCCACCAAAAAACAAACAACAACAACAACAAAGACTTGCTGACCTACATAAGCAATAATGTTATTTATAAATAAACTAAAAACTGGGCTACCATCAATTCCTATATTTCGTAAATAAGCTTGCTTACCTATACGGCCCCAGTACTTTTCAGTGATGTAGTCCTCGCATAATGCATTTTCAAAGCTAAGGTAGAACTTGTACTGTTTAATAATATTTCTGCAAGCTTCTCCATGTGGACAGGATTTTGGTTCGCCAAATTTTCCCGAACACGATCCAAATACATCAACTGTAATGTACTTTTGAAGCTCATGAACAAACGAGTTTCTGAGATGAGAGTTACAGTTGCTAACCATCCAGGAAACCAGTTTGTCCTTCCCAACGGAGAAATCTAGTTGTGAAGTCTTTTCAAATGGGATCCCCCTATAAGACCCATAAGGCCACCAGAAGTCTGAATCGGATCTATACGTCATAGTCAAATCGAACATTCCATTCAAAGGTCGGGTATCAGGAGTAGCATTTGGACTTTCCTGTAAAAAATAAATCCAGAACTGCGACGAGGGCTTATTTTTCATTATCGTTTTCAGGTGATCCACACCAGGCATATCTCGGGCGTGGAATATGACAAATTCGCTTTCAGCATATCGCTTTTTATCGTACGTCAAATCAACCTTGTCCTTACGGCAACTGTTTCCAGGTATTTCTGGTGAGGAACAATCATCAGTGATTTTTATCCACTCCTTAGTACCGAAGAATTGTGTATAAACCAGTATCACGAAGGGCTTCTGAGTTACGCTGCGAGTGTTGTTTTCTTCAGCTGACTCCAGCTCCTTGTTTCTTAGTCTCCCTAACGCCAGTCGGGAGATTGGAATTGTTTGGCGCAAGGTGTTACCCAGTGAGTTCCAAAACACTGTTATTAACAGCAATATCGCACATAACAAGCAAACCAAAATGAATGTTCGTGCCACCGTTTCTCTCATTTTGCCTTTATGAGACTAATGTGTTGATTTAAGACACGACTTGAGCAAGAGAAATAAACATGTGATCATTATCGGTCACGTATGCGGCCTTGATCTCTCAAACTCTCTTGAAACATTAAGTAGCTTGTAAGTGTTTCAGTAAGCAGCTCCTAAAATTAAAAAACAAAATCTCATCAATTTAAACGAAATAGTCAATAAAAAGCCTACTTTAACTTAAATATTTTCTGGCACTATGTCTTCAAAAGGACGGACAGTGCATGTACATCAATTATTGCTCAACGGTGCTTTTTAAACTACTTACTACATTGCTCAGCCATACTTTTTCACACTCATGTATTAACTGGTCTCCTTATTTGCTTGCTTCATTCACACAGCCTCATTAACTGCAAGATACACCAATACATTACCACGTATTGGCTCCCAGGACATCACATACGATACTGCAAGTACTTCTCCTGATCCAAACTTTTTGTATACTTTTGTCAGTTAATTTCCGAGCGCCTTTTGATTAGCTGGTAAAGTTTAAGCGATTGGCCTTGTCGTCCGCTTATCTTTCCTTTTCTTCAACACTAAAAACTAATTTGCGTCCTTTCAAACTTCGTCGCGTCTGTGTGGACCGGATGAATTTGTCAAATGTAGGCAATTTCTCCTGGAGTTGGATTCTAAAGGAGTTTTTTCTGGTTCAACATGAGATTCAGTGAAAAATTCATCGTCGTATGTTCACGTCCTCCACAAAACGTGGTATTAGGTGTGCTGTGGACGTCAAAGAAATGTTCTAAAAAGTGTGATGCACGTGCAGAGGTGTTGTTTTTCTCATAAAACCAATTGTTTTTTGACGTTGTCTTTGCCGTCGTTGTAGCGGCGGTTGCTGGCACTGTGCACCAACTTCATCGGAGACTTACTAGTAATGTTTATCTGCCTTTTGTCATTTTATGACAAAATTCACAGTCAGAGATGTTTCAGTTCTTGTGTCTGAGTTTCAGACCTCTCTTTGTTCAAGTGTTAGATGGCGGTATCCACTGGATAAATCACTATCCAGTAGATAAGTATTAGGGAAACGTTTGCGTTAGATTTATTCACTGAATAGCGTTACCCACTTTTTGAACAACTCGGATTTTTTTCCAGACGTTAGCGGGATTCCGGTATCCTTAACCTGAATTCCGGATTCCAAGGTCCAGGATTCCGGAATGCACAACCAAAAATTCCCCGGATCCTAGCATCCGGATTACCTTATATGGGGGCGAAAAACATCGCCTTGATCGTTTTTGACGTCATATAGCAGCCATTGTCGAGAAGTCGCATCCTGAGCGAAGCAACAACAACAACACCAAAAGCTTTATTTGCATGACCATAAAGGAATTACAGTATTGCAAAAGCTATTAGTCTAAATTTAAGTACTAATTCAACTAATTAGTACGTGCAAAACTTTACAAAACGTGACAGTTCTCATTCATTCATTCATTGATATTAATTTGGTCCTTAATTCAAAGCATTGCGAGATAAATGAAACTAATTGACAGTTAATTAAATAATCAGAAGAATTCATAAGAAGAGATATTAAAGTATCGTGTGAAAGTGATTTGAAGTCAGGTATTTTAGTTTTTAGTTTCGAGAAAAATATGTCTCTGATCTGAGAATAAGCTTTACAATCTAGTAAGAAATGATTTTCATCTTCTATTTTCTTACTTGTACAAAAGTGACATATCCTTTCATTGCGAGGAATGTTTTCGTATCTACCTGTTTCAATTCTAAGTTGATGACTACTTATTCTAAATCTAACTAATGTTTTTCTCGAAGGGTTTTTTCTTGTTAAAACTAGGTACGGCGAGGGGCTATAGTCGTCTTTGATTGTACAATAAAAACTGAGTTTTTGTGATTGTTGAAGTGTCTGATTCCAGTAAGAGACGTATTTATTTTTCATTATGCCGATATACCTATTAACTATTGAGTCACTCAATGAATTACAGGAAAAGTCATAGTTTAGATCATAGTAGTCAACCATTTTCATGAGATTAGAGTAAAAGCTAGTTTTTCCGTTATGATGAAGGTCAATTGAAATTTGTAAGGCCTGTTTAACTATAGAATCTTCATCCTTACCTCTCAGATAGTCTAAGTAATTTAGAACCTTTTTATTTATATCAATGATCATGGGAAATTTACCGAGTTCAGCTCTACAAGCAATGTTGGATGCCTTGTTATGTACTTGTAAATAACGTTTACAGAATTGCAAATGGGTTTTTTCAATTGCAGAGCTGTCCCAGGACTTAAAATCTGATTTAACAAAAGCACCCCAAACTTCGCTGTTGTAGGTTAGAATTGGTGAAATCATAGAGTCAAAAATTTTACACGCAAGTGAGGGCTTAAGATTATTCAAATCCGTGTGTCGCCTGAGGCTGAAGAGCGCGTGAAGAGCTTTTTGTCGGAGATGTTCAAGCGAAAGTGTAAAATTTCCGGAAGATGTAATTCGAGTTCCCAAGTAAGTATAGTTTTGGACAACTTCGATTACTTCATTGCCTATGCGGAAGTTATGTTCACGTTTTCGTGTGCATCGTTGAAAAATCATTATTTTGGTTTTCTTAGGATTTATTCTAAGCATCCATGAGTTGCAATATGAAGATAGTACGTTAAGGCAGTTTTGTAGACCAAGTTTGGATCGCGATAATATTATCAAGTCATCTGCGTAAAGGAGAGAGTTGAGTCTGGTGCCATTTGGTAACACGAAGGGGTCTGATAAAACATTGTCAAATGAGAACGCTAGATCGTTAAGGTATAAGTTAAAGAGCAGAGGGCTTAAAATGCAACCTTGCCGCACTCCTCTTGCGTATTGAAAAGAGCGCGTTTTGTTATTTCCAATCCTGACAGAGCAGGTAGACTTCGAGTATAGACTCTTAATTAGACTATAAAACTTTCCTTGGACATTGATCTTAGATAACTTATAGAGAAGCCCATCATGCCAAACCGAATCAAAGGCTTTCCTAAAGTCAACAAAACACGCATATATTTTCTCCTTGTGACAATGGGCATATTTGTCTATTAATGTTCAAAGTGTGAAGACATGATCTGCTGTTCTATTATTTGCTGGAAAACCAGTTTGAGACTTGTGAAGTATATTATTTAAGTCAACGTGCTTTAGAAGTCTCTGACTGAGAATTGAACAAAATAGTTTTCCAATACAACTGGAAATACAAATTCCACGGTAGTTTGATGGATCGCTTTTAGTACCACATTTAAAAATTGGTGTAATGAGGCCATCACACCACATTTGGGGCATAGTTCCTAAGTCGAGGACCGTGTTAAATAGTTTTAGATAAACAGGCATTAATTCGTTTAGGCTAGATTTGATCATTTCGTTTTTGATTTTGTCTGAAAAAGAAGATTTGTTGTTTTTGAGTTTTCCAACTGCAGTGCGAATTTCACTTTCAGTGATGAGGTAATCCAAGGAGTGAGATCGTGACGTAATATCCTTTGAATTCTGCAACTCATCTATAATTGCCTCCTGCTGTTCATTAAGGGGTTCATTCGAGTGCAAAGATTGAAAGTGGGACATCCATTTTTCTTCAGAAATTGGAGGGGTGTAGGTTTCCTTCATAGTGTCGTCCATTGACTTCAAACACTTCCAAAAGCTCTTATTGTTCGAATTTTCGACCGTATTTTCAAGTTCACAGATCTTATTGCTATAGTATTCGTCCTCTTATGTTTCAAAAGGTTTTTATATTGTTTTAAGACGTTGTGAAACTCTTCTCTGAGGGTAGTGTTTAGAGGATCTCTATGTTTTTGATTAGAAAGTTTCCGCAGTTCATGTCTTTTATAGCGGCATTCTTTGTCGAACCATTTTTTGTTCGAAGATATTTTGCAACGTCGCTTTTTTGCTGTTTTGATCTTCAAACAGCGTTTGGCGGTTGAAATAAGAATATTTTCTACAGCATGAAGGTTCATGTCAACATTTCTCGTGATTGTTGTAGTATTCATAAAATTGTGGATCATTCTTTGAATGTCTTCAGACTGTAATGTAGCTCTAAATTTTTGTGACGAATCGTTTTCCCAAAAAAACTGTTTTGGTAGAGGAGTCTAAGAATCATTTATAATTGCCTCGTTTGATGAATCATTATCTAAATGACGGTTAACCTTAAGCCATGTTATTATTGGACTATGATCTGATAAACTGTTCGGCTCTTTCACTACAAAAGATGTTATATTTCGTAGCAAATCTTGGTCACATACGGAGTAATCAATGACACTGATTCCCGATTTACCATGAAATGTAGGTCTGCCTAACGAGTCGCCATTAATTCTACCATTTAAAATTCTTAAATCCGCGCTTCTACAAATTTCCAAGAGTCGTTTTCCGTGATTATTCAAATCATTGTCAAAACAAACAAAGCTTGTCAAACCTTGTCAAAGCGAACAGGACACCTGGATCCGGACTTGTTTTGCTGTTGTTTTGGTAGAGAAAAATGATGTCGTATTTGGCTCTAACCGTGTGCTTGACAATAACTCGCAAAATGCAAATCTACTAGCAGTTCATAGATACTCAATGACAGGTGTTTTTTAAGATCGTCTCCAATTGGCTCACTGGTACCGTTGCCTCCTGGTACGAGGGAATATACTGATCACAAACACTCCAAAGGGAGAACAGGCTCTTAAGACCGCTTTTGGGCAAAATGTGGCACGTAGCTAAACGTTTCTTTCTTTTTTTTAATCCTCAGGCTCTGACTTTTTATGCAACTTAAATTACTGTTTTTACAATCGGGGTTCCCACAATAGGAGTCAGACTAAGGAGACGTGTGATAAAAAAACGGAAATACTGACGGCGAGGGGAGTACAAAAAGCACTCCAAGCACCAAGCTAAGCCCTGTACACTGTATGAATTATAGAGGAAGAACAAACTAAATAACGCTCGGAAGAACCGGTAAGTTAACATCGATCAGAATAGTTGTTTAATTGGCCAGTAAAAGAGATGAGAGCCATGATGTTTCTCTTAGATTCGTACTCTATAGTAAGGCGGCGGGCCTTTCACACATGAACAAGCAGGCCTACACGGCCGATAAAAAATGTGACGGTGGGTAGCATTGTTACATAAGCAACAACGACGGCGAAGGCAACGAGAACGGCAAAAAAGCAATTGGTTTAGATTGGCAAAACAATCTCCCCACGGATTCCGGAATCTTGGAAATTTTTCTTCGTGGAATCCGGAATCTTGGAAATTTTTCTTCTTGGAATCCGGAATCCTGGGCCTTAGAATCCGAAAAACAGCTGTAGGAATCCGGAATCCGATTAACAACTGGAATCCGGAATCCAAGTTTCACTGAAAAAGATCTGGAATCCAGTAATTAGAATCCGGAGTCCACGGCGTGGAAGCCTGAATCAAAGGCTGTCTTGGATTCCCTTACATGGGTGGGGGGCGAAAAACAACAACTTTGTACGTGCATCACGCTTTTTTGTACATTTCTTTGCCGTCGTTGCACGACTAAAACGTGAAAGAGCCTAATTTTACGTTTTGTCGAGGAAGTGAAAACAAGACAACGACTTTCTTTTTCTTTTCCTGAACTTTGATACAGTCTTTTAGAATTCAACTCTAGAAAAATTTGCCACCATTTGACGAAATAAACGAGATGGAACATGCCCGATAACGATTGACGTCCAAGATTGTAGGTAATAATAATAATAATAATAATAATAATAATAATAATAATAATAATAATAATAATAATAATAATGGCATTTATATAGCGCTTATACATAGCTGTTCTAAGCGCTTTACAATGTAAAAAAGGACATAAGAATATCATTAAGCACAAGCTTACATATAACCCTACTGTACACGTCTTAAAAAGAAAAAAGCAAAAACAAAAAAACAAAAACAAAAACAAATATGACGAAACTAAATGTCATATAGGTAAGTATGTTCTTATGCGACATCAATACTTTGGTTATCTGTAGTATATGAAATCTGTTATCAGCACCTTTTCTAACACGTTTTTGAAAGATCGTAATCTTGTTTTTTTATTTATTCATTTATTTATTTTTAACGTGCACGTGTTGAAGTCATGTATAAAAATAGTAGATATGACAGTATTGTAGACCTGTTTCATTTCGTTAAAATCTTCAGTTATTGAACAATCTACATATTAACTAAAAAAAAAAGGATGCTGAGTGACCTCCAAACTTCCCTGTTAAGTCCATAAATCAAATTCAATAAATCATACCTTATTTTAGGAAATTAACGCTCCATGAAATTAACGCGAATCGTTAAAATTCGCGTTAATTCAAGTCGTTAATTTCCGCTACGTTAATTAAGTGCAGCGTTAATTTCCGCGCTCTTAATTTGCAGTATTTTAACCCAGATTTAGGAACCTGTCCAGACATTAAACATTAACTACGAGCTTTCTTTCCATTTACCCCTTATATTTTTCATCATTCACAAAAGCTAAGGCGAAGGTTTACAATATTTCGAGTTCATCTTCATCGTTGTCGTTGTCAGAAGTGATGTAAGTTCAGTTTTGAATTTTTTTGCATCCAGTGTTGGAATAAATTTGTTCCAGTTGTCACCACCAACTGTGTCTTCATCGTGTTAATTTTCTCTATCATGAAATTCTACCTCCTCTTTTGCGTTAATTCTCTTTATTCGAAAGTCGTTTTCCATTTTATTCGCGTTAATTTAAGTCGCGTTAATTTCCAATACCTTAAATTTAATGGAGCGTTTATTTCCTATAATAATGTAAACCATTATTATTTTATAACAAAGCGACAAGACGAACCAAGAAAAGGATATTTCTGATTTATTGCAAAATTATCTTAAAAAGAGCACGTTCTTGAAGTCACGATCGACCGGAAGTTCCTTGAGCCAGTCGGCGTACACACTGCACATGTCATTAGAAATTAATTTGCATTGCATTTGCACGATTTAGTACAGATAATCACATGATTTCGAGTGCAATTTGGAATTAATAAGCACGAATAAATTTTTTCAAAGGCTAAAAAAATTGTGGTCTTTGAAAAAAATTTATTATTTCGGCGTAGAAATGCTCGAGCAAAGTGTTAAGTTCAGCCGGCTCATAATTTTCTATTTCATCAGTAACTTCCTTATCTACGCACCAATTCTTCCAAACAGAGACCCAAAAACCAGTGCTTTTCGCAGTGTTTCGTTTTTAGAGCAGTTTTTCAGCTCCTCTACAGTGCTGCAAACGCCAACCATTGCGGTTTTTGCTCGAAACTTGTCCGGAGCCGATCTAAATTTTGCGCCATTTAGATGGCGCATTTGTTTGGCTCCCAGTGAGTTCCTTTGTTTATCAGCCAAACAGAATGTCACGTTTGTTACTCTTTTCTGCATTAAATTACCTTTTTTCTGCACCGTGTTACCTAAAAACTGCATTTCTCTTAGCCAATCACAATCGAGAAATTCTTTCATGTATGTTATTAGTATGTGTAATCAAACGGTGGCGAGTGAAGTTAGGGAATAATTTCACGCGCGTTTTGTCCAAATCCTTAGGATTTGGACAAAACGCAAGTGAAATTATTCCCTAATTTCACGAGTATACCATTTGATTACCTATTAATATCATGGGTGACGAATTACCTTAGCAATCGAGGATTTTTGACTTGTTTATTCTGGATCGTATCGATCGATCGTGAACTCCACTCTCTCAAACGTTTAGAGCTGAAATTTGGCTTAAGTTTTCGGAATTTTTCGACAACATACCTCTAAGAATCCTTCTTGATGTGCTCTTTCGTGTGTTCAGGTTTTCTAAAGCGTCTTTTTATGCCCTGACAACTTCATTCATGACATTTTAAAACTTCGTCGCCATCTTGAAACGGAGACGTACGGCAGGTTGCCATGGCAATTTAGTAATTTCACATGTGAAATTACAAATTAACGCTGAAATTTCGCGCCAAAATTAAGCAGTAATTCGTCACCTATGATATTAAGACCGAAAGAGATGTACAACAGGGCTGTATTTTAGGCTCCCTTCTTTTAAATCTTTTCTTAAATGAGCTACCTTTCTCATTTGAAAATACTTCATCAGATCCTTTTATTTTTCCAAATTGCACAAAACTATATTCTCTTGATATTCCTGCCAGCACGAACCAATGTCAAGGATTGTTAGACATGCACACACAACTAAGACCAACTGAGCAAATTATAGATTGGAATAAAGTTTCAATATCCCTCATGGAGGGATGCTACCAGCATTTGAATTTTGGAAAAATTAGTGCTTTAATTCCCCATCCCTCGAACCTATAGGCTGTTACATTTTAAATGATCGAATGCCCCTATCCCGGAGAAATTAAAAAGAGAACATATTACTCTTTTAACTAACAAATAAATATGTTTTGAAACCGAGTGACAGACTGAAAACAGAGTAGAGCTTGCATAATTAGTCGATTAGCCATATGCCGCATAACAGCCCTTCAAAATTATGCTGTGATCGCTTTAATACAATCTGAATACAGTTGATGACTCCCGATAACTCGAACCTCCCGCTAAATCGAAGTAGTTTTTGTTTCCCTTCAGATCATTTCTATATAATTTTAGCCTCGATAACTCGAACCATGTTTTGAGCGCAAAAAGTCGGGAAAAAACAGTCTACTGGCGTCAGAAACATAGAATTTTGAATTTCCCATTGACGTGTTGTAGGCATATAGTTTGCTAGTGGAGGCTGATGTTGTTTGTCACAAGTCTAACGTGAAACAGCTTTACTTCTCAAAACAGTAAAACGCATGCTCTATTTAGGCTATGTTTTGTTACGTTACGTTCTGATTTATAATCTAGAAGTATCTTCTAATTTTCACTCGACATTTCTACAATGAAATGTGATTAAAATGTTCACTGTGCAGTAAAAACTGTTCTTTTCCTTACTTCCAGCTCCCGATAACTCGAACTTTTTTCGATTTTCCTTGAAGGTTCTAGTTATATCGGGAGTCGACTGTACGTATACCAAAGCATCTTTGCTAGTTTTAATGAATCACAAAGTTTTTTTTTTTGTATCAACCGCTCACAAAAGTGAAATAAACACATAAATGTTCAAGAAGCGAGCAAGTTTTAGTTTTTATATCCTCTAAAGAGTATTTAAAAACTCTGCAAAATGCGAAGAGTCGAGCGAGAATACTCACGCGCACGCGGTTCATTGCCGTCATGACGGGCGTTTCTGGTAGCTGGTCTTGCTTGCAGATAAAGTACAGTTATAACATTCATGAAAGCGATATAGGTATGTATTTTAAATATAACATCTGTACGAACCACACTTTGCAACAGTCGCCAGAAGTAGCTTACTCAGTTTTATAATTTCCAGCCGCCCTTCTAAAACGTCTAAGAAAAATTATCAGCAGCATAAACAAACGACCACCTTATACGGCAAGGACGTAAAATGTTGATTTACAAACTGATACAATATGTGTTTACTTTCCCAAAAATTACATGAAACCCTCATATTTCCTTCAAGTAAACAAAAGTCATGGTTAACTTACCTTTATATTAAAGTAGTTCAGGCTGATTTCTTTCCAGCCCAAGTGCGTAGTGCTAGGAAGGTGCATGTATATTAACTGGTTTCTTTCTGACCTTTCTTTAACTCACTTGTACTTAACAATTATTGCTTAGAAGCATCACACAATATTCTTCTTAATTTTAGTAAATGTTTAATAGACAAGAATGATTAGATCTGTACTCTTTGGCTACACAGTAAATTGTGCCATTACCTTATTAAAGAAATATGTCTACCTATTACGTACAAAAACTGGAACGAAATGCGATCTAACGAAAACAAGACTTGGGTTTTATATTTTGAATTTACACTGCACTTTAGGCGAAGTAAACAAGCTTTCACTTTGTAAACCTTAAGGCTTAACTCGTGTGTCATTAAGATTTGCAAATGACTCGCAAAGAAGAATCGATATACATTGAAACGACTGAAACCGACACATTTTTCACCCCAAAACTTACTTGTATCGTCAAAATTCAGTGATGGTGTACTTCTTTTGTTTTCTTTTCAAGTTCCACTCATATTGTACTCGAATTGTGAAGATTAAGGCAATATTCCAAGCGTATAAATATCTTGAAGACACTCCCAGCAAAGCTCAACGAACGTTCCTTCGAATCTGTATCGCCCGCCAAAACCATATATGGAAGTTAGGTATTCTGTAAATGATTCATACATGACCGTATTAGGAAATCCACAAGATCCCGTATATGTTCCGACGGTACTGGAAATCAGCGGTAATTCAACACCTTCATATACATTTCTTTCCTCGCACGTAAAGATGTCCGACGATGAGCGATGGTTTTGCTTCGGGTTCTCGTTCTATTTCTTAAGGTCCTCGTAAAAAAGGAGGTAAAACGACGCGTGCCTTAATTACATCCAGTATCTTTTACTGCCAAACGCAAAAATTCCACCAAAGACGTTAACGAAATGACCAGAATTGAAACTGTGCGACTTTGCCATTTCGCCCAGGGACCGGCGGATGATCTTCTTACGAAGGAAGTCGACTGAACAGTTAAACTAGAAACCTGTTATATACTTCACTCTGAAGAAATCTTTACATGATCTCAACTGTGTCCTTAATAGAAGGAAACTGATTTGATCTGAATAGTATTTTGCGGCTACGGAAAAAGCGAAATAACATAAATCCCGACTGAGTGCGAATATCATCCCAGTTTTATTGCTGTCATTTGAGTCTCACACAATAGTTTTCCAGCTTTTCAACTTTCACCTAAAAAAGTTTAAGTAGTTGATAATAAAAAAGTTCTACTTTCGCAATCAGACGTGCCAACATTCAACCTGACAATGGCTAGTTGTTGGAGAGGACAATTGGGCAGGCTCGGATCCACACCGGTTTCCGCTGTTTACAGAAATCGGTCGGATTTTTCATCATAAATATATCAGTTTAGTAATAAAAATGCTTTCCAAGTTGAAATCTGGAAAATGTTGGACTCGCCTTGCCTCTTATCCACTACAACATGGAAACTGATCTGACCTTGATGAATGCCGATTCGCAAGGCTTCATCTGAGGAGAATGGAACTGGCCAATATCCAGAACCCCAGGAAAGGGGACTTTTAGGGCCGGAGTTACTGAAAATCCACAAAATTTCCAGGAGAGCAAGAATTTCCGCAGTATTACTTTCCCCGACAATTTTAGAAGCATTTTACGGCTTTAAGAAGGTTTGGTTTTTTCATTGCTCTTCCCTACACAGTTTCCAATCAGAAAAATATAGATTAACTTGGGATAGATAGTGTGAAAAATTCAACGTCCTTTTCAGCTTAACTCAAGCCCAGAGGGGGTGCTCCGGATTTCAAGTGACAGGGATGATCGAATGGGGCAAAAATCAAAACCCCCAAAAATCCCTGGACCAAAATTTATCCTCCAAAAAATTCCCATGCCGAATTTCCGAGCCATAATAAAAATTTCCAGAATGCATAAAATGATATAACACGAAAAATAGAAACATTAGTTTTGAATACCCAAAAAAATTCCCACTTAAATCAAGCTACCAAAAAAAATACTTCCGTTATACTTATATAATACTTCCCAAAATTTTCCTACCCCAAAAAATCCCAAAAACGAAACTTGCAAACCCCAAAAAATCCTTCGATCATCCATATCCCTGTCACTTGAAATCCGGAGCAATCCCCCCCCCCTCCCCCCGCCCCCGGGAACTCAAACTACAAAAAGGTCTAAAATCTACTAGTTACTGTGAACTGGAAGAATAAAGATGGTCGACAAACGTGATTTTTATACTGTAAACGTGTGGAAAATACAAATTAGCCGGAGGGCACTTGTACCAAGTGCTTACTACTGCTGGAAAATCCTCCTGTCTGTTTATTAAATTAAATATCATAAATTACGGCTAAACGGGTAGTCGTGGCAATTTCATACGCTTTTTAAAATAAGCTCCTAGACTGACTTATATATCCTGAATATGGATCGTATGCGACTTAAAGATAACCACGGCGTGTCGCTTGATTCAGCTCCCGCCATTGACTTTACAGAGTATTCTCAGTTGGAAAATTTTAGATTTGGCGCCAATGTTTTTTTATTATGAACTTCTCAAGGTTTCTTAGGTGAAAGTCGAAAAGCTGGAAAACTACTGTTTGAGACTCAAATGACAGTAATAAAACTCGGATGGGATTCGCACTGACCCAGGATTTATTCTATTTCGCTTTTTTCGTAGCCGCAGCCGAGTCCCGTTTAGGTTTCGGTCGATGTTAGATAGGATTTCGTGACGTGTTGACACTAAATAACATCGACCGAAACCAGCCTTCCTCGGGAAGACCATAAGCCGCGTCGTTCAATGCAATACAGCTGAGTCTATTATAAATTTAATATTTTTTTTAGTGATATAAACTGGAAACGACAATATTGACCGTTTTATAACTCAAGCTAACTCAAATATAACATCCTCGCTGCGATCGATCAAGTGAGGGGAAGTCGACGGGATCATTTCAGTCATTTCGTAACTGACGCCGCCGACATCTCGATGACTCATCTGGTTTATGTAGCCTCCCGCACAGACGTTCTTAGGGTTACTCACGGTGGTGCCTAAATCATACCGTCCAAAAGGACAGCCGAGGAGTACTAGGAACGAGTTTCCGATTCGGGTCGACTTCGGAAATTCTCGAAAACATCCAATATGGCGGCTCAAGCGCGGTGAAAACTGACAGCCAAAGGAGCCGTTTTATCGCCAGAGAAACGTGATTTACGGATTGTTGACCAAGTTTGCGTTTATTGTGAGTTTTGAACTGTTCTTGGACCAGTATAGTAAGCAATCCTTTTATAAATGTCATATCAATTTGTCTTGTCCCGCTGGCCGGTATTACCGAAAAAAAATAGTACCGTCTAATTGTTGGCATGTACATCACCTCTAGCTTTCATTGTTAAACTGTGTTGTAGGACTGGATTTCTCCAGGTTTCTACAAGCTTAGGATAACTCTATGGGAACCTTTTTGTTCATAAAAGTGGCCTTGTCCGTTTGGCCGGTATTACCGAAAAAAATAGTGTCGTCCAACGGGACATCCTGAGTTTTAGCAACATTTGTAGCTATTTGTTAGGAGGTATATCATATCTGGGTTTTTTTATTGTTAAACTGTGTTGTAAAACTTGATTTCTGTAGGTTTCTACAAGCTTAGGATAACTGTATAGGAATATTTTTATTCATAAAAGTGGCCCTGTCCTTTTGGCCGGTATTACCGGAGAAAATGGTGCCGTCCAGCGGGACATCCTGGGTTTTAGCAACATTTGTTAGGAGGCATATCATATCTGGGTTTTTTACTGCTAAACGGTCATTCTTTAGGTTTCCAAAAAGCCAGGGTAACTAAACAGGAGTGTTTTTTTTTTTCGTAAAAAATGCCTTGTCCTTTTGGCCTGTATTATGTGAGGAAATAGTACCGCCTAGCAGGACATCCTAAACTATGTCAGCAGTTGCTTGCATGTCAGTACTACATGACATGCAGCTTGTTATTGTTACATTGTAATACATACCTTGCCCTCTAAAGGCTTTTTCCTACCAGCTGGGGACAGCTGAACAAAGATAGTTTAATTCATTCCTTGTTGTTGTAATCACCTAAGAATGGTACACTGTAGGTTTTGCTATTTCATCACCTTTGCAATGAAGATTATTGAATGGAAAGTCATTCATTATGCAATTCCATCAAAATAAAAATGAACTTTTAAGTACTATCCATCAAAACAATTTTCATACATGTACATCACTACTGTTACTGATTAGTTTGCAGAGCACCTCAGCAGGGGGATAATGCCCAACTATAAACAGGTATTAAAACAGTTAAAAGTTGAGACACTGTTGATGAAAAGAAGTTAGTTTCACTGTATTCTACCCACTTTGAAATACAAGTCTCATTTTTACTCTAAGACGTTGGATATTAACTAATACTCTTCTGTCTCTACTCTTTTATCTTTTCAGGATTTTCAAAACATGATCAAGCAACAGCTGTTGCAAACGTTTTTGTAATAAACTTAAAGTACCAGGGGCAGATCCAGGATTTTTGAATGGTGGGTTGATGATACCAATCGGCCATCAAACTATACGTTATTAATTTTAAGTTGTTGCACTTTTGTCCCAAAGCATGCCGATTTAGGAAGGACGATGGTTGGTTGGCTTCACGAGGTTTTTGCTTCCCACGTACTTCCATTTGTTTCCCCAAGTATTTACTTTTTGGTAGACTGTTCCAAAAATGGGTGGCTAGCCACTCAATCCACCCCTCCTGGATTCAAACACTGACACATGTACTACCAATTATTGTTGATGAGTGGAGAAAATAAAGCTTGAAAGCAACTCCAAACTCATCGTGCTCCTTAATAAATAAGTAACACAAGGAATCTAACGAGGAAATTATTTTATCTCCGGTAATTTTTGTTTTCCATTTGTTTCAACGTCATTAGCATTCATTACCATACCCCAAAACAAAAGAAAAACAAAAATTACTGAGATAAAAAACTAACTTTCAAAACACTTTCAAATGAGATTAACCATGAAAAATTAAACACAAGCTTGCTGAGCTAATTTAGGACGTCCTGCTTGGTGGTACTATTTTTTTAGCTTATACCATTCAAAAGGGCCAGACAATTTTCAAGAATAAAAAACACTCCTGTTTGGTTATCCTTGGATTTCAACACACATGTCCAATATACACAAACGGGTACGATTCGTCAAACTGATGGTCCATTGCTACCAATGGTACGATTGGTACCAATAGAAAATGATGTCATTCCAATGGTTCCATTAGTGAATAAAGCGAGGTCGAAATACAAACATGCTATGTGTATTCTCCGTTCTATAAGCCATCTATGCAAAATAAGTTCGCTTTTACACCAAGAAAAAACGCGCTAATAGTTATATATTATGAATATTCTTCATTCTATAAGCTAACCACGCAAAACAATTTCGCTCTCACAGAAAGTAGAAACGCGCTAATAGTTATTATGAATTTTCCTCGTCCTATAAGACATCTAAGGGAAACAATTTCGCTCTCACACAAGGTAGAACCGCGCTAATAGTTATTATGAATATTCCTCGTTCTTTAAGCTAACCACACAAAACATTTTCGCTCTCACACAAAGTAGAAACGCGCTAATAGTTATTATGAATATTCCTCGTTCTATAAGCTAACCACGCAAAACAATTTCGCTCTCACACAAATTAGAAACGCGCTAATAGTTATTATGAATATTCCTCGTTCTTTAAGCTAACCACACAAAACATTTTCGCTTTCACGCAAAGTAGAAACGCGCTAATAGTCATTATGAGTATTCCTCGTTCTTTAAGCTAACCGCACAAAACATTCTCGCTCTCACACAAAGTAGAAACGCGCTAATAGTTATTATGAATATTCCTCGTTCTATAAGCTAACCACACAAAACATTTTCCCTCTCACACAAAGTAGAAACGCGCTAATAGTTATTCTGAATGTTCCTCGTGCTATATGCCAACCACGCAAAACAATTTCGCTCTCACACAAAGTAAAACTTCGCTAATAGTTACGACGTGAGGTCAAACTAGCGCTAACAGTAATTGCTAATAGTTATAATATAGCGAGGTCGAAATACAAGCGGCATGTCATGTAGTACTGACATGCAAGCAACTGCTGACATAGTTTAGGATGTCCTGCTAGGCGGTACTATTTCCTCACAGGCCAAAAGGACAAGGCATTTTTTACGAAAAAAAAAAAACACTCCTGTTTAGTTACCCTGGCTTTTTGGAAACCTAAAGAATGACCGTTTAGCAATAAAAAACCCAGATATGATATGCCTCCTAACAAATGTTGCTAAAACTCAGGATGTCCCGCTGGACGGCACCATTTTCTCCGGTAATACCGGCCAAAAGGACAGGGCCACTTTTATGAATAAAAATATTCCTATACAGTTATCCTAAGCTTTCTCGATCTAATCTCCAAGCAAGCGAGACGGAAGGCCCCTGTAAGCGCGTTCTTATCTTTTATCAAATCATGTCATGACGTTAAGGTCTCAAAATGAAGACCCCGAGGGGGTGTCTCCTTTTTTGTCTAGGATTACTCTGGCGCATCGTTTCTGTGAATTGATTACGTCTTGGATGTGCGGCTTCGGTTTGCTTCATGTCTCGTACACAATAACCCCCGTAGTCAAGTATTAGCTGGATAAGTGAGTTGTAAAACAAACTTCTCAGCTTTCAGTCACAGAAATGTATCTGTTCTTTTCAAAAGGCGAAGTCGCTTTCCTATATTCGATACCGTTGTTTAAAAACAGTTGTCTATCTTTATGCCAGGTAGTTTAGTATAGGCTACAGAATCAAGCTGAACCTAAAATGTCCTCACAATAAGATTTCTACCGTTCAAGCAGTTAGCCCCAACTTATGCTGTAGACAATCGCTTGCAGGGACGAGAAACTGAAAAGGAAGCAGCGTACTTACCACGGAAACTGCGAGGTACTTTTCTCTATGACTCAACCAGCAGTCAAGAGACGCTTAGCTTGCTTTTTCCTTCGTCGTCGAATCGCCCTCTAGTCTTTAAAGCGCATGCCTGTACTGGCGGATTATCACGTGGTCGATTTCCGACAAATTCATTGGCTTAGAGGCAAAATCACCTTGAGATGTTGTCGAGAACAAAAGGCAGCTTTTTTTGTCGGTCCGTAGCGTTAACGTTGTGGTTTTGTTCCCCCATTGAGAGATGGACAATTATTTTGGTCGAAATGTTTAGTGATATGTGTTGTCTAGAGGATAATGTATCCCGGAACTGTCAGACAAACACAGTAGCTCGATCCGTTTAATCGAGATCAGCGTTGCGATCGGCGCTCGTTGCGAGAAGAAGACATGCTAAAAAGGTGGGTAATGACTAATGTTCATTTCTTATGTTTAGTGCAAGTCACGAGAATTTACATAGAGGTTGAAGAAACACTATTGAGCTTTGTTTTGGCGAGTAAGCGTGTACCGAGGTCCAAGGAAGAAGCAGTTTTATATAAACGTATGGACCGTTTTTGTGCCAAATTGTACAACTTGACTGTTCGATCTGTACAAACACACAAGTCAATGTAAACACCTTAGAAATTTTATGCTTCATAGCTTTTATCGCAAAACAGTAAGACACGTTAGAAAATTTAAAAGCAGAGAAATTGCTTCGATTTTAGTAATATAGCATAGTTTGCACCTAGTTGCAGGAAAGTGACAGTAAATTACCGTTTCGGTGCATTAATTTTCATTCATCAAAACAAGCAAATCTGTCTGTTCATCGCAGAAGTTTGTGCTCGGTCCAAGTCTCGTGCTTCCCGACGGTATAAAAACGGAAACTTACTATATCGGTGGAAAGAAATATTCTTTGACTTTTTTTGGCATATATGGATTAACTTCTATCGAGCTCGCACGGAAGCGGCAGGTTTGTAAAGCACGTAGAGTTGTTTGATGCTAAAATTCGACATGATTTTAACATCTCATGTTAAATTAACTCAAAGATTACATGTAAGCTTATAGCTTTTTAAAAAATGGACGATTGGTTACTATCGAATTTCGATCTTGCAAAACTCCATTTTAATCGATCCAATATTATTAGAAATTTTAAAGCTATCTATGCTAGAAATCTTTCTCTCTGCTGTGTTCAGCTATTGTACATTCCAACTTGCAATTAAAAGGATCGACAAATCGATTATAATATTCTGTATTTTAAGTTGGTTTTGGGGTTATCCTCAACGAGGCACACAAGGGTATAGGTTTGGGTTTTCTGTGGTTACTTCTTTGCTTGTTGTTGAATCAATAACAAGGCAATGAAATATTGACATATGAATTTCCTTCATTTATTTACTTTTTTTGTCAGAGAAGATGAACTTGATGCCAAATCAAACGATAACTGCAGCAACACTTTTCGAAGTTTTCTGAAGGTGAATTAACTAAAAGGAGATGCCGGTAGTTGGTCTTTTAAGTAGTACCTGTATCAGAGTGACAATAATATGAATAAAGATCTTACTCATGGAAAGATCTGGGTTTTTTGCTCCTTTGTAGTAATTTAGCATGTACAATAAACACTTCAGCAACCAGAACAACTTTAAAATCCTGGCATAGTTATTCCAACCATTATGTTCTCTTCCTTTTCATATAGGGTGCTATTTCAAAGATTTTTCCCTCCAAAAATTAGTTTACTACCTAAGATTGTGACTGAAGCTTATGCTAATTTGAAGAAAAAGAAAACTAGCTGCAACACTACTTTGAAGCATTATGCCGTCATGGTCAAGTACACCCCTTTGGACCGTTCGAGTCTAATTTCCAGTCTGATTTGCTAGCCGGTAGCATTTTTTTTTCCATTTATTCATCATCAATTCATCATCAAAGTTCATATGGGTTGTGCTGCATTACTGCATAGTGCACATTTTCCTCCGGTGCTCTATCATTTTATGAACTAAAAGAAGGCCGGGTTCACGCACTCGTGCGCCTTGTTAGCTCTAATCAATGGTCAATTTTCTGTACGAGTTATAGAACCGTGAAATCTCGACATTTTGACACTTTTCCAATCGTGAGGTAATGAACCGTACACCTACCAGATCATTCTTTCTGTTGACATTTGCTCGAAAAAACGATCTGTGATCCTAGCGCACTTGTAAAATGGATTAAAGATAAGAAGACAGTCTTTGCCAAATCACTGATATCGTATCAGAGGATTATAGTTTTTGCTTGATATTAGTCAAAAGTAAATCAACTGCGGTAAACTGAAGATACAGTCCAGTTCAGAACATCAGATTAAATTTTTAAAGCTATTCCCGGCGTTGTTTAGCATTGGTCACCCAGTGAAGGCCCTTACATAATGGAGACCGCAAGAAAAGGATGGGCGGTTTTGAGTATTTTTAGAGTCGGGGGTATTTATTTTTATTGCCTATTAAAAGCCATCTGTTCATGATTGTAAAAAAGGCCATCGTTTATGATTTTTCCAAAAAACTGTTATCATTAAATAGTTTGGAAATGAATAAACTGACGATGAATGGCGAGATTTAGAATTTTAGACCAGACGTCACATTCCCATGTTCAGTTTAGAAAAAGACACGTCATTCATGTTCACTGAACCGGGAATGGACCCGAATGACGCAGGTGTTTTGTAGGAATAAACTTCCTTCGTGGAAACAATCATATCGCTGGCCGAAAAGTCCCAAGAACATATTTACTGAACGACTTGCCATTTCATTGACTTATTCTAGTTTTGGCCTTAAACTAGGGGTTTTTCCTACTTATAATTCCGAATAGATTGCATTGGCATCTCTGCGGTAGCAGTCACATGAGTTTGACTTTGGGAGCCAGTTGCATAAATCTCAACGTGAGACACACCAGCTAATCCCTGTTTCAAACAGCACAAATTATTAGCTAGAAATGCTCTACTTTTTTCACCACCCTTATATAATTCTATCTCGTTCCAAATGCGCATACTTTTTCAGTTTTCAAAGAAATTTCTATTTATTTTTGCCATCTGTCGAAAAACGACTCATCTTTTCCACAACCTTAACCCGAGCCTTTAATACGCCGATAAAATGCAGACGAAAGCGGGTTTAAAGCGATCAAAGAAGGACTAAATTCCCTCCAAATACAAGGAAATATAGAGGGAAGCGGCCAGAGAAGTCAGAGGAAGGGTTTCGTCGTGCGGAGAAGATCTGGAAAAGGTACCTACTGAATTGGAGAAAATTGAAATGAGGGGTTCGTTCGAGAAGCAATATCGTATGATTTCCTGACGGTGGCGGATGACCGTCGAGTCAGAAACTCGGGCATTCATGTAGTTGTTGATTATGTAAGCTTAAATGATTTTTATTGAGGGTCGCTGACTGGATTCAGCTGTACGGTGATGCTCTTCAGTCCTTCTCAATTTTCTAAACATCAGCCGAACCGAGGTAAGTCTATTTTAGGTTTCTTTGTATCATCATCAAATGGATACGTATCGGTCGATCGCTCGATCATTTTATAAATTCTCAATAAGTGCTAATTGTGTGAAAGTGTAATGTTCATGGAGAATGTTGATGGAGATCACTATTTCTTATGCCTGATCGCACTGAAATAGTTCAGTTCAGTCACAGTTCATGATCAGTTTTTAAGTGTAGATCGTAGTGGATATTTTAACACTGTCTGATTAAATCTGTGAAGTTAATTGTTCTAAGAGTATGAGGAGTGTAACTGCATGAATCAGAGATTTTCAGTAAACAAGGCAATTGCACTTTTGAGCTTTGGTCAAACTCAGGTGGTTGAGAGTTTTAGGTTTAATGTTTAGACTATCTTGTTTGTGTTTTTGCGGTGACTCGAATCTCAGTTTGAAATGTCTGTATTTGTTTGTTTTTTTATTTTAAGTTTAATGATGAGAATTTGTGCTTTAATTGAAATTGAGTTTTTTTTTTCTTATGCGATGATTTAAAGGTACTTGAAGTTATTCATAAACCCTTAATTATGTTTTCGTGTAGCCTTCAAAATCAACAGCAACAGTTAACCCAGACGGCAAAACAGTAAAGTTTCAAGTAAATCCTGGAGTAAGCCACGCGGAGCTTGGTAACCAGACCTTCACATACACAGTGGGCCTGATGCCTAGCCCAGGAGGACAACCGCTGACTGCCAACTACACGGCAAACGTGGAGTTCACAAGCAGCGCTCTGAGCGGATGTCAGGACGGAAGAGTGATCGGATCGGTACCAACTGTAACAGATGACAGGTAAGCTTCCGAGTAACATCCAAGCCATAAACTAGTAAATACACTCCCGTAACCTCCTGCCATAACCCACCCCTTAGCTACCAAAGAAAGGAATAGCACTCATGACTTCAAAATTTGCCGATCGTTGAAAGATATTCTCGGCCGTTTACGAAAATGGTTGCTTAGCAAAATCTGTAAATGCGGAGTTTCTGTGATGGCACAACTCCTTTCAAGTAGATTTTCACTTATACACCTGTATTCAACGCTTGTTAAAACTGCATGCGCTTAGAAACCTGTTCATGCAATTTTAAGTTTTCGATTAAAACTAGTGAGTCCATTTTTTCTTTTGGGCCTTTCCTTAGTCTTGTTTGCTCTTCATGGCTATGCCTTTTTTATCATAACGATCACTTTCAATTGTTGGTTGTTTCAGCACGCAAAAAAGCTGGGTAAAACAATTGTCCGGAATTTATATTTCCTGCATTATAGGCGTTTAGAGGGTACTTAAGCAAAACAGTGACCTCTATTTGTCAACCACATATCAGGTATTCTATTTAAAAACACCCTGTGGTGTGTAATATGGAAAGACTGGTGTCGTGAATTGGTCAATATCTCTCACTACCATCACCAGAGTTCTCAGTTCTCTCTTCTGTCAAATGATCCTCCACGTCACATCCTAATAGCGTAATATCAATTCTCGACACTGGTACCTTGTATCTAGGAGAGGTTACATCGGTAGCTCCGCTTTTTTACCCCCTCTTTCATCAGTGATCCATTTTACTGGTATTTAAGGCTACTTAATGCTATATGGATAGAAAAACTGAGTCGAATGACAGGATTTGAGGTAAAGCCTGAAAAACCAATTCAGTACCTCTCGTACAGAAGACCCCGCACTGACTAACCAACTGTGCCAATTCTTTCCACTGTCAAAATGAACCTATTGATGGATTGCCGCATCCTGCCTGACTGATCCTGAATGATGGTCTGTTTCACTGGCTTACTTAGTCACAAGCGATTAATTACGCCTCAATATATACCTGCCCAAAATTTGGACTGAAGTCACTAAGTCTGCGCGCACTAATCTTTGATTCAACCTGCAAAATAGGAAGTTAGTTATCCGAATCGCAATGAGAAGCCGCAAATACTTTTTAACGACAATTTAACCTTCACTTTAAGGTAATGAGAAAAGGATAGAAATTGCAGTCCCCGAACGTTGGCCAGTTATTTCTTTGTCAGCTCAATAAGATAAAACGCAACCGTTTTATGCTTAACCTCCTAAGCACAATTTTCTATACAATATTCATTCGAAAAAACGCCGTGGCATTTATTAATTTTTTAGCGTTTCCGATGTGGCGTTTATATGTACAAGTGTGGCGTTCATATCAAAATCACATTTGACAAAAATAACTACGATAAACCTGATTTGTAAAACAGAAAGATTTCCAGTGTCTTGCTTTTGTTTTTTCCTGAAATGGACTCGTCATTGTCTGGATGGTGTAGATTACCAAGTTGTATCGAATTTTTTCTCAAATTCCTTGAAAAATCCCGTATTTTTCTGATTGGATGCCATGTTTTTAAGACGAGGGCATCGTTTATTGGTAATATTGCTTCTATCTGCCGCGTTTAATCAAGGGCAGCGTTTAATCGAGTTAATGCAGGAGAGAATTTATTAGCAAACCTTACTTATCTGTTTGGAATAAACAGACTGAAAACGCTTAAAAAACAAAACGCTGATGCTGGTAGTCCAGATCTGTTACTTGAGGCGTACCTGCTGAAATAGTTCATTGCCGATTTTTCTTGGTGATGGCCTGTTAGCGCCTGCTGCCATAACTATACCGTCAGCGTACATTGGAGGAGCATCACGAATCAGATCCTCTTGGGCAGCACCCCATCTCACGTGAACTTTATTGTACATTTTTTGGTCTGATAACGGTCTGACTTTCACCCTCTACTCCCTGTAGTGAAAATGTAACCTTTTTTTTGCGAATTCTGACTTGAATGCGTAAATGAGTAAACGATTAAGATCTCCATTGCGAAGAGAGAACATTGCCACCTGCTTATTCTTTCACCCAGGCTACTGACGAGCAAATATTTCAGGCTGCGCGTCGCCTGGTAGCGGCTGAGATCCAGGCCATGACATTCCGCGAATACTTGCCTTCGCTGTTGGGGGGCACCACACACATCCCTCCTTATCAGGGGAACAACGACACCATAAACGTGGGTATGAGCAATATGATGTCAACGGCAGCCTTCAGGTAACAAACGCATTCTTATTGTTTATATTTTGTTTGAATATAGAGTTGAAATAGGCCCTCTGTAATTATAGAGTGCGCTTTGCTAGGGCTTCATTTCCTGTATCTCACCCCGCTGACCTAGACCACTGACGGCAAAAAAAGAAAAAAAGCATATAGAATTGCACTAACCTGCGCACTGAGAAAACGAAGGCGTTATGTCTAAAGGAACAGTGGTGCTTTATCGGCCGGCAGGGAGGTGAAAAATGAAAATCGCCTTTTTGACCTCTTAAAAAAAGTAATATCAAAAGTAAAATTCTCATTTGTTTTCCCTATACATTTTCTTTCAACACAAATAGTGGGAGAATTTGCTGAAATATCAATTAGATTCATTCATTCTGTGATCATGTGCTCAATTCTAATGACCACTCTGTTTTATAAAGCATTCATGATATTGCGGATCACTCTTATTAGGGCTGAAAGGGTTAAACTGAGATTATGGCAAACCCAACAGCTGACACAGCTTGGATCACAGCGGTTTAAATGTATTGCTATTTTTACCTGTAGATTTGGCCACAGTCAGGTCAACACTCACTTGTGGAGGTATGAAGAGGATGGCACGATGTCTCCGTATGGACACGTTTCTCTGAGAGACGTTTTCTTTTCTCCTGAAAGAGTTAAGAGGGAGGGAGGACTGGACCCTCTGTTTAGAGGAGCAGTCAGGCAAGCAGCTCAAGAGGTCGATTTAAAGGTTTGTAGTGTGACAGACATGGAATTACTGTGTTCACCAGCAGGAACACATCAGACCAGTTTTTCCAGTTAGTTATTACCTTACAATCACAAATCTTGGTAAAAAGTAAAACCTGGGGCCCCGGTTGTTCAAAAGAAGGATAGTGTTATCCGCCGGATAAATCGCTATCCAGTGAGCCAGTATTAGGAAAGCCAATAGCATTATCCGATAGATAATGATTTATCCCGTGGATAGCACTATTCACCTTTTGAACAACTGGGGCCAGGAGTTCAGTTGTAAACTTCTCTCATTTTTCTCACTAACTAGGACAATTAGACTCTTGTTTTGAAGAACGGATTTTCCAATTAATTTTGTCACCAATGGCACATCATCATCATCGTAGTTGTCGTTGTCGTCGTTACCATCACCACCGCCTCTTCCACCACCATTACCACCACTACCACCATCATAATCATCATTATAATTATCATCATCATTATCATCATCATCATCTTAGTTATGCTACATATCGATCGATTCAGTGTCATTGTCAAGGAAACCGTTACTGTCACTATTTAAGTTAGCGTCATTGGCAACGTAATTAAGTCCTGAAAAAGTACCAGAACCAGCTCACACCCGAAAATTTTAAAAGACCTTGCTGAAAGGCGGAGAACAAGTGCTGGCCCCGTTTTGAGTCACTAATCACAGTCCGCTGAAACTATTACCACTGCCAACCAACTACCTTATATATGTTACACTGAGTTCTTCCGATGGAATCTTGAGCCATTGTACTTTGCCAATTAGTTGACAAGGACTATAGCCCATATTATCAATCATTATTTCTAATCATAAGATAAAGATAATTCTAAAGTTTTGATTGTTTTACAGATGGTTGACGACATGAGAAATGTCTTGTTTCCTTCTGGTCGTGGCCTTGGTTCAGATTTGGCGTCGAAGAATATCCAGCGTGAAAGAGATCATGGTTTACCGGACTACAACACAGTGACAAAAGCTCTAGGTTTAAAAGGTAGGAATTAAACTGACTCTAGGCTACTGTTCTAGACAGTCTGTGTCAGTAAGTCTGTCGGTAAGTCTGTCGAGCGGACGGTCGGTAACAGGTTGGTCCACGATTCATTAACCTGGTGACTGAAAATAAAAAACCAGTAGCCCATCACTAGGGTCATAGACTGCTGAAATGACTGACTCCTTATCTTCGATTCTGTTTGTCTCCTTGAGGGTTAACCAGTTTTTCAGAGATCACCAAAGACTCCGAGGTTGCATCGAAGATGAAAGACCTTTACCAGGACATAAACAATGTTGACCTGTGGGTAGGAGGATTGGCTGAAGACCACGAAGATGGCAGTGACTTGGGGCCAACGTTTAGAACGTTAGTGCAAAACAATTCTTTTTATCTCTCCCCTTTATGGTTTCTGATTTTTTGCGTACATATGGTCTTCACAATTGAGTCTAGGGGGCTAAAAACGCATTGATTTATTGCGATTTCGGCTGAAATTGAGTTTTAAAATCGACGTAAATAGCATACATTCGTTGTAATCCTGTCCAATCACCCCCTCCCCCCTCCCACAGCTAATATGGCGTCAGAAGCCAAAGATGGCTATTGGATAACCTTAAAATATTGTATTTCTCTTGCTAATGCGATGAGCATATGGCTGTCAACACTGAAGGGGAGTAATGTCTCTTCCAGAATCAGGATGCTTAATTTCCTGCGAATTAGAGACGGCGACAGGTTCTGGTATGAACGCTATCTGTCAAAAGAGGTAATTGGAATAATTATGTTTTACCATTACCGCTATAGACGCGATTAAAATATAGCCATAGTATGAGGAGAAGTCACCCGTAATCCTTAAACAGTAACGACATAGCCTAGTGCCAAAATTCAGAGAATCAAGAGCAAGCCTGGGAAGGAGTTTTCTAATTGCATAAGGCACGTAGGGAAGAACGAAAAGCAGACAAAGGACGTAACCTCTACCGTGGGTGTCCTTGGGTTAACTCATAACTTTTCCATGTCCGATTAAGGCGATGTTACATTGGACGAATCGCAACCACGTTTTTCAGCACACCATAGCCTGCGTAGCAAGCGTTTCCTCGCGAGGTTCGTCTAGAAAGCTGGGACAAGAGCAAAAACAAAACAATGAATTTCCGCTCTAACTTGCGAGCAAAAACTCGATTGGAAACGCTTGCTACGCAGGCTAAGCACACCAGGGCATTGCAAAATAGTTTCGAATTTTCAAAACTTTAAATTGTTGCCCTTAAGATCGTCGTTGCAGATCGTTTCGTCTAATATCACCTTTAAGCAAATAGGCACTTGGCTACGAGGCAGGTAACAATATAAATTACCTCGACCAATCAAAACAGAGTAAAAAAATACAAAAACCAATTACGCGTAGCTGAGCGAAGGGGAACTGGTCCAAGCCTCAAGTCAGAAGAACTAGCCAAAACAATGAACAACGAAAGTCTGAAAACCTATACTTGAAAAAATTATTTCGTTGTAGACAGCAAACTCGCTTCTTAATTGGTCAAAGTTAAAAATTTGCCAGTCAGTGCAACTGCAATCACTTTATTCTCTCTAGGCAAGATCGCAAGATTTTTAGAGAAGTTTCAAACTTTACAGGGTCTAGCAACCATCTAAGTAAAGAAACAAGCGTTTTAAAAACTCTTTTATTAACCGTTTGGTTTTTAATACCAATTAGCTTTGTAATAACGATATCTATTGTGTAAAAGGTTTGAACCCAGGAGTCATTTCAAAAGTAGGTTAAGTTGGATCGTCCGGGTGAACGTAGCCCTGAATTGGACTTTTGTTGTTGACAGTGACTGACGTTTCGACAACCTGTGCGGTAGTCATCTTCAGAATCGAAGTGAGTTATATACCAGAGTATAATACCATCAACTGACGTGATACAACTCACTTTGACTCTGAAGATGACTACTGCACAGGTTGTGGAAACGTCAGTCACTGTCAACAACAACAGTCCTATTCAGGACTACGTTCACCCGGACGATCAAACTCAACCTACTTTTGATATCTATTGTGGAATCGAAGTGGAACCCCACTCGACTTTAAATTCTTACTTCAGTTTTGCTTTAACTAGATGTAAATTTCTTAATATAATCTACTTACAAAAGACATTTTTTCATCTATTAAAGAAGAATGAAGACTCTTTTATTCCTTATTATTAGAGAAGCGTGACGTCACGTTACCATGTTAGCAAAATTTCTGGATCTCAACAATCCTTCTTGACAGAGACGGCCATTGGCATTGTCGAACGATGGAAAAAAAGTATGGGCTACCGTTTTGTTCCTGAGTGCAATCATGCACAGGAGACTCATTCCTTTTCAACTTTTCGTTTTCTTTCTGCCATATTTACAGGACGATCCAGAAATTTTGCTACCACGGCATCGTGACGTAACGATTTCTCCTCTCTACAACCCTCGACACTTCCAAAACATTCATACTCAAAGATCGTTTGACATTAACAGGTAATCGAAGGGGTGAATTCCATGACGTTAGGTAAGTTAATCCGCATGAACACTGGATTCAAAAGTGCGCCAGATAATGTGTTCTTCTCCACGCAGTACTGCGCAGGCGTGAAAGATTTCCAGTGTGTGCCAAAAACTGAAATTCCTTTGGTGACAGAGGCCACAAGGAATGCATTGATAGCGATAAGTGTTGTCATGTTTGTGTTGGTGGTTTCGCTTGTAGCCTTCCTGGTTTGGTTGTGGTACCGTTCTCGGCATAAGAGAAAGATCATCCCGGTTAAGCCGGCGCCAGGCAACTGAGTCATCAATTGCCATATCTTGGAAGCACTTCTTAAAAGCACAAAATAAACGAGGGCATTGCCCAAGTATACGCACTACTCCCTTCTATCCACCTTCCCGCCGACTGAATCCAAGAGTTTACATTGGCTATGTTCCGTCTTAGACGTAAACATAAAATGTGAACTTGCAGAGGGGCGGATATCGCTGTTGTAGTTTGGTATTACACGCTCTTCATAAAAATGTTAACCTGCTTCAGGTGGTAAGACTCTAGTGATAGACTCCTCAGTTGATTCTGCAATAACTGATCTATTAAAGCTAGGAGAATGTGACCCGCGAGAAAATTTTATCGGAGTGAACAAAACTGCGGTGCGTAAGTTAACACTTAAATTCTTGGTTCTTTCACGAACTTGGGTGAGAGACAGAAAGGAAAGAGAGAAAGATAAACGGAAATAACGGGAGAAAAAATGGAAGGAAGAAAGGAGGAAAGAAAATTAAAATAATGCTGATATCACGAAGAAACATCTCAAAAAGCTAGAGTGTTTTTCACTGTCTTAACACTGGGACCAGGCTAACTTTTGTTAGTTGTTTTAGCCGCAACTTAGTTCACCTCTCGTAGAATAATCAGCTTGAAAGTAGCTGTTAATTATAACTAACTACTGCCATACCTTACTAACAGGCTGTAACTACTATAATAAAAAGACTATTCCTTAAGCAAACTAGTAAATACTATCTAGGAAACACTTTTTTGCAGTTTCGATTTCTACATCATTTACATCGGAGAATTACGATAGCTGCAAAGGGATTGTTCATAAAATGAAGTTTCTCGAGAGCTTGAGCTTAGTCTTAGTCAGAGCAATCTCTTCAAATATAATAAACAAGTAAAAAACAATTATTTTCATTTATCATCGGAAGAACATGGAACAAAGGATATTATATGGCACACGGTATTTGTACTCCAGTGACTGGGAAATAGAAATTGTGATAAATTTTTAAAGTACCCACGCATTACTCAAAACTTTATGCGGCCACCTAGGAAAATATTAGTGGGAACTTTTGTTACATCGTGCACAATTTTGTGAACACAAATGGGCTACTGCTCGAGTTCAAAACAGAACAAAAATATACTACAATCAATTTACGCGGCATTTGTTACATTTCAATTAATTTTTCGCTTTTGAAATAAACTGCAGTTACTATAAAACAACATGCTTGCCCGATGGACAAATATCATACATTCACCGAAGAAAATAAACACTTGGAAATTACAACCTCTTCCTCATTCTAAATATGTGTTGTGGTTCAATTTTATCCTTGGTTTCATTTTTATTTTCTTTTGTTTCAAACTCATTATCATATATTACCATACCCAAAGACAAAAGGAAATGAAAATGAAACCAAGAATAAAATTAAACCACAACATATGCACCCCAGGGTCTTTAAAGGGCGCTAGAGGAGGAAAATGACGAAGCTAGATTTCTTTAGCTTTTCTCAGCTTTATTCGCGAGATTCTCCATAGACCGAGCTAAAATTAGGAATAATGAGTGACTACTTTAGAAATTTAATTCAATTGTTTAAGACGGCCAGACCTATAAACAACTTTGGTGCACTCATGAGGCTCCCTGTATCATCAACTAGTGCCTAACATCTACATAGAAGAGTTCGCGGACGAAGCGCTAGATCAGCTAGAAACCAGCTGGTACAGATAGATGGATAGATGACTTTTTAAACCCTATCACCAAGCTACATCACTGTGAAGTGGAGGAGTTTTACAAGCATCTCAACTCCACATTCTTCTAACACGCTCGTCCTTTTCATTGCATCGTCCTTTACCAACCCAGTAGCCTGTCAGGTCTTTATATCGGCCTCTTTGTTTGAAATCGGTTCTAAGAGTTTCACAGAACATGCAAAGAAAGGACCACCCTTCTCTGCCTACTCGATATTTTTGTCTCCAACTGAAATATTCATTGTAGGCGGTATTGTTCTTGTTAAGGTAGTGGAGGTAGTCTGCAAGGTGTTTCACCGTCTTGAAGTCCATAACGTTAATATATGAACCTGGAATGGCGAGTTTGCTGTAGTTGGCGCCTCCTAAGACTATTGGTATGACGTTTTCATCTCCTGTAATGACGAGAAAACCGTAAATAAGGGCCTTGAGACTTAAAATTTATGATTACCGTAAATCCTCTATTAAGCCCCCCTCTCCAATAAGCCCCTCCCCTTTTCAGGGAAGAAAGTTATTAAGCCTACCCCTCTCTTTTAACCCCCGGCCCATCCCTTATTCTCCACAACAAAATTACTAAAATATGGAGTGATCCAGTACTGTTAACTCATATGCTGGAAGTTCAGACTTGTTTTGATCTTTGGTTGCAAGACCTCTAACGTCATGTGCTTGAGTATTTCCACTTTGCGTCCTAGTTCTTTATGGAGAATTGATACCATCCTTTGGTTGTTTGTAATAGCAGTATGGTGCTCCATTTCGGTTAGTTAATTAAGCCCCCCCTACTCTATTAACCCCCCGTCTACGTGCTTGAAATAAGCCCCCAGAGAGTTAAATAGAGGATTTAGAGTATTTAGTAAAATAGGCAGCCGTAGCGAATTTTTCTTGCAGGTCTTGACATGTAGGAAGCTTGATTACCAGCCGGTGTTCGGAAAATAAGCCCGCGCTCCTTCACCCGAACAAGACCGGAGCCGAGCTTAGACATCTACAGTTAGAAGCAAAAGTGAAAAGAAAAAGCCACAAGCGATCTTTTGTTTTTCGTTTTCAGACATTTTACGTTCTTCATTTCTGACGGACTCAACCACTGAAGCTCGCTCGGCCTAATATGTGTAATACGCACTATGTCCAACCCATTTCAAAGGGAAAACGAAAGGCGTTGTTTCATCGATTGCCTCTTAAATGATATTTCTACTGCTGATTTTCAAATCGCTCTGTTAGTTGCTGTGTGTGTTTTTATATTTATTTTTGTTTTTTCTTTTTATTCTTCGCTTTTTTATGAGTGTGTGCGTTCGATCGTGACATGCATTTGTATTTTTTAAATATTTAATGTAAACAGCGTGAGCTCTCTAGATGAGACCTTTAGGCTCTTAGAGCAAATGTTGTAATAAATATTGTTTATAAAAAAGGGGGGTTGGCGGGATGAGGTGCGGTGACACTTCTCTGTTATTTTTTGCCTATAATACACCTCCTTTACCCCCCCCCCCCACCAAAAAACAAACAACAACAAAAACAAAAACTTGCTGACCTACATAAGCAATAATGTTATTTATAAATAAACTAAAAACTGGGCTACCATCAATTCCTATATTTCGTAAATAAGCTTGCTTACCTATACGGCCCCAGTACTTTTCAGTGATGTAGTCTTCGCATAATGCATTTTCAAAGCTAAGGTAGAACTTGTACTGTTTAATAATATTTCTGCAAGTTTCGGCTCCACGTGGACAGGCTCTTGATTTGCCAAATTGTCCCGAACACCTTCCAAATACATCAACTGTAATGTACTTTTGAAGCTCATGAACAAACGATTTTCTGAGAAGAGAGTTACAGTTGCTAACCATCCAGGAAACAAGTTTGTCTTTCCCAACGGAGAAATCTAGTTGTGAAGTCTTTTCAAATGGGATCTCCCTATAAGACCCATAAGGCCACGAGAAGTCTGAATCGGATCTATACGTCATAGTCAAATCGAATATTCCATTCAAAGGTCGGGTATCAGGAGTAAGCATTGGGCCTTCATGTGAAAAATAAATCCAGAACTGCGACGAAGACT